ACAAGCACTCTTTAATATTAGATAACAGGTACAACAGCTTGAAGGGACGCGGGTGGCACTGTGGGTTAAACCACAGAGCCTAGGACTTGCCGACCAGAAGGTTGGCAGTTCAAATCCACACGACGGGGTGAGCTCCCGTTGCTTGGTCCCTGCTCCTGCCAACCTAGCAGTTCAAAAGCACATCAAAGTGCAAGTAGATAAATAGGTACCGCTCCGGCGGGAAGGTAAACAGCGTTTCCGTGCGCTGCTCTGGTTTGCCAGAAGGGGCTTAGTCATGCTGGCCACATGACCAGCTGTACGCCGGCTCCCTCGGCCAATAAAGCGAGATGAGCCCCGCAACCCCAGAGTCGGCCATGACTGGACCTAATGGTCAGGGGTCCCTTTACCTTTACAACAGCTTGACCTACATTCAACTGTGCTGCACTGCAGTCTGCAGCTGCATGCTACATATTGCCATGCAACCGGTCCATGCAGAATGTAGGCACCCTATATATAGAAATGAGCAAACCAGTGATATTTTAGGGAGCAGAAGGGGCCCGTTACTTACATCATAGGAGCCTACACAACACAAAACACTGTTGCTGTATGTACGTTTTATTTTATTTGCTTTTTTTATCTTATATTTTGGAAATGTACATCCAGTTGTTTTCCCCTTTAAACTTTTTGGGCCCCCCAAGAGAGTGGGGCCCTAAGCTATAGCTTGCTTAGCTTATACGTAAATCCAGCACTGACCCACGCCCTCGTAGTGCTGATGTGATTGTCTGGCCTGTCTACAGCATCCGGGTTCAGACACTGGTGGGTGGGTAGGTATCATACCTTCCTAAGGGCCCCACCAAACACCCACACCCCTTTCTTTTGCACATTTGTGATTATTTGTGTTCATGATGCTTTCACGGTCGGCATGCGTGGTCCTGCTTTCTGCACTGCAAAGGTTTTGGGGGCAGTCATACTGTTTCGTTCCGAAAAAATGCACAACCTGTAACTTCTTGGTGAAATCCTGTAATTTTTCATATGACAAATGTTCTTTGGGCAGGGGGTGGTTGTCCCACTTTTGTTGCACTGTAGCCCTTCCGGACAAGCAATGACGTGGTAGCGTCGGGGAACAAAGTGGAATATATCCAACACTATTCTTAAGGGACGCGGGTGGCGCTGTGGGTTAAACCACAGAGTCTAGGACTTGCTAATCAGAAGGTCGGCAGTTCAAATCCCCATCACGGGGTGAGCTCCCGTTGCTCAGTCAACCTAGCAGTTCGAAAGCACGTCAAAGTGCAAGTAGTTCTGGTTCGCCAGAAGCGGCTTAGTCATGCTGGCCACATGACCCGGAAGCTGTACGCCGGCTCCCTTGGCCAATAAAGTGAGATGAGCGCCGCAACCCCAGAGTCGGCCATGACTGGACCTAATGGTCAGTGGTCCCTTTACCTTTACTCTTAAAGAAATGTTGCAGAATACACCCAGAATAAAACACCAGTCTGGAGAGGTCCAAAGCCACCACAACCACCTTCCTCTTCATTTCTCTCCCTCTTCCCCCCCTCTCTATGGCTCCCTTCCGTCTTCCTCGACCTTCAATGTAGAAGAATGGAGCCGGTTAAAAATTAAGGCGTGCATACTCAATAGTATTTTACACTCTTTGAGGGGGATCATCCTTCAACTTTTCCTGACTTCTCCATACCTGAGAATTCCCTCATGTGTGCTATCCACCCATTCCTTGGGGAAGGGAACGTCTAATAATAATAATAATAATAATAATAATAATAATAATAATTTATTATTTATACCCCGCCCATCTGGCTGGGTTTCCCCAGCCACTCTGGGCGGCTTCCAACAAAACACTAAAATACAATAAACATACAAACATATTAGCACAGGGCGGCCTAAATTCAGTATTAAAAAATAATGGGGCTTAAGATGAGGCTTAATGGGCTTTGTGCATAGGACATGCCGTTGAACTTTTGAGAACCGCTGCCCTGGTTAATCCATAGTACAGTGGTACCTCGGGTTAAGTACTTAATTCGTTCCGGAGGTCCGTTCTTAACCTGAAACTCTTCTTAACCTGAAGCACCACTTTAGCTAATGGGGCCTCCTGCTGTTGCGCTGCCGCCACACGATTTCTGTTCTCATCCTGAAGCAAAGTTCTTAACCCGAGGTATTATTTCTGGGTTAGCGGAGTCTGAAGCGTATGTAACCTGAAGCATATGTAACCTGAGGTACCACTGTATTGCTTTTCTGACATTCCTGCATTATTTTGCTGATATTGCTATGCTGAACACACAGTAGCTCGTATTTGGATGACCTCCAGGATAGCAGCCTACGGCTTGCATGTGTGGCTTTGCCGAAAAACATGTGTGGCTTTGCCGAAAAACAACGTAGTAAGGGGTAGCAATTTTATGTTTCTGGGGGTTTTTTTAAATCTACCTGCTTTCTTCATAAAATGAACTCCCTCAAAGCGGTTCATAGAAACTCAGGTTGTGAAGATTACCAGCCAGGAACAAAGAAGATGCCACATTCTGCATCAGCCCTCAAAGTGACTGGCTAGCGTCTAGGCCCCGATTTCCATGTCAAGAAGGCCTCCACTGTAGTTTAAATCTTGTACAGAGCTGGCCCGTTACATTTTGCCGCCTGAGGCGAAGAACAGCGCCCCTTCCCATTCCGTGCCCAGAAGCTGACCAGACTGGCAGCTCAATCTCACTTCAGTATGGGAGTCATGACAGAGCCTTCCACTGCACCTGAGGGCAGCAAGTTTAGTTTAGAAGGTGCAGGTCCGATGGCTCATATGGTGGTTTGCAGAGCTCTGTCCCTCACCATCTTGCCACTGCTCTCTGCAATCTCGCACCTGGTGCTCAAGGAGGTTGCCTCATTCTGCCTAATGGTAGGGCCGGTACTGGAAGAGAATGCACATGTAGCCCAATGTGGTGAGGTCATGATCTCCCCTGCTACATAGTCAAGAGTAGCAGAGGCCCTTAAAAATAAGATATGATTTCCCTGTAAAAGTGTGTGTTTTTGTGTGTGTGTGTGTGTGTGTGTGTGTGTGTGTTTTTCTGGGTGATAGACCTCAATCAGAAAGGGGAATGACATACAGTGGACGCTCAGGTTGCGAATGTGATCCGTGAAGGATGCACGTTCCCAACCTGCAGCGTTTGCAAACCGCAGTGGCGCGTTTCCGCACGCGCGGGTTGTGATTCAGTGCTTCCGCACATGCGCAGAGCACGATTTAGTGCTCCTGCGCATGCGCGACCGCTGAAACCTGGAAGTAACCCGTTCCGGTACATCTGGGTTTTGGCGGCCCGTAACCCAAAAAAACACAACCTGAAGTGTCTGTAACCCGAGGTATGACTGTATTTCCTAGTCTATGTCTAGTCATGTGTGTCTAGAGACATATTTTTAAAAAACTCCAGCCCTTTTGTTCCATTTTCACTGAACATTATTATGACCATGGGTGAGTTCAGGTGTTCTGTGGTGCCCTGTAATGGCTGCTAAAACACACATATATAATAACTCAGTTTTGAAGTTTATCATGTTGGGCTGGGATATTGTTTAGGGGATTTTGTTGGTTTTGTTGTTGTTCCCGTTATTGGTATTAATTTTCTGCATATATATTTTTTTTAGATCGATGACGATTTATGAGGAAATGTTCAATTTTCCTGTGTACGTTTTGAGGTGTTTTATATATTGATTATGGCTACTTTTGTTATTATGCCAATCTTTTCAAGTTGTAATCCTCCTTGAGCAGGGTTTAAACTATGGAATGGCGGCATACAAATAAATTGACGGTGGTGTTGCAGGGTTATTTTTTTGTTTTTTTTAGCCGCTTTGAGTTCTCTTTTCTGAAAGGTAATGAATAAATAAATAAATAAATAAATAATAAAAGCAGTCAAGCTTAACCTCAGCTCCAGAAAGGCATATCCATAATTGCAAAGTAATACTACTGTATTTTACATCAGTCTAAAAGTGTATAGGCTTTTCAAGTGCACAGTGTTGTCTCTTGCCCAGAATGGAATTGTTGTTGTTGTTGTTTAGTTGTGTCCGACTTTTTGTGACCCCATGGACCAGAAAGGCTTCCTCAACCTCGGCCCTCCAGATGTTTTGAGACTACAAGCCTGGACCAGAGCACGCCAGGCACTCCTGTCTCCCACTACCTCCCACAGTTTGGTCAAACGTAGGTTAGTAGCTTCGAGAACACTGTCCAACCATCTCGTCCTCTGTCCTCCCCTTCTCCTTGTGCCCTCAAGGAATGGAAAATTAGCTTGCTTTAATAGGCTAAGAGACAATTTGGAGGACAGTGCCTTCAACGTGTCAGATTTCCACATATCGGGGCTGTGACTTGGGGAGGAGAGTTGGTCTTGATAATATTTTGGATGCATTGCAGTCTAGTGATTTTATAAGAGGTCCGCCTATTTTATGCTTTTTCCTTGTGGGGGGGGGGGCAGAAGTTTCCAATGTGGCAAATTGGGAAGCAGATTATCGTACTGGGGGGGGGGGGGCGACCCCGAAAGATGGAGCGTTGCAGCTCTTTGAGTTGCATATTAAATATAATAAATTGGTGGTGACCAATCATCCTAAAATGCAGGGTTGCAAAATACTGGAGCGGGAGGGGGAAGCCTTATTATTTGCGAGACATCTAGTGCAATAATTTGGGGGCTGAATGGAGGTAGACCTGACAACGTCGTGCAATCCCAGGCAGCCCATGCCATCTCCGCTTTTGCAAAAACTGCTCTCCTTGCGTTGCGTGCATAACAAGACAAAACATGCACCCGCGCGCAGCATCGCGCCCATTTAAAAATGCCCGAGTGCAGCTGGGAGGAAAAAGGAGGTGTCTTTTAAAAGTGCGGCTGCGGTGGGGAGAAATGCTCTTGATTTTTAAGGTGGGCAGAGGGAGAGAGTTTGCTTCCCGCCCCCCCCGCCCCCCTTTGCAAGAAGGGCTTTGGGAAGAACAGGAACCAGAGCCTCTCTCTCTCCTTTCCTCCTCTCCGTCCCCCTCCGCCTCACTTGCAACGTGTTGCAATTCCTCTTAGCGCACATCCAGCTTGCCAAACCGCGGAAAAAGTTTGAGAAGTCTTGGAGAAAGCTTCTCTCCCCCCGCCCCCCCCATTTCCCTTCCGCCCACAACTGGCTGGGCAGCCTGTGGGGCTCGTGACGCAGCGTCTGAATTCTTAGAAGGCAGGGGAGGGGCGCTTTTTTCTTTTTTTTTTGGGAAGGGGGGGCGCATTCCTTGTCTCTCTCCCATCTCCCTGTCTCTTTACCCTCCCATCACCTTCCCAACAGGAGGAGGGGAAGCAAAGGACCCTGAGTCAGCACGGAGAGAGAGAGAGAGACAGAGTGCGCAAAGACGCAAAAGAAGGAGAAGAGGGAGATCAGTCCCAGCCCCCACCCCCACCGCTATGAAACTTCCCAGCCCCCCCTCTTCGCCACGGCCTCGCTTGCTGAGATGCGCCCTGGGCATCCTTCTGACCATTGATCTCGGACTTTGCGCTCTTCTCCCAGGTAGGGCTGAGTTGGCCAAATGTGTTTGTTTTTCCTCCCTTCCAAACTTGCGGCGTCTTTTAAGAAGGGCGGGAGGTTGGGTGGTGGTGGTGAAAGGAGGTACTTGTAGATCTGCCTCTTTAAAAAAAGAAGAAGGGGGGGTCGGCTCCTCACAAAGTTAGCATGCACTTTTCTCCCCACCCCGATTTCCCTCCCCCCGCCCCACGTTTTGGGCAGTTGTTGGGGCATTTGGGGGGTGTATGCGAGCTTGCGTTTTGCAAGAGGGGAGGAGAAACCTGAATGGAACCAGATGTGGTTTGGAATTGCGAAGGGAGGAGGAGATGGAAGCGGCTGTTTTTGAAAGAAACTGGGGGGGGCACACACTTGGTTCTCTTCTACCTCCCCATCAGCAAAAAAAAAGGAGGATTTTTCTCCAGTTGCAAGATCTGATCCCTGCTGCATTTGAAATAAATGCTCTTGTTTCTGCACCCCTGAGGTTTGGGAATTTTATTCTTTCGCCCACCAGTTCTGCCTTGCAACCCTGCAGGCTTTTTGCATGTGTCCAGCCGTAATAAAAACCCCAACACACCACCGGATTTTTCCAGAGGAATCAGTGTTTCCAAAAGCAAGAGCGAGCGCATTTTCCAAGCTGGTCTCCCAATTGTCCCTCGGAGGAGGATAGCGATTTGGCCAGCAACAACAGTGATAGAGACGAGAAACTAATGAGAGGCATTTGTTGGTCCCCAGAGCTTTGTCAAAGGCTCAGTGTATTTGCTTCGCAAGCACACTGGCCTTGCGAGTTGGCCAAATTTGCAAAACTTGCTCCAGTGTCTGGACCCGGTCAGTTGTGCCAGACAGTGACATTTAAAGAAATAAATAAAACCCCTGCTTTTTTGCTCCAGTTTCCATGCAGTCTGCAACCAAAGGATTAACAAAAACAAACAAACGTTGCAGCGTGATAAATTTCAAAAAGAGCCCCATTGTGGATTACGAAGCGAAAAAAATGCAATTTAAAGTAAATCAGGAAGCCGCTGGGAAATGGGGGGAGCAGGAAGCCGTTGGGAAAAGGATCAGGAATGAAGCAGTGTGTGGTTGGTGGGTTGTCTCAGTTTTGGGTGGGAAGTTAGAGCAAAAGATGCAATGATGGAGTGAGAGCAGCTTTGTTGTTGTTGTTTAGTCGTCCGACTCTTCGTGACCCCATGGACCAGAGCACCCCAGGCTCTCCTGTCTTCCACTGCCTCCCACAGTTTGGTCAAACTCATGCTGGTAGCTTCGAGAACACTGTCCAACCATCTCATCCTCTGTCGTCCCCTTCTCATTGTGCCCTCCATCTTTCCCAACATCAGGGTCTTTTCCAGGGAGTCTTCTCTTCTCATGAGGTGGCCAAAGTATTGGAGCCTCAGCTTCAGGATCTGTCCTTCCAGTGAGCACTCAGGGCTGATTTCCTTAAGAATGGATAGGTTTGATCTTCTTGCAGTCCATGGGACTCTCAAGAGTCTCCTCCAGCACCATAATTCAAAAGCATCAATTCTTTGGCGATCAGCCTTCTTTATGGTCCAGCTCTCACTTCCATACATCACTACAGTTTATATATGGGGACCAACATCAGAGCAGCTTATATATGGCTAATTGCATAGGCTGATTGGGGTAGGAGATCGCCCACAACCACATGCTCTTCTCTTTCTCCTCCCACCCAGCGGCTTGCGCACCTCTGTAGCCAGCCAGGTACCTGTTCAACACTCGCAGAAACTTGTATTCCTGCCTCACCCCTTGGAAAATGGGGAGCAGGAGGAATGGGCCCACCCCACTCCCACACTGCTCCAATCAAATGCAGAACTCTGCTGCCTGCAGCTCCTTTTACAAGTAAAAACCAGCTGGGGTAGATGGGAATTGTAGTCAAAAACATCTGGAGGGCACTGGCTTGGAGGAGGCTGGTAAAACAAAGAATGCAAAGAGATGCCAGAATGTACAGTGGTACCTCAAGTTACATACGCTTCGGGTTACAGACTCCGCTAACCCAGAAATAGTACCTCGGGTTAAGAACTTTGCTTCAGGATGAGAACGGAAATCGTGCTCCGGCGGCGCGGTGGCAGCGGGAGGCCCCATTAGCTAAAGTGGTGCTTCAGGTTAAGAACAGTTTCAGGTTAAGAACGGACCTCCGGAACGAATTAAGTACTTAACCTGAGGTACCACTGTAGTTCGTTCCCTAATACGTTGGACTTGGATGTGGGAGACCTGCAGTCATAACTCACGCCACAAAACAGTGGCCATGAACAATGTTCCTCTCTGTAAAATGGGAATAATAATAATGTCCTAGCTCTCTGGCATTGTGAGGACTTTCGTATTACATGCTTAGAATGCTGTTGCTGCTTAGCAAGTGAAATAAGCTAAAATGAAATGAAGAGTCAAGATGTTCACAGAATGTGAAATGACGTGTTTTGAAAACACTTGGTGCAGTTTCACGGAGGCTGCTTACATACCATACATTTAAAGCGCACTTAAAACACATGACTTTCCCCAAAGACGCCTGGGAACTGCAGTTCTTTAAGGGTGCTGGGAATTGCAGTTCTGTGACAGGTAGATGACAGTTCCCGTAATTATTTTGGGGCAGTAATATGCTTTCAATGTATGGTGTGAACACCGCACAGTGTAAAAGGAAGACAGGTTCCAATGCCTCTCACTCTTGAGTGTTAAGATATATTAATGGACTTCTTTTTGAGCACTGGCATATTTCTAATGTGTGTTTTTAAAAGCCGCATAACTATGTTGTACTGTGGGTGGCCTGTTGCTTTCGAAGGCCGCTTTTAAAATGAGAAGTGAACTGTTGGCACAACTTAGTCATCCATCGGACAACTGGCATCTAACTTTTTTCTAATTTAATTTGCTCAAAGATAGTTTCTCTCTGATTATTGAAAGCGTCACTTCTGCCTACATGTTGGATGGAGTGGAAGGAATTAGAAGCAAAGCTGTGAGATCTCTTTAAAAAACCAACATGACAATTTTGAGTCCTTTTTATTATTATTTGAACAAAGAGAAGTAATGTGTAGGATGGGAGTCAAGAGCATCTGCTAACCTCTAGGTTAGATTACTGCAATGCATTATACATGGGGCTGCCTCTGAATACTGTTCTGAAACTTCAGCGGGTGCAGAATTCAGCATCCAGGTTGCTCACCGGGGCAAGGCAGTTTGCGCATATAATGCCAACCCGACCGCACTGGCTGCCAGTTAGTTTCCAGGCCCAATTCAAGGTGCTGGTTTTGACCTGTGAAGCCCTAAATGGCTTAGGACTGCAATACCTCAAGGACCTTCCTCCGTTCATATGAACAGACTGGACCCAGTGATCGTCAACTGAGACCTTTCTTCATACACCCTCTCCAAAAGAGGTCGGGGGGGGGCAATACGAGAGCAGGGGCTTTTCAGTGGTAGCTCCCCATTTGTGGAGTGCTCTCCCCTGGGAAGCTTGCCTGGCGCTTTTGTTACATATCTTTAGGCGCCAGGCAAAAACATTCCTCTTCTCCCAGGCCTCTCGCTAATTAAACAAGCTATGGGTTTTTAAACTGTATGGCGGGTCATTCTTTTCGTTTGCTATTATGGTATGGTTTTTTTTGTTTTGTTTTTATGTTGTAAACCGCCCTGTAATCTTCGGATGAAGGGCTGTAGAGTAATTTAATTAATTGATTAACAATAATAATAATACAATGGTACCTCGGTTCTTGAACGTCTCCGTTGATGAATGTTTCGGAACCTGAACGCCGAAAATGGTTTTCAAACATTTCGAAACTGGAACGGTCTTCCGGAACGGATTGCGTTTGAGAACCAAGGTACCACTGTACTTGAGAAGAAAGGAATGAGCAGATCAAAGCCTTCTTTCTATAGTTCTCAACACCAAAACATTTGCCTAAAAGGAAAAAGTATCCTGGAAGATGCTTGTGCTTTGTTCCAACCAGGGCCGGATTTCATAGAATCATAGAATCATAGAGTTGGAAGAGACCACAAGGGCCATCGAGTCCAACCCCCTGCCAAGCAGGAAACACCACCAGAGCACTCCTGACATATGGTTGTCAAGCCTCTGCTTAAAGACCTCCAAAGAAGGAGACTCCACCACACTCCTTGGCAGCAAATTCCACTGTCAAACAGCTCTTACTGTCAGGAAGTTCTTCCTAATGTTTAGGTGGAATCTTCTTTCTTGTAGTTTGGATCCATTGCTCCGTGTCCACTTCTCTGGAGCAGCAGAAAACAACCTTTCTCCCTCCTCTATGTGACATCCTTTTATATATTTGAACATGGCTATCATATCACCCCTTAACCTCCTCTTCTCCAGGCTAAACATGCCCAGCTCCCTTAGCCGTTCCTCATAAGGCATCGTTTCCAGGCCTTTGACCATTTTGGTTGCCCTCCTCTGGACACGTTCCAGTTTGTCAGTGTCCTTCTTGAACTGTGGTGCCCAGAACTGGACACAGTACTCCAGGTGAGGTCTGGAGTAGGTTTGATGAGGCCCTAAGCTACTGAAGGTAATGGGGCCCTTTATACGTCCAGCTGTCCTTTGTCAACAACAAATTGTCGCTGTTATTTGTGTTGAATATATGCTATATGGTGATTTATGGACCTAATAGTTATCTAAAGCTATTTGCACATAACAAATAGGAGCCCACAGAACACAAAACACTGTTGCTGTAAGTAGGTTTTATTTTATTTGTTTTTTATCTTATATTTTGGAAATGTACATCCAGTTTTTTCCCCTTTTAAATTTTTGGGGGTCCCTCAAGAGAGTGGGGCCCTAAGCTATAGCTTGTTTAGCTTATACGTAAATCCGGCACTGGTTCCAACCCAAACCTATGAATTCCTGTCAGTGCTGCTGCTGTCACTTGGGGACATTCCTGGCTCACTGTTAACATGTCTATAGGATGCTGTAGCTCAGGGGTCGGCAACGTGCGGCCCGTGGGCCGGATGCGGCCCACGAAGACGGTTTTACCGGCCCACGAGCCGCCACCGAACTGCCCGCTCAGTGAGTCCCCTGTGTGCTGCGCTAAACCAGCATTTTGATCAGTGTATTACCATGTTGTGCTAAGGTGGTGGGAAAGAACTGTATGCCAGGATACCACCTGGAATTTCATCGCGTGAAATTGCAATGCAAAATTCCCTCAGTTTCCTGGGATTCAGCTGGATTTCCCAGAAGTGGCTTTTGCGTTTTGTGAAAGAACACGAAAATTGTCAGAAGGAAACTGAAATAAAGTACCTCCTGAATGCAGTCTTCTCTCCTAATTGTGAAGCAAAAACACAAAAAGCAAACAACACCCATCACCGCTGTTTAAAATAGGGAAACCAGAACGATATTCCAGTCCAACAGTAGCGAACATTATTTTTCCAGAATTTGGAAGTTGTCGCAGGACTGCAGGCAACAGAACAGAAGACTTTCTGGTTAGTCACTTCTCTGGTTCTGTATGTGGCATGTGAGCTCAGAAGAAGGCAGGCCAGTAGGGAACAGACCCGAATACAGTGGTACCTCGGGTTACATACGCTTCAGGTTACATACACTTCAGGTTACACACTCCCCTAACCCAGAAATAGTGCTTCAGGTTAAGAACTTTGCTTCAGGATGAGAACAGAAATTGTTCTCCGGTGGCATGGCGGCAGTGGGAGGCCCCATTAGCTAAAGTGGTACTTCAGGTTAAGAACAGTTTCAGGTTAAGAACGGACCTCCGGAACGAATTAAGTACTTAACCTGAGGTACCACTGTATCAGTGATGTGGAAAGGCTTTTTGTGAAACATCTTGTAGTTGGCCAAACCAGCTATCAGTATCAACATGCTGCAATGGAACCTGGTCTGTCTACCACATTTGGGTGCTGTAGGTCACACCCAACTGATACATTTAAAGCAGGGGTCAGCAGACTTTATCAGCAGGGGGCTGGTCCACTGTCCCTCAGACCTTGTGGGGGGGCCGGACTATATTTTTTGGGGGGGAAATGAACGAATTCCTATGCCCCACAAATAACCCAGAGATGCATTTTAAATAAAAGGACACATTGTACTCATGTAAAAACACCAGGCAGGTCCCACAAATAACCCAGATAATGCATTTTAAATAAAAGCACACATTCTACTCATATAAAAACACGCTGATTCACGGACTGGCCGGATTTAGAAGGTGATTGGGTTGGATCCAGCCCCGGGCCTTAGTTTGCCTACCCATGATTTAAAGCACTGTTACGCCACGTCAGGCGTCATGGCTTCACCCAAAGAATTCTGGGAAAGGGAAGTTTGTTAAGGGTGCTGAAAGTTGTTGAGAGAAATGCCATCCCCGTGATTCATCGGGGGAAGGCATGGGGTGTAAATGTATGGGGTGGACTTCAGCTTTTCCTCCACAGGAATTCCAGGATTCTCGACCCTTTATTGCTCTGTACTGCACCATTGCAGCTTCTCTCCATGTATGCCCCTGTTGAATTTGCTCCAGTTTTGTCCTCCATTTCTCCCAGGTTTCCCTTAGTAGAACCGCAGACCTGTTAAAAACTAGATTTGTGCACACTGACGGGCTTCCAGTTTGATTCAGAATTTAACTTTAGTAGTTTGGTAGGGGGGACGCGGGTGGCGCTGTGGGTTAAACCACAGAGCCTAGGACTTGCTGATCAGAATGTTGGTGGTTCGAATCCCCGCGACGGGGTGAGCTCCCGTTGCTCGGTCCCTGCTCCTGCCAACCTAGCAGTTCGAAAGCACAAAGTGCAAGTAGATAAATAGGTATCGCTCCAGCAGGAAGGTAAACGGCGTTTCCATTTGCTGCTCTGGTTCGCCAGAAGCAGTTTAGTCATGCTGACCACAAGACCCAGAAGCTGTACGCCGGCTCCCTTGGCCAATAAAGCGAGATGAGCGCCACAACCCCAGAATTGGCCATGACTGGACCTAATGATCAGGGGACCCTTTACCTTTTAGTTTGGTAGGGGCAAAAGTTTCTTGTACTTGCATCCGTGTTTATGCGACCTGAGTCTTCTGCCTGCAACTGCAGCATGGATTTGCCTTGGGAGGGTGGATGGAAAGTCCCCATGGAGGCAATTTAACTCGACTGACCTTCTGGAGCAATCTGAGGTATGCTTTGTATAGGAAACTTTTTCTCTCTGGAAATTCAGATTGGCCACCAACAGTGGCCAGGTGTGTGGGCAGCTTTTTAAAGCACCATTTAACACCTCTGAGTGTTGTTTTTAAAAAGGGTGTTGTTGTTATTTGTGTAAAAGCTCTGAAACCACTTGCAACAGAAGCTCTGGAGCAATGATTTAATCCCCCCCCCACCTTTTAGGCTGTTTTTGCATATAAACACACACAAACACATAACTCTCAGAGGTGCTTATATAGTATGCAGCTTTTATTGATCTAAAGGCAGCATTGCCCTTTTGGGATTTCGGGAAAAGTGGTCTAATTAACTATAAAAAACTCTCCCTTTTCCCTTTAAAACTTTGTATATTAATACGTGCCGGAAAGTGCAGTGTACCAGAGATCCATCTTTTACAGATCCCGTGCCATTTTTAAGCTGTTGTCCTATTTCACCTATATACAAATGATATTGTTGAGTTTCTGTCATCACTAACTTATCGCGTCTCCAAGTTGGCCACAAAAAGAATTCTGTTTTATTGGATGCAGATGATCCTACAATTCTAGTCCAGAAAAAAATGGGTGTGAGGGTATTTTCTGAATATTGTTAAAAAGAAGGTAATGGTGTTTTCTAAATGATACACACACCTTCCCCAAATGGTATTTAGATGAGCAGCTTATTGAACAAGTAACAGTTTTTAACCATTTGGGAATAGATTTTCAACCTTCTGAAAAGATCAACAAGAATATTGGCTTAGAAGAAGCTATTCAAATTCTTCTGCTTTTTTAAAAAAAAAAACCCAAACAAAAGGCCATAACTTTATTTCTGCAGTACTTGGCTAAACCTTGAGCTCAGTTACTTGATGGGATTCCGATGCTAATTTAAACCCTCTGGATGTTGTGCAGTGTAAATTCCTTTGACACGTTTCCTCTGTACCAGGTTGGGTCTCAAATGTCACTTTGCAACGTTTGAGCTTCCATTCTCACACAGGGCTGGATGAGGCCATTGGCTCTGTCTGAATGGCTTGGTTCGTTCCGTTCCGCTGGATTCCCTTGAAAGCAAGCTGGATGAAAGCCATCGATTTAAGGTTATGCACATTTGACTTTTCAACCACATCAGTTATTAAGTTTAGGTCCGAGCAGAGCATTAGAACGTATTGAGGCGACGCCTGTTTGATACTAGACCACAAAATAATCTTCCTGCAATGAGAAAATTGAGTCCCTGGTATGACTGCTTTGCAGATAGCCCTCTTGATAACAGTAGCATCTCATCTACGTGGGGCTGCCCTTGAGACTGACCCAGAAACTCCAGCGGGTGCTGAATGCCACGGCGAGACTCGTTACGGGGTCCTCGCTGCGAGATCACATTCAGCTGGTGCTATACCAGCTGCACTGGCTCCTGGTGGAGTACAGGATCAGATTTAAGGTGCTGGTTTTAACCTTTAAAGCCCTATACGGCCTAGGACCCTCGTACCTACGGGACCGCATCTCCTGGTATGTCCCACAGAAGAATTTACGGTCTTCAAACAAAAACATCTTGGAGGTCTCGGGCCACAGGGAGGTTAGGCTGGCCTCAACCAGAGCCAGGGCTTTTTCGGCTGTGGCCCCGATCTGGTGGAACGCTCTGCCACAAGAGACTAGGGCCCTGCAGGACTTGACATCTTTCCGCAGGGCCTGCAAGACAGAGCTGTTCCACCAGGCCTTTGGCCAGGGCACAGCCTGACTCCCTCCTTTGGCAATCTTCACAGAACTCTAGCCCAATGGTTGCCATCAATTTGATTTGAATTAATTTTATAATGAAATGATTTTAGAATGTTGTATTATTTTATTGTTGTTAGCTGCCCTGAGCCCGGCTTCGGCTGGGGAGGGCGGGATATAAATTATTATTATTATTATTATTATTATTATTATTATTATTATTATCTGCAGGATCTAACATATCCAAAGAACAGAAGAGCCTTCTTGAGTTCACAACTGGACGTGCTTCCTTCAGCAACAGTACTTGAGGGTTGTTTTAAGACAGGCAAAGGCAAACGTGGCCCTCCAGATGTTTTGGGACTACAACTCCCATCATCCCTGACCACTGGTCCTGTTAGCTAGGGATGATGGGAGTTGCAGTCCCAAAACATCTGGAGGGCCGAGTTTGCCTGCGCCTGTTTTAAGAGAATCCTTTCACAAAGTTGGATATAGAGTTTTCCACTTCCTCCAGGTCTTGCTACCCAAAAATACAAATTAAAAAAATGCTATATTTTCTAACCTCGAAAGCAACTTCCTGGCTTGGGGTTAGGTCCACAGGCTCTCTCCTCCTAGGAAAGGAGCATCGCCTGAGAGGAGTCCTTTGCCACAGATGGAAGGAGTCATTTTGCATTGATTTCCTTCACAGAACTACAATTCCCAGAGTTCCCTGGTGCGTGGATGTGGCCGTAATGTGGAAAGTTGGTCAGGATCAGTGCCCGTTTACCAGATACAGTGGACGCTTGGGTTGCAAACGTGATCCATGTGGGATGCACGTTCGCAACCCGCGTCTGTGCACGCGTGGGTTGCGATTCGGCGCTTATGCGCAAAGTGCAATTTAGCGCTAATGCGCATGCGCGACCGCCAAAATCCAGAAGTAACCTGTTCCGGTACTTCTGGGTTTCGGCGGTCCGCAACCCGAAAAAACGCAACCTGAAGCGGTTGTAACCCGAGGTATGACTGTAGGCAGATTAGGCACCGTCCTGTGGGTCCCCCGCCTCCCCCCCCACAATAATATTTATTATTTTCCATACATAAACATAACAGAAGAAAAAGTTAACAATAATAAAGGAAAAAGAATGAAACGCAAAAAAGAAAAAGAAAAAAGAATATAAAACATAAAATACATCAAATCACCACATAAACTAAAACTTAATTAATTAAAATCCATCTTCATAAACATATTACTTGACTTCCTCAAATCTCTTCCATCTGAGTTTCTTAGTAATTATATATAGCAGTTTCCAATATCATTATTTCATAAAACCATATCACAGTCATAATCATATTTCCTAACTTTTCTTGTCGTACGTTTTCTTATTTATTTATTCAATCCCAATTTAATCCTAGGCCTCATTGATTCTTTCAAGTGATTACATAGCTTTAATATTACAATATTTATTCAAATAGTCTTTAAATTTCTTCCAGTCTCCTTGGTGTTCCTCTTCTTTCTGGTCACGGATTCTCCCGCCTTTTAGGGGGCGCTGGGACAACGGATCAAAATCATAATCGATTTTGAAATACTGATCTTGAAAGAAAGTGTCAATCAAGCTTTCTTCTCTCCTAAAATTTGTGAGGGGATCCCCCGAGATTTTGACTGCCTAGGGGCGTCCGCAGGGTTTAATCCGGCGCCGGTTGGGATTCTGCTAGCCATTTACGACAGAAGAGCAACGCTCGATTTGTGCCAGGAGTCAGCAGTCTGGAAGCATCCTTAGCAATGCTGAAATTCACATTTCAGGGTGTGTGTTGTTGTTTTTTAAAAAAAAGGCTAAGAACATGTTTAGACACATATTATGGCTCCGCGTCATACAGCCACATCCGAAGAGCAGGAAATGTAATGGAGGAAAATATATTCCTATCTCCATTTTTTTCGGCACTTCGACTCCCTTTGTGAGACTTGCTAGATCACAAAGGCAGGACTAGGAGGTCCCGTATTTAGAGAGTATTATGTGCCTTTCCCTCCTCAGGTAACTTGCCTTTGTGTTTGCCCCTCCTGTAAAAGGTTCTGAAATCTCCAGCGGCTGTAATTTTCTAAGTTCTCCTGCAAGTGGTAATTTTCTACTTTTAGCCCTTTGTCTGTTTTTAGAGTCAGCCGATCTCTCCCTTTCGGTCATAGGCACAAATTCTTTTTCTGGTCTGGACAGTTGAGTTTGACCTTACGGTTTCTAAACTCATCTATCCTGGAGCATGGCGAAGCCTCGGGAGAGCTCATCTTTTCCAGAACCTGTCATGTCTTGAATTAATTTTATAATGAATGATTTTAGAGTGTTGTGTTGTACTGTTGTACTGTTGTACTGTTTTATTGTTGTTAGCCGCCCTGAGCCCGGCTTCGGCTGGGGAGGGCGGGATATAAATAAAATTTATTATTATTATTATTATTATTATTATTATTACTATCATCATTTTGTTTTTGGGGGTGCTGACACCGTTGCCTCCTTTTGTACCTGCAAGGAAAGGGATCTTGAGAGTGAATGATTAAAAAAATAAATCCATACCCTCCAAGATTTCTCCAATGAAAATAGGGATGTACTATTCAACAACAACAACAGTATCCCTTCCATCTGACTAGGTTGCCCCAGTCACTCTGGGTAGCTTCCAGCCTATATAAAAACATAATAAAACATTGAACATTAAAAAAAGCTTCCCTGTAATGTTGTCTAGTTACTTATCTCCTTGGCTTGGTGGGTCATATAACTCCATACACTCCAGGGTGGATAAAAATCAAGGATTTAAAATAAATAAATAAATAAATAAACGGATTTTTAAATTTTAAATCGGATTTTTAAAAATTTAAATCAGATTTTTTTATTTAAATCGGATTTTTAAAATAAAATGCTTTTGGATAAAAAATCTTTCTAATGATAGATTTCTATTTAAGTTACATTATAGTCCAAAGGCTATTCATCGGGAAATAAGGATTTGTTTTAAGCTTTTCATGTGTGCTAAAACTCAGTATAAGGTTGTGTTGTTGTTTTTAAAAAAATCGTTTAACCACATTAGTTAACAAACATGGATACATAGGCTATAATGTTATTGTTTTAGTTAAATAAATTGTTTACATTGTTATTAAGGAAATGATTATTATTCTCCTTCCAGTAATGTACAGCAGAAATATAAACAATAATTTCATAATTACCCGTCTTTGTCTTTCTAATAGTATAACCAAATCAGTGAATTTTTTATATAACTGTAAAAACAACTCTGAAAATTTATCATTCCAAAAATGAAACCTCCTTCTGGTTGTAAATATTAAGATTATACCCTCAAGAACGAATCTTTCTGTAAAAAAGTGATTTAGATCAAGTCTTACTGACTAGTGATTTAAATCAAGTCTTTAAAAGGTAAAGGTAAAGGACCCTTGACAGTTAAGTCCAATAGCGGACGAGTCTGGGGTTGTGGTGCTCATCTCGCTTTAGAGGCTGAGGGAGCTGGCATTTGTCCGCAGACAGTTTTTCTGGGTCATGTGGCCAGCATGACTAAGCCGCTTCTGGCGAACCAGAGCAGCGCACGGAAACGCCGTTTACCTTCCCGCTGGAGCGGTACCTATTTATCTACTTGCACTTTTTGCTGTGCTTTTGAATTGCTAGGTTGGCAGGAGCTGGGACAGAGCAATGGGTGCTCACCCCGTCACGGGGATTCGAACCACTGACCTTCTGATCGGCAAGCCTTTGAGGCTCAGTGGTTTAGACCACAGCGACTAGTAATTTAAATTGTGATTTGAATAGATTTGATTTAAATCAAATCCACCCTGATACCCTCCAACATTTCTCTGAGGAAAATAGGGATGTCCTAAGAAAAAGCGGGATATTCCGGGATCAAATCATAAACTGCTTCTGTAAATTTGGGGCTGTTCCTGGGAAATAGGGACTCTTGGAGGGTTTGAGATGGTTGTATCTTGTGGTGTTAGTATGGCTTCCGTCAGCAGGACATGGAAGCAATCGATTTCTGGCGATTCCCTGTGGAGGGTTCCCCAACCCTTTGGAGCAGAATTATGGAATGGAGGGAGCTACAGGAGGAAAACCAGTTCCCCTCACATTCTGCTGACGGAAGTGTTACGGTCATCGGAACAGCACATTGCATAAAATCTAGAAGCAACATCTCATCAGCTGGAAACCTTGCCCTTAAGCCAGAAACATGGCTAAAGCCTGACTCCAGCTATGGCCTGTGTCTTGTGAGAAACTTTGCTAAAGAGATTGGCTTGGTGCGAGAAGGTAATTGCAGGTTTTAATAACCGTTTGGGGTTTTAAGCAAAGCAGCAAGTAAAATGCGGTTCTGCAAGAATGCATGTTTTCATAGTCAGAGGTGGTTGTATACAGTACTATTCCAGTTGGCTGCCCCTGCCATCTGGGAAACTACCTCATACTTGATTCCTGCAGAGCTGTTTGCTACCAATATGGGGCTATTGAAAGCAGATCCCACCAGATCTGGGCACTATTCCACATTATGCCTGCTCTAACTCATGTTTTCATTTCATTTCATGCATTTGTTTATTAAATGTGTATACCAATCTTACTCCAAAGTTCACAGGGGAACATAAAATTACAAAATAAGAACACAAAATACAGTACAGTGGTACCTCTGGATGCGAACGGGATCCGTTCCGGAGCCCCATTCGCATCCTCAGTAGAACGTAACACTTGACTGGTGCGTAAAGGTACAGTGGTACCTCGCAAGACGAATGCCTCGCAAGACGAAAAACGCGCAAGACGAAAGAGTTTTTCGTTTTTTGAGTTGCTTTGCAAGACGAATTTCCCTATGGGCTTGCTTCGCAAGACGAAAACGTCTTGTGAGTTTGTTTCCTTTTTCTTAAAACCGTTAATACCCAGGGTAACCGTGCTTCGCAAGACGAAAAATTCACAAGGCGAAAAAACTCGCAGAACGAATTAATTTCGTCTTGCGAGGCACCACTGTACGTTATGAAGGCCCCAGGTGAGCCTCTCTGGGGAGAGCATGCTGCAAACGGAGAGCCACTGCAGAAAAGGCCCTTTCTCATCTTGTCACCCTCCGGACTTCTCATGGAGGAGGCACACAGAGAAGGGCCTCAGATGATTATCATTGCAGGGTCCAGGTCGGTTCATATGGGGGAGAGGCGGCCCTTGAGATATTGCAGTCCTGAGTCTTTTAAAGCTTTGTAGGTCAAAACCAGCGCTTTGATTTGGGCTCATAAACTTAATTGTTGGCTAGTGCAGTAAGGCCAGGATCAGTTTAATAGGTTCAAACTGACTTGCCTTGGTGAGCAACCTGGCCTCTGAATTAGTGGGTTGTGAGGATGGTCCTGTCTGTGACAGGGAGTTGCTAACTACATGGAGGGTTTTTTTATACACTGGTACCTCGGGTTAAGAACTTAATTCGTTCCAGAGGTCTGTTCTTAACTTGAAACTGTTCTTAACCTGAAGCACCACTTTAGCTAATGGGGCCTCCTGCTGCTGCTGTGCCACCGCTGCACGATTTCTGTTCTCATCTTGAAGCAAAGTTCTTAACCCGAGGTAATATTTCTGGGTTAGCGGAGTCTATAACCTGAAGCGTATGTAACCTGAAGCATATGTAACCCAAGGTACCACTGTATATAAAAAGTATACAGTGGACGCTCGGGTTGCGAACGTGATCCATGCGGGATGCACGTTTGCAACCCGCAGTGGCGCGTTTGCGCATGCGCGGCTTGCGATTCGGCACTTATGCGCAAAGCGTGATTTAGCGTTTCTGCACATGCGCGACCGCCGTAACCCGGAAGTAACCCGTTCCGGTACTTCTGGGTTTCGGCAGGTCCATAATTCGAAAAAACGCAACCTGAAGCGTCTGTAACCTGAGGTATGACTGTATTTTGTTTTAATTTTCACAGACTCTGGGATATTCCTCATCTATAGCAGTGGTCTTCAAGGCTGCTTGGAGACTAAGGACTCTCTAGTGAAAATTTCCAAGAGTTGCAACACCAGCCTCCCAGCCCAGAAGTGGAAATGGGTTTCCCGGAACCGGCTTTTCAACGTTGGGGCTATGCAATGCTTGGGGGTCTCCTGGAAGTCTTCAAACTCAAGCGCAACAGCCCAGGCACTAGGCACCTATGAGTGCGACCGGGAATCTGTCAACATGCGGTGGAACTGCCGGAGCCTAGGTGACCAGCTTTCCCAGTATTTGAGCTCCAGGTTGGGGAACTGGTCACTGACACCATCGGAGAGGGGCGATCAGGCACGAGGAGGCCAGTGGAAGATCTATGGCCACGATGAAGATTTGTGCTCCAGGCCGTATTCGGGTAAAGCCTCTAGTAGAGGATTGAAACTTTTCTTTCTCATTCTTTGCTGTTGCTGGTAGCACAGTGGTGCCTTGGTAGTCGAACGGATTGACTCCAAAACAAATCGGCTCCTGAATGCTGCAAACCCAGATGTGAGTGTTCTGGTTTGCGAACATTTTTCAGAAGCCAAACGTCCAACACAGCTTCCAATTGAGTGCAGGAAGCTCCTGCAGCCAATCGGAGGCTGTGCCTTGGTTTTCGAACGTTTTCTGAAGTCAAACGGACTCCTGGAACGGATTTAATTCGAGAACCAAGGTACCACTGTATGTGTTTCACGGGTTTGCTGTGCGAATTCAGAAGGCGGGTCTCTCAACTGCACCAGTGCTGGGTCTAGCAAAGCAGAAGTGGTTCCTTCTACGTTCTGCACTGAGTTGTAAGAGTTTTCAGAGCTTAGGATTGCTCTGCAAATCATAGTTGAGTGGAGAGTCAGCAATCGTAAAATTTCCAGCTGTTTGTAAAAGCCAAGGCAAACGGGAAAATGGTGCTGTGTTTCTGAAAGATGGGTCCTTGATTCTTTGCCTCTCTTCCGCGATGCTCGCTGCGTTCCCACCATATTTTAACTGTCTCTCTTGAGTTTCATTTTGCCAAAGTCTGGGCCGTCGCCAAAGCCACCGACCACCATTCAGTCTAAATAACGCTTAAGTTCAAACATCAGCCTCAGTTTGCATTGGAAACAGCTGCATAGTGAAATTGTGGTTTAAATTGCTTTAGTTTGAATCCAGGTTAAGTTGGTTGCCTTCTGGCTGTTTCCACACTGGGCCCCTGCTGTGAAATAGCTGCGCTTTTACTCACTTTCAACGAGGTACTGCAAAACATCTTAACAAAGCACCCCCCACTTTATCTTTTCATAAACCCCTTGAGGGTATTAGAGTGGCTATTCCACTTCCAGCTTAAATCAGAACAGCGATTCTGTGCTGCTAAATCGTCCCTGTCTGGGAGCACCCTTTGATTTCCAGCGAGGAAAGTTAGCCATGACTAACGAAGGTTCCACTAAAATGAGCGCAGGATTAAAGTTCAACTAATTTAGCCTGGATGGAACCCTCTTTCACAAAACCGATGTGTGTTCTAAATTGCAGCATAAAACCACTCTGTGATGTGGAACTGAACTGTTCTGTGAAAGGTTGCTTTTCTGTCCCTCAAGGCTGCAAAGATAGGCAGAGGTACATAGGCAGGTACCTGATAGAATCTAAGGCGCTAGATGGAGGACCAAATTTCCAGAGAATCAGTGTTCCAGTGCTCTTTAACCTTTCTTCAAAATAAGTGCATGACAAAAATGCCATTTTTGTTTAATTTGAGTAATTTATTTACTTCACGGAACTAAGCTGTTCTTTGGCAGAAAATTTGGGCTATGTTGATGCAGACTTTTTTGGGAGAGAAAAAATACCTGAGTACATATACATGTATTGCAAGGTGACCAAATGAACAAGAAACTCAGAACTTGGACCAGAGAGCGGTTTACGAATATGAATAGAGTCGTAGCCCAAAATTCATAAGTCAAGTCAGTGTGTCTTTCTGAAAGGACAAATGAGCTCACAGAGGGCAAATCCTCACCACCTCTGCGTTGTTGATATATTAGGAGAGGAAGGGGGGAATCGCATTTCAAAGAAGTTCTTGTTTTGCTTTGCCTCTTCCCAGTCGGCTTTTGATGTGCTAACTTTTCAGACAATGCCAAACCCCAAAACCTTGCGATCCAATTCTGGATTGAATAGTCGGGAAGACCTTTTTTAAGTGTCTCCTATTTTTGCCGCAGTAAACAGACTAAACCTTTTGCTGTGGGAATTGAGGCCAACGCATGTAGGTTTCCAAACCCTGTGAGAGATCAGTTTCCCTGCTGATTATTTAGGGGCTCAGATGCAAATGGTCTTATTTGATGTCTTTGCCTTTTGCTAGTTTGATGACCTTGAAGCTTTTCCAGCCATCTGTGCTTCAGTCAGCATCCTACCATTAACAAACAAGCCCTGTGTTCTGAAGAACCCGCTTGATGCAGAATTTTTATGTTTGTTTTGGTAGCGCAGTTCGCGCATACTCTTGGTGCATGTGGAAAAAATTTCATCATGTGCTCAGTGGAGCAGCTCGACAGCCCAAATATGTGCTGGATTAATTTGAAGTCAGGCAGGGTATGCTGTGAGGGCACAGCTAGCCGGAGGAGTTGTGGAATGGCGTGTTGAATGTTAACTTAGGGCTGCAAGAACATACAGGTGAAACTCGGAAAATTAGAATATTGTGGAAAAGTTCATTTATTTCAGTAATTCAACTTAAAAGGTGAAACTAATATATGAGATAGACTCATGACATGCAAAGCGAGATATGTCAAGCCTTTATTTGTTATAATTGTGATGATCATGGCGTACAGTCGATGAAAAGCCCAAATTAACAATCTCAGAAAATTAGAATTTTAAACGAAATCAGCAAAACAAGGACTGCAAATAGAGCAATATTGGGCCTCTGAGAAGTAGAAGCATGCATATGTACTCAGTACTTTGTTTGGGCCCCTTTTGCATCAATTACTGCCTCTGCGGCGTGGCATGGATGCCATCAGCCTGTGGCACTGCTGAGGTGTTATGGAAGACCAGGATGCCTCAATAGCAGCCTTCAGCCCTTCTGCATTGCTCGGTCTCATGTCTCTCATCTTTCTCTTGGCTTGGCAATGCCCCATAGATTCTCTATGGGGTTCAGGTCAGGCGAGTTTGCTGGCCAATCAAGCACAGTAATCCCATGGGCATTGAACCAGGTTTTGGTACTTTGGGCAGTGTGGGCAGGTGCCAAAGTCCTGCTGGAAAATGAAGTCAGCATCCCCATAAAGCTCGTCTACGGAAGGAAGCATGAAGTGCTCCAAAATCTCCTGGTAGACGGCTGCGTTGACCCTGGACTTAATGAAGCACAGTGGACCAACACCAGCTGATGACATGGCTCCCCAAATCAACACAGACTGTGGAAACTTAACACTGGACTTCAAGCATCTGGCATTGTGTGCCTCCCCATTCTTCCTCCAGACTCTGGGTCCTTGGTTTCCAAATGAGATGCAAAAGCTGCTCTCACCAGAAAAGAGATTAGTCAAGAGACAGATGAGAGACATGAGACCCAGCAATACAGAAGGGCTTCTCCATGATATTCTAATTTTCCGAGTTTCACCTGTAGGTTGCCAAGGCCTTTGGGGTTAAATGATAAGCAGTCACTCTCTCTCCATATCAAAGAAGGACTCTCCATAGGAGCTCTTTCTCTCTGTGTGTTTTATCTCTCTCTTCTCTTCCTCCAGAAATTTACACCATTCAAGGCAACTCTCATGGGAAGCCCTGTACTATCCCCTTCAAGTACGACAGCCAGTGGTTCTATGACTGCACCAGCATGGGGCGTGGAGATGGTCACCTCTGGTGTGCCACCACACAGGATTACGGCAAAGATGAAAGATGGGGGTTCTGCCCCATTAAGAGTAAGCTGCTTCTGTGGGGTGGGAAATCACGGGGACCGATGGGCCAAACCACAGGAGTGAACAGATGGTTGTGCCAACTGTTGAACCGAAAAACAGTCCTCCTTTCTTAAGACACCATGGGAGGTTTCCTTCTGCCTTCTAAGCCTCCAGGGTTTTGGTTTCCAAAATTACCCTTCTGTAAGTGTTCCGTTCACACACACATGCCCTGAGCGGTTGCACTGGTTTCTGTGATTCAGTCTTCCCCCTCAAGAGTTGGAGTATTGATGAATATTCCATGCGGGTGTCCAGGGACAAGGGACTAAAACAAGTAGCGTTCGCTGTAAATAGATAAGATAGGCTTGCAAGTGCTGCAGAAGCTGTAGTAGTGTATAGAACAGGCTTCCTCAGCCTTGGCCCTCCAGATGTTTTAGGCCTACAACTCCCATGATCCCTAGCTAGCAGGACCAGTGGTCAGGGATGATGGGAATTGTAGTCTCAAAACATCTGGGGGGCCGAGGTTGAGGAAGTCTGGTATAGAAGGACACCAATGATCGGTCTCTTTCCTGTATCGTGACAAAGGGTAAACAATATACGCATTAATTTGAGACTGTCCTTTACCCTCAGGGCTCAAAGTGAGTTAAATATCTTACAAATGTATATAAAATAAAACAGACATTGAATGGGTGCTTCTCAGAGTGCTCAGTTTGAAAGATAAGGAAGGAGTGCAAGCCTATAGAAGGCCGTATCACCATTCCCAAACTGCTGTCCCATCTTCTCTTACTCCTGCTACAGTGGTACCTCGGGTTACAGACGCTTCAGGTTACAGACTCCGCTAACCCAGAAATAGTTAAGAACTTTGCTTCAGGATGAGAGCAGAAATCACCTGGCGGCGGCGGGAGGCCCCATTAGCTAAAGTGGTGCTTCAGGTTAAGAACAGTTTCAGGTTAAGAACGGACCTCCGGAACAAATTAAGTATGTAACCAGAGGTACCACTGTATAAAGTACAGTGGTACCTCTGGTTGCAAACGGGATCTGTTCCAGAGGCCCGTTCGCAACCTGAAAGGAACACAACCCGCATCTGTGTGTGTGCAGGTCGCGATTCATCGCTTCTGCGCATACGCGTGATGTCATTTAGTGCGTCTGCACATGTGCGAGCGGTGAAACCCGGAAGTAACCTGGACGCAACCTGAAAACGCTCAACCTGAAGCAAACACAACATGAGGTATGACTGTATAAGGTATAGTCACTGCCTTCTCTCCCCTGCCCCCACCTCACAGGACCCTGTCACACAACACAGAGGCTGGGAAAAGCCTTCCCTAAAACTCTGGAAAAGTGACTTGAAGTTTACAGCATGTTATTCTTTGAAGGAGAACTATCTGAAAATGAATCACAGATGGTATTTAACTCCATAGGTTTGTTAGGATGTGTAAGACTAATCAGATAAGTGCTGGAAGTGTGAAGAGGCAGAGGGAATGTTCTTTCATATGTGGTGGACGTGTTAAAGGGGAAAAGAATATTGGGAAATGAACCGTAATGAATTGAAAAAAATGTTTAAAAGTACTTCCCCCCCCCCCCAAAACAGAGTCCTTTCTGTTGGGGATAATCCAGACTGAAATTCCCAGGTGTCAGAAAAGGTTATTTATGTATGCCACTATTGTGGCCCGTGTTTTGTTAGCCCAAAAATGGAAAATGATCAAGGTGCCAACCAAAGACATTCTAAGGGCAACTAGAGTTGACAGAATATGCACAGCTTGCAGACTTAACATATAGAATAAGAGAACAAGAAGGACATAAGTTTAAAGAAGATTGGAAACTGTTTATTGAATATATGGGAAATAATTTTGTACAGCTGAAAAAGTTGGCAGCATTAAGATAAATTCAACAGTATAAATAAGTTATGTTGGGTGTAATAATGGAATACTGAATGGCATAGTCTCTGTAAAATATGCAGGGATTTATGATATGTAAGGGATGCGGGTGGCGCTGTGGGTTAAACCACAGAGCCTAGGACTTGCCGATCAGAAGGTCGGTGGTTCGAAAATGTTGAAAAGTACTTAAAAAACAAACAAACAGAGTCCTTTTCATTGGGGATAATTCAGATGGAAATTCCCAGGTGTCAAAAAAGGTTATTTATGTATGCCACTAGGGACACGGGTGGCGCTGTGGGTTAAACCACTGAGCCTCTTGGGCTTGCCGATCAGAAGGTCAGCGGTTCGAATCCCCGCGGTGGGGTGAGCTCCCGTTGCTCGGTCCCTGCTCCTGCTAACCTAGCAATTCGAAAGCACGTCAAAGTGCAAGTAGATAAATAGGTACCGCTCCGGCGGGAAGGTAAACGGCGTTTCCATGCGCTGCTCTGGTTCACCAGAAGCGGCTTAGTCATGCTGGCCACATGACCCGGAAGCTGTACGCCGGCTCCCTCGGCCAATAAAGCGAGATGAGCGCCGCAACCCCAGAGTCGGCCACGACTGGACCTAATGGTCAGGGTCCCTTTACCATTTACCTTTATGATATGTAAAATGATCCATGGAAAGAGAAGAAGGGAAGTCATTGATATCTCAAGGGTGTAAAATGAGTATTTTAAATTGTAAAGCAGAAATTTTAATAAAAAATGTGTGTGTGTGTACACACACACACACACACACACACACACACACAGTGGTACCTCTGGTTACGTACTTAATTCGTTCTGGAGGTCCGTTCTTAACCTGAAACTGTTCTTAACCTGAAGCACCACTTTAGCTAATGGGGCCTCCCGCTGCCGCTGCGCCACCACTGTGCAATTTCTGTTCTCATCCTGAAGCTCTTAACCCGAGGTACTATTTCTGGGTTAGCGGAGTCTGTAACCTGAAGCGTATGTAACCTGAAGCATATGTAACCCGAGGTACCACTGTATATGTGTGTGTCTCCTTTCCACCTCCCATTCTGTTGTGGTCAGCAAAAGGGACAACTCCCCTTTGATGCTACCTACAGATGGCTGCCCACAGGGTGTCTCTTGATCGGTATGGATAATGGTCACGTTGACTTGCAGTAGTAAATGCCCTTCTTTCTTTCTTTTTTGCCTGTCCTCTTAGGCGATGACTGCGATACATTTTGGGACAGGGACCAGCTCACCAACAGCTGCTACCAGTTCAACTTCCAGTCCACCCTGTCTTGGCAGGAGGCTGGGAAGAGCTGTGAGCAGCAAGGGGCCAGTCTGCTGAGCATCACTGAGGTCCACGAACAGACCTACATCAATGGTGAGCTATGGGCACAGGGAACTGAAGAAGTCCCTGCTGCCAAAAGTGTACACGATTCCCTGATTGCCTTTCTCCTGACATGCACACCAGCAATAGGCCATTCCAGTCATGTTTGTTCTCCTGGTCTACTTCAGTGAGTGGGAACTCAGTTTGGGAAGGGGCTATACTGAGGACTGACTCTGGAAAAGTGGGCCAGTCACTATATAAGATATAATAATAATAATAATAATAATAATAATAATAATAAATTTTATTTATATCCCACCCTCCCCAGCCGAAGCCGGGTTCAGAGCGGCTAATATCAAATGTATAACACATTAACATAAAATCAGACAATCAATTAAAATACAAATGTGTTTCTGAACAGCGACAGGAGATTTGGAGTTGCAGTTCTGTGATCACTTGAGATTCTGCAGCGGATTTCATTTCATTTCATTTTTAATTTGTATACTGCCTTTCTATCTTACAATGCTCAAGGTGGTTTACAAGCTGAAGAAACAAAAAATGTGCATCTTATAACAATCTAATGCAATACAAAAATATGATAATAAAGCATAACTTTAAAATAGGCAACCTACATCAAAAAAGTAACAGTCAGCAATCATTAGAATAGTATAAAATAATGTCAACATATAAAAGTTAAACAGAAATCCACTCAACAGTTACAATAGTATCTAAACTATAATCAATAAAACGGCAAGCCTCAGTACATAAAACAATACAATACACATTAAGAAGCAGAGGGTGGGGCAGGGCAGGTGGACGGAGGCCTTGCCTGATGGAGTCTCTCCCCTCACAGTCTCTCTAAAATAATAATAATAATAATTTATACCCCACCCTCCCTGGCTAGAGCCGGGCTCAGGGCGGCTAACACCAATAAAATCACAGTAAAAACATATTAGGAGGAAAAGGAAAAGCAAAGCAAAATTAAAATACAGGTTAAAATGCAATTTAAAATGCAGCCTTATTTTAAAAGTAGGCGATAAATCAAGACGATAAGGGAAGGGAAACATAAGGGTCAGACTGAGTCCAAACCAAAGGACAGGCGGAACAGCTCTTCAGTACAGTCAAACCTTGGATACCGAAGGCCTCCATTTTGGAACGTTTCGACTCCCAAACACCGAAAACCTAGAAGTAAATGCTCTGGTTTTCGAATGTTTTTTGGAAGCCGCGCCTCGGTTGTCAAACATTTTGGAAGCTAAATGGGCTTCCGGAACGGATTATATTCGACAATCGAGGTTTGACTGTATTGTTGCAGAAATTCAGAATCTCTTCAGTATCGGAAGAAAAGGAAAGCTGGCGGGCTCTTGTTGCAAATGAGAGAGATAGGATCTGGGGAAAATCAGGCTGTGTTATGTGGTCAGCAGGGCAAGCGTCCAAGATTTAAGGAGGTCTCTGTGGCTGGAGGAAGTGGGGTCTAGGTTCTGTCAGGGACCAGGAAGTGCTTGCGTTGCTGGATGTGTCTTACGCTGAGAAGGTGGAGGATCTGACTGCCCTTTTCCTGTCTACACCAGGACTGCTAACGGGATATGGTTCCACACTGTGGATTGGGCTTAATGATCTGGACCTCAACGGGGGCTGGCAGTGGTCAGACAACTCACCTTTGAAGTTCCTTAACTGGGAGAGTGGTAAGTAAAAAAAATACCAAGAGGATGGCTGAATTATCCCACTGAATTGACAAATGAGCCACATGGCTGGCATGGGCTGTTGGTATTTGCTGGAGACTAATTTTATGCAGGTGGCGCTGTGGTCTAAACCACTGAGCCTCTTGGGCTTGCCGATCAGAAGGTCGGCGGTTCTAATCCCCGCGACGGGGTGAGCTCCCGTTGCTCGGTCCCAGCTCCTGCCAACCTAGCAGTTCGAAAGCACGCCAGTGCAAGTAGATAAATAGGTACCGCTCCGGCGGGAAGGTAAACGGCGTTTTCGTGCGCTGCTCTGGTTTTGCCAGAAGTGGCTTAGTCATGCTGGCCACATGACCCGGAAAAACGGTCTGCGGACAAACGCCGGCTCCCTCGGCCAATAAAGCAAGATGAGCACTGCAACCCGAGTCATTCACGACTGGACTTAACTGTCAGGGGTCCCTTTACCTTACCTTAGTGCTACTATATCGCTTTTTGAAATACAAAGTGTTGTGACACTTCTGATACTGGTTTGGCCAAAGGTACCCCACAAATGTCAACCGTGAGCAGTCACTTGAACTTGAGTCACAGTTGGCAAATCAAGCTCTTCAGCTGTGCAGTATAAATTCTCTCCTGCCTTCAGTGATGCAGCTAGATAATTTAAAACCCCAGACTTAGTGACCTTTTCCCCTCTTCTTCTTCTTTTTTGCAGTGGGGGGCTTTTGACGCCCATGTGTATTGTGGGCAGTTGTGAAGCAAACAATTCACATTTCTCTTCTCCATCCCCTCCCAGCTCTCCTCCATACTTTAAAACTGCTTCTACGTTTCTGATAAATCAGAGCAAGAAACACTTTGTGAATTCTGATTTATTATTATTATTTTTTAAAGGAGCATGTGGAGTTTCTCATTTTAAACTAGCCATCTGGACTACGGGAATAAAATGGGGTTTGCTTCTGCTGAATGGATTTACTTGGGAATAAGCATCATATTTGCTTGTTATGGAAAAGGATGTAATGGTTCTAAAGTAAATAATGAAACGAGCATTCTGTACATTGGTGCTTGGCCATTTCTTGACACACACTCTCTCTCTCTCTCTGTACAGTGGTACCTCGGTTTACATACGCTTCAGGTTACAGACTCCGCTAACCCAGAAATAGTACCTCGGGTTAAGAATTTTGCTTCAGGATGAGAACAGAAATTGTGCTCCAGCGGCGCAGCAGCAGCAGGAGGCCCCATTAGCTAAAGTGGTGCTTCAGGTTAAGAACAGTTTCAGGTTAAGAACGGACCTCCGGAACGAATTAAGTACTTAACCCGATGTACCACTGTATATATATACAGTGGTGCCCCGCAAGACGAATGCCTCGCAAGACGGAAAAACCGCTAGACGAAAGGGTTTTCTGTTTTGAAGTTGCTTCGCAGGACGAATTCCCCTATGGGCTTGCTTCGCAAGACGAAAATACCTTGCGAGTCTTGAGATTTTTTTCGCTTTTCCCCCTTTATCTAATCTGCTAAGCCTTTAATAGCCTTTAATAGCCTTTTAGCAGCTAATCCCCTAAGCCTTTAAGCCTTTAATAGCCGCTAAACCGCTAATAGCGCTAATAGCGCTAATCCGTCAATGGGCTTGCTTCGCAAGACGAAAAAACCGCTAGACGAAGACTCTCACGGAACGGATTAATTTCGTCTTGCGAGGCACCACTGTATATATATATTAAAGCAAGAAGATCAAGGGACGAACCTGGATAGCTCGGTTCTTTAGAGCATGGGTAGGCAGACTAAGGCCCGGGGCCTGGATCCTGCCCAATCGCCTTCTAAATCAGGCCTGTTGACGGTCCGGGAATCAGCGTGTTTTTACATGAGTAGAATGTGTGCTTTTATTTAAAATGCATCTCTGGGTTATTTGTGGGGCATAGGAATTTGTTCATTCCCCCCCCCAAAAAAAACCAACAACAGTCCGGCTCTCTACAAGGTCTGAGGGACAGTGGACCGGCCCCCTGCTGGAAAAGTTTGCTGACCCCTGCTTTAGAGCATGGTTGCAGGTCTGATCTCAGTATGGGACTTCACTGTGGGGGGGTTGGATCCTGAGGATCTCTCCCAACTCTGCAATTCTATGAGTCTTAAGGATACTGCAGCAACCAGCATTGGCCCCAGTGACCCATGGCCCATGGGTACCCTGGTGCGGACACCAAGCCTGTTTGCCACTGCCCCATCGCCTGCTGTAATTGTGGGTGGCTGGGTTGTGGGGCCTTGGGAGTTCATCCAGAAGGCACAACCCTAGCTGCCCCACTGGCTGCCTCTTCCAAGTCTCAACAACAACATCCAAAGCGCATTTCTTATTCCGATTCTCTTTGGAACACAGTGGTACCTCTGGTTACGTACTTAATTTGTTCTGGAGGTCTGTTCTTAACCTGAAACTGTTCTTAACCTGAAGCACCACTTTAGCTAATGGGGCCTCCCGCTGCCGCCGCCACGTGATTTCTGTTCTCATCCTGAAGCAAAGTTCTTAGAGAGCCAGTGTGGTGTAGTGGTTAAGAGCGATAGACTCGTAATCTGGGGAACCGGGTTCGGGTCTCCACTCCTCCACATGCAGCTGCTGGGTGACCTTGGGCTAGTCACATTTCTCTGAAGTCTCTCAGCCCCACTCACCTCACAGAGTGTTTGTTGTGGGGGAGGAAGGGAAAGGAGAATGTTAGCCGCTTTGGGACTCCTTCGGGTAGTGATAAAGCGGGATATCAAATCCAAACCCTTCTTCTTTTTCTTCTCAACCCGAGGTACTATTTCTGGGTTAGCGGAGTCTGTAATCTGAAGTGTATGTAACCTGAAGCGTCTGTAACCCGAGGTACCACTGTAAATGCATAGGCTGCCTCCACACCATATATTTAAAGCACAGGATTCCACCCAAAATCCTGAAAACTGTACTTTTTTTATGGGAATTATAGTTCAATGATGGCATGAGCTACAGTTCTCATTATTCTTTTTTTTGGGGGGGGAGCCATGTGTTTTAAATGTGTGTGTGCAGCCTCTGTATTTGAGATTCAAAACATCCTCGGGTGTGGTTTTGCCTCTTTCCGCACAGCAAAGCACTGTCAGGCTGTGCTTTTCTGGGTAAATAACAGCTGTACAGTGGTGCCCCGCAAGACGAATGCCTCGCAAGACGGAAAACCTGCTAGACGAAAGGGTTTTCCGTTTTGGAGGTGCTTCGCAAAACGAATTTCCTATGGGCTTGCTTCGCAAGAGGAAAATGTCTTGCGAGTTCCTGCGGGGTTTTTTTCCTTTCCCCCCCCTTTTTCCCAAGCCGCTAAGCCGCTTATCAGCTGATCCGCTAAGCCGCTTAACAGCTGATCGCTAAGTCGCTTATCAGCTGATCCGCTAAGGCGCTTAACAGCTGATCCGCTAAGCCGCTTAACAGCTGATCGCTAAGCCGCTTAACAGCTGATCGCTAAGCCGCTTATCAACTGATCCGCTAAGCCGCTTAACAGCTGATCGGCTAAGCCGCTTAACAGCTGATCGCTAAGCCGCTTATCAGCTGATCCGCTAAGCCGCTTAACAGCTGATCGGCTAAGCCGCTTAACAGCTGATCTGTTAAGCCACTAAGCCGCTTATTAGCTGATCGGCTAAGCCGCTTATCAGCTGATCCGTTAAGCCGCTTAACAGCTGATCGCTAAGCCGCTTATCAGCTGATCCGCTAAGCCCGCTAAGCCGCTAATACTGTAGCGCTAATCCGCTAAACCGCTAATGGGCTTGCTTCGCAAGACGAAAAAACCCGCAAGACGAAGAGACTCGCGGAACGGATTCTTTTCGTCTTGCGAGGCACCACTGTAGTTGCAAAGGTTGGTGACCTCCTCCTCCTGCTGCCCCTTGCAGATCAGCCTGACAACCCCAGCGAAGAAAACTGTGGGGTGATACGGACAGAGTCGTCAGGGGAATGGCAGAACCGTGACTGCAGCATGGCCTTGCCTTACATCTGCAAGAAAAAACCCAATGCCACTTCTAATATATACTTCTTACGTGAGTAATATGCAGAAAGCGATTGGTTTGACGTATATATATCATGATCTGAAAGCCACCTATCTCATGCCTGCCTTTCTGCAACCCCAACAACTATTGGCCGAGCTGTTCTGATGTCACGGAATGTCCGTGAAACATGTGCTGACTGTCTGGAGTAGAAGTGAGTGTCGGGAACGGAATGCTCCAAAGAGCGCAGCTTCTGTGAGACAAGTGAAAGGGCAGTTTAACTGCGGTCTTTTTTTTCCTGGCTGAAGATGAACAGGAAGAGTAGGCCTAGGGGAAAGCATGACTATAAAGCAGAGAGTAGGCAGAAGAAGCTTTCAGGCAGTGCTGTGGAGAAAAAGACAAAAGCCTGAGGGGAAAATGAAGGAGGGAGACCTGGTGGAAAACATCTTGCTGGATTTAGGGGCAGAAATACATGGAGTTGGTTGGAAGGAAGTAGGCAAGCAATGTCGGTTTGTAGAAAAAGTGCCAGGCAGTCCTAGAGGGTCTAAGTGAGGAGGGAGGGGAATTTTACACTTTCACCTGCATTGGCTGCAGGGTCTGCAGTTTGAAGGATTTTATTAGCTCTCTGTCAGATGGAGCCTTTTGGATTCATATATTTATTTACTTTATACGATTTCTGTCCTGGCCCACCCTGTAAGGCCCCATACAATCAAAACTAAATAAAAGAAGGGAAAGGGTTTACAGTCGTACCTTGGAAGTCAAACGGAATCCGTTCCAGAAGTCCGTTCGACTTCCTAAACGTTCGGAAACCAAAGCACGACTTCTGATTGGCTGCAGGAAGCTCCTGCAGCCAATCGGAAGCCCCGTCGGATGTTCGGCTTCCAAAGATAGTTCGCAAACCGGAACAGTCACTTCCGGGTTTGTGGCGTTTGGAAGCCAAAATGTTTGAGAACTAAGCTGTTCGAAAACCAAGTTACGACTGTGCATGCAATGATAAAAAACAAATAAAACAGTTCCAATCAAAACTGGAAGTGAGTCCTTAAAAAAAAACCCCAATCCATTAATTGACAGAGGCCAGAGTTAAAGAGGTGCGTCTTTTCAGCACACGACAGAACCTAGACAATGAAGATGCTTGCTAGTTTGTTCGTGGAGGGCATGTGAAATTTCTGCTTTCCGGGTTGCGGATCTTGGGTGTGCGCTCCTAATTAAAATATCGCTCCCACAACTTTCCCCGGATACTGCTTACTCAAAGCTTTGCTTTTCCTAATTGCAGTGGAGTCTGATGTGAAGGTTGACTGTGATCCGGGCTGGCAGCCTTTCCAGACCAACTGCTACCGCTTGATCAGTGAAAAGAAGAGTTGGCCAGATGCCAAAAAAACCTGCTTGCGGAGCGAAGGGGATCTGGTCAGTATCCACACCCTCAACGAACTGGAGTTTGTTACCAAGCAAATCAAGCAAGGTAAGCAATGCTGTGTCACATGTGCTCTGTGTGTGTGTTTGCTTGTGTGTATGTGGATTATCCCATAAAGAAGGCTGATCGCTGAAGAATTGATGCTTTAGAATTATGGTGCTGGAGGAGACTCTTGAGAGTCCCATGGACTGCAAGAAGATCAAACCTCTCCATTCTGAAGGAAATCAGCCCTGAGTGCTCACTGGAAGGACAGATCCTGAAGCTGAGGCTCCAAGACTTTGGCCACCTCATGAGAAGAGAAGACTCCCTGGAAAAGACCCAACGTTGGGAAAGATGGAGGGCACAAGGAGAAGGGGACGACAGAGGACAAGATGGTTGGACAGTGCTCTCGAAGCTACCAGCATGAGTTTGACCAAACTGCGGGAGGCAGTGGAAGACAGGAGTGCCTGGCGTGCTCTGGCCCATGGGGTCACGAAGAGTCGGACACGACTAAACAACAGCAACAACAACATGTGGCTTATCTCTGATTTAACTTTTTTTAATGTGAGCAAAAGCTTATTTGAATATCGAGCAGTGACTCTGCTGTAGAACCAGAGTTGCTCCTTTTATATCTGCACACACTTCCAAAATGAATCAAGCCTAGGATCAGCTGATTCTCTCTATTTCCAGGAGAAGCTGGCTGTGCAGAATGCTGATTGGCTGGCTCTTGTGACAATCACAAAGCTGCCTCCCTCCCATCTCGCCATCCAGATGTTTTGGGGACAATCTTGAAGCTATTCACCTCGAGCACAGGGTGTTAAAAAGGGAGTCTTTTAGAAAATCTGGATTTTTATTTTTTTTTAAGCACTGAATAAATGTTTAATGGATAAACATGCCGCGGGGTCTGGAAAAATCATTTTGAAATGTCACAGTCTGGAAGAGCAAAATCGAGGAGAGTGAAGGTTATGGGGAGGAGCTACAGCAGGGAAATGCTCCCCTACTTCTGTAGGGAGCTATTTCTGCCTCTTCCTCAAGTTTCTAGTCTTCATGAGGATCATGTGTTTTGCTAAATGCTCACAAACCAGAGGGAACTGGTTGGGAAAAGCTGGTTGGGAGCTACACGGCCAGGGAAAAAACAATGCTATCCAGGGTTGTAAAGACTGCAGAGAGAATAATTGGGTGCACTCTTCCCACTTTAGACCAAATCTATGCTGTCATGTGCCATAAGAAAGCGGCAGAGATAGCACAGGATAGTACGCACCCCAGAAATGATCTCTTTCAGCTTCTGCCTTCTGGAAGAAGGTATAGGGTTATAAAGGCCAAGACTAGCCGCCTGAGAAACAGTTTCTACGCAAATGCAATTCTGGTTCTAAATGCAGCATAAGGGGTCTCTGTAGTATAGTGTATTTTAAAATGGGGTTTTAAAGTTTTTAGGGGTTTTTGAATGTTTTATGTAGTTTTTATGTAGTTTTATGTAGGTTTGTGGTAGTTTTATGTAGTTTTATGTAGTTTTCAATTTCATTGTTCTGCAAGGGACAATGACAATAAAGATATTGTATCGTATCGCCTGGGTGTATTGTGTGGGCAGTAACTGGCAGGTGAAGAAGATTTTTTTTTCTTCATTTAGTAGAAGTCCCCCCTTTCCCTGCTTGTTTTGGCAGATGTCGAAGAGCTCTGGATTGGCCTGAACGATCTCAAGCGGCAGATGAGCTTTGAGTGGTCAGACGGCACGCCAGTGCAGTTCACATTCTGGCACCCCTTTGAGCCCAACAATTTCCGAGACAGCCTGGAGGACTGCGTGACGATCTGGGGACCGGTACGTATAAGAGCTGGAAGGGTACCCATCACGAGAAGGCGACATAGCTCCGAGCATACAGGATTGAACCCTCTTCATATCTGTCGTGCAACACTTAGGAATGCAAGCTTCCATGAATTGGAGGTTGCAATTGATTGGCGAAAATTATATTTGTAAATATGGCTCCTGGGCAAACCTGAGCTGACAGTTAGCAAAGTTGTTGGAATTCAGAGCCTTAAAGAACAGGCAGTTTTGCGGGCCGTCATGCAACTGAGTCAGCTCCTTCATCCTTTCAGTAGATTGGATGGAAAAAGAAACTTAGTGATGACTCCCCTTTCCCACTTGGCCGCAAAGCAAGTGTGTAATGCAAATGGTTTTTCTTCAGTAAGAGCCCGTGGACAACTAAATTGGGTAGTAGTGTCCAGGTGAAACCCCAGTCAAGTGAGAATCTCAGGCCCAGAGGCTTAATTTGGCCCCAGGCTCCTCTCTGGCCCTTAGGACTGTCCTCAGGCCACACCCCCTCTTCCCAGGCCACAGCCCTCAGTGGTCCTGGAATTAACTCTGAGCATGTTCCTTGCTGGAGGATGGAGAGGGATGAATGAATGTGAATAAACTAGTCTACAGTACTGTGCAAAGGTAAAATCCACATATGTTGTGCTGCCCGCGTTCCTTTCTGGGTAACCACCTAGCCATTGCACATGGTCCAGAAAGGAATATGGCTCTCGGGTCGAATAATACTACTACTAATAATAGCAATAATTTATTACTTATACCCCGCCCATCTGGCTGGCTTTCCCCATTCGTATCCTACAGTAATGATTAGTAAAGGTAAGGTACGCAGGTGGTCTAAACCACTGAGCCTCTTGGGCTTGCCGATTGGAAGGTCGGCGGTTCGAATCCCCGTGATTGGGTGAGCTGCCGTTGCTCTGTCCCAGCTCCTGCCAACCTAGCAGTTCGAAAGCACGCCAGTGCAAGTAGATAAATAGGTACCACTGCAGCGGGAAGGTAAACGGCATTTCCGTGCGCTCTGGTTTCCGTCACGGTGTCCTGTTGCGCCAGAAGCGGTTTAGTCATGCTGGCCACATGACCCAGAAAGCTGTCTGTGGACAAACGCTGGCTCCCTTGACCTGAAAGTGAGATGAGCGCCGCAACCCCATAGTCGCCTTTGATGGGACTTTACCGTCCAGGGGTCCTTTACCTTTTTTTTTTAATTTTTTTTTATTACGGTAATGATAATCTTGAACATACATTTATTTTCTTACAGAGTCCCCCCCCCCCCCACCCCGCCACTGTACCTGGGAATAACTTTTGCTGCAATTCCGATTAAGTAAAACAAGGGTAGGGAATGGTCCTCGGGACTGATCAGTGGAAAGTGAGGATGTGTAGGAGAAAATTAGATTGAAATGGAGTAGTAGGCAAGATGGAGTATCGCTGCAGAAGGGCACAGAGACAAATAGCCTGTTTTTAGGGGGTGGAGGTGGGGGAAATCAAAGGCTTCTAACCTATGCAGAATTCTTCCGATAAGGCAAGGCTGGGAAAGCTTTGTCCCTCCAGATGTTGTTGGATTCCAACTCCCATCAGCTCCACCCAGCATGATCAGTGGTCAAGCATGATGGTAATTGTAGTTTAGCAGTATCCAGAAGGCCGCAGGTTCTCCTCCCTGCGATAAAGGACTGTATTGGTCCTGAGGTTTTTGTTTGTGTGTTTGTTTTTTAAATGCAGTGGTACCTCGGGATGCGAACGGGATCTGTTCCGGAGCCCCATTTGCATTCTGAACGGAACGTAAGACACGATGGCACGTGTGCACGGGTTGCGTTTTGCCGTTTCCACACATGCGCATGACGTCATTTTGAGCGTCTGCGCGAGCGGCGAAACCCGGAAGTAACGCGCTCCGTTACTTCCGGGTTGCCTTGGAGCGCAACCCGAAAGCGCTCAACCTAAAGCACATTCAACCCGAGGTATGACTGTAGAATTAAATTTCATCAGTGCATCCTTCAATGGACTTATTTATTTCCTGTGCTCATTTTAGGAGCTCTCTTTTGCTGGACCAAGGTGAGATTATGGCAGAACAAACTGAAAGTAATTCTAGTGCTCCGAAAAGAACATGTGGGTGGTGTCCCCACAGTTGCATAATAATTTAAATAATTTGAGTCCAGCAAGATCCGACGGGCACTAGGTTGGAGAAGGGATGGACTGGGCATACGCCGTAGGGCGGAAGGCTTACATTTTTGGGTTACGTGTTTTGAAGCTGCTGCCTTCTGTGAGGAATTCTTTTCCTTGAGCTGGGACTTCTCTGCCTCTCTCTGTCCAGGAAGGGAGGTGGAACGATAGCCCTTGCAACCTGACGTTGCCTTCCGTGTGCAAGAAGCGTGGCCGCGTGAGCCAGGGGAGAGAGGAGGAGGACCACGGCTGCAGAAAGGTAAAGAGATCAATGGTGGCGTTGCAATCAAAGGTGACAGGGCGGAAGGCCGCAGGAAGGGGAGAAGGGGAGGTTGGGAGTTGCGGTCCAAAGGCTGCCTCTTGGGGAACAGGCCTCTACAGGCTGACATATGAGCACTTCTGGAGAGGAGAAGGATGAGGCCCAAGGCCTGCCCTGCCCAAATCATGTGAGGTTTCTGACTCATGAGCGACTGACGAGGAGAAGTCTCTGTGTTTTCAAATGCTGCTTTGGAAATAATAATAATAATAATAATAATAATAATAATAATAATAAATTTTATTTGTATCCCGCTCTCCCCAGCCAAAGCCAGGCTCAGACCGGCTAACATCATATAAATAAGACAATATGCACAATACAATATACAATATGCAAATAAAATAACATTCAACATTCATTAAAACAACATAGAATAATATTAAATATCAGCATTTCAAAATTAAACAGAAATCCACTCAACAGTTACAATAAGTAATTTCTAAACACTCATTTGGAGCAGAGCAGTGAACAAATAAGAAACCAGAAGTTCGTAAACCCTTTCTAAAATAAAAGCAAGATGTGTGTCCTGTACTCTGTTTAAACTAAGCTATTGCCCTTTGAGAGAGACATTGTACCAGCTGCATGTTGTCTGTCCAGATGTGTGCTGTCCAGATAGACTTCCTTTTTCCGCTGCAGCTCAGCTGTCCAAGTTAGATCTCCTTTCCAGCTGGCCAGGGCCGGAATGTGCTCGCCATTCTCACTCTGCAACAATAGCGCAAGCTGGAAATGGGGACATGACACGTTTCTGTATTAACTGCTTTTACCTAAGGGAATTCTGGCATTGTCAAGGGCCCTGTGGCACCAGCTGGGACGGGGCAGGAATGTTTGTCTGTGTCAGAGAGGGGTCCCAAGGTGTGAGTGGTGGGGGGGTATGAAGTTCAAGCCGCAACTTAGTCCTGCCGTGGGTCACAGAAGGGGAGGCAGAGCTGGCAGGGCTAGTTCAGGAAGGGGGTCCGGTCGCCATCCGTGTCGTGCAAACTCAGCCCCACACTCCGGTGTGCACACTTTTAAGCCCAGCCTTCCCGTTTGTGACGAGTGCCTTGCAATTGACGGCTGCACCCTGCTCTTTAAAAGTAGAGGTATTTTGTTATGCCAAGCCATGTATCATGCTTCAAACCGCGCATCCTGTACTTTGAGCTGAAGAAGAAGAAGAGTTTGGATATCCCGCTTTATCACTACCCTAAGGAGTCTCAAAGGGACGCAGGTGAGTTAAATCACAGAGCCTAGGACTTGCCGATCAAAGGTCGGCGGTTCGAATCCCCGCAACGGGGTGAGCTCCCGTTGCTCGGTCCCTGCTCCTGCCAACCTAGCAGTTCGAAAGCACGTCAAAGTGCAAGTAGATACAGTGGTGCCCCGCAAGACGAATGCCTCGCAAGACGGAAAAACCGCTAGACGAAAGGGTTTTCCGTTTTGGAGTTGCTTCGCAGGACGAATTCCCCTATGGGCTTGCTTCGCAAGACGAAAATACCTTGCGAGTCTTGAGATTTTGGTTTCGCTTTCCCCCCCCCGTGGTCTAATCTGCTAAGCCTTTAATAGCCTTTAATAGCCTTTTAGCAGCTAATCCCCTAAGCCTTTAAGCCTTTAATAGCCGCTAAACCGCTAATAGCGCTAATAGCGCTAATCCGTCAATGGGCTTGCTTCGCAAGACGAAAAAACCGCTAGACGAAGACTCTCGCGGAACGGATTAATTTCGTCTTGCGAGGCACCACTGTAAATAGGTACCGCTCTGGCGGGAAGGTAAATGGCATTTCCGTGCGCTGCTCTGGTTCGCCAGAAGCGGCTTAGTCATGCTGGCCACGTGACTCGGAAGCTGTACGCAGGCTCCCTTGGCCAATAAAGCGAGATGAGCGCCGCAACCCCAGAGTCAGCCACGACTGGACCTAATGGTCAGGGGTCCCTTTACCTTTACCTTAAGGAGTCTCAAAGCGGCTCACAATCTCCTTTCCCTTCCTCCCCCACATCAAACACTCTGTGTGGTGAGTGAGGCGGAGAGACTTCAGAGAAGTGTGACTAGCCCAAGGTCACCCAGCAGCTGCATGTGCAGAAGCAGGGAATCAAACCCAGTTCACCAGATTATGAGTCCACTGCTCTTAACCACTACACCACGAGACTGTGTGCAGATTTTATCGATAAAGCTTTCGGACTTTCCCCGAGCTGAGAGTCCCCAAGGCTTTCGTCCGAAGGCGGGAGCCGCAAGGAGAGACACGAGAAATCTGTAAGATTCCTTAGAATACTGTTTTTGAATTGAATTGATGTTTGGGTGTGGAGGAGGATGACAGAGAAGAGAAGTGGCTGAAGCTTACGAGCATTGGTTTGTTTGTTTATATGCTTGTTTAAATGCTCCCTTTTAAGTAAGCCCACTGTTTAGCTCTGAGGGATGAGGGTAAAAGATTGGCCTGCTAAAAGTTGAACCCAACTTCTTATAAACATTAACTGGCAACCTTTGCCTTTGGACAGCTGGTCCCTTGACTTCACAGATATGGGCAGGAAGGAAAGCCGCATCATTCCTCAAAAGTTGTGGTGGGAGCTCTGAATTGCTCTCTAGGATCAGAATGTATTGGGGTTGTCTGCACCTTTGAAAACCACCATGTCACTAGTTGCAGTAGACACTGGGCTGGTTTCTGGGTCATCTAGCAGATGCCTCTAAGTTTCCCTTTAGATGTTTCCTTCGTTTGTGGTCATCTAGCTTTTGCTCGGTTCTTTTCCATTGTGTTTGCTACCATCCCGTTCTGCTTTAAGGAAAGTTTTGTGTGTCTTTTTAAGAGTCCGAATGGTGCCCTCCAGATGTGGTCGTGCCAGCTGGAGCTGATGGAAGTTGTAGTCCAGCAACATTGGGTGCTTTAGTTGCAATTCCTGCATTAATGTATTTTTAATCTTCGTTGGAAGCCACCCAGAGTGGCTGGGGAGACCCAGCCAGATGGGCGGGGTACAAATAATAAATTGTTATTATTGTTATTATTATTGCAAGGACTAGATGACTCCTCAGGGATCCCTTCCAACTCTTAAGAATCTAACATCTGGAGGGCACCAAGTTGGCAAAGGCTGATAAATACCAGCCAAAGGTGGTTCTTTGAAAGGAGAGTCATCTGGACTGCTTTGAGTAGCCCAGCTGCCATGTGGGCCATGCCGTGTGTGTGTGTGTGTGTGTGTGTGTGTGTGTGTGTCTTAGCATTGCTTGGACTCCATGCAGAAGAAAACCCCACCTCTTGCTTCCTGGTTTGCGGTACCTCTCTCCCTTCCCGACCCAAATCCTTCTCCCTTCTCCAAAACACATTTTCCCCCCAGCTCTCAAGCCTCAGGACAAGGAACTATTCTTGAATAATAATACTTCTTCTAAGTCACGAACATAGCTGAGTCTGTACACAAGTGCTTTTCGCCCCTTTGCCTAGATCTGCAAAGCTACAGAAGCAGCAAAAAGTCGTGTGCCCACATGAGAGCCCAGATGTGAGGCATGGATTGCTGGGGTTCTGGGTGCCATGTTCCCATGCCCTGCAGACTTGTATACGCCTTGTGTTTTATGAATATATTTAGCCTCTTGAACCCCAAAGGAAAAGGATCTGGCTGTAGAAGAAAACATTCACCAAATACAAAGGGGGACAGCTGCTTAGACAGAGATGCTTCGCGATTTTGTTTTTCTGCCGCTCACCTAGGCAGTCTGCTGCAGCAGAATTCCCTTCTTCTCAAGCAGTTTTATTACAAAGCTTGAAACGTTCTCTTTGACGATAAAGAGTTTCCTTGAAATGTGTCTGGAACCGTAGCTGTCAGTGCAGCCGTCTTTTCCGTTCCCCTTCATTGTTTCTGCTGCATGCTGAAGGTGTGCAGCTCTTTCCTATGCCTTCTGACACTTTACGTCGATATACAGTGGTGCCCCGCAAGACGAATGCCTCGCAAGACGGAAAACCCGCTAGACGAAAGGGTTTTCCGTTTTGGAGGTGCTTCGCAAAACGAATTTCCTATGGGCTTGCTTTGCAAGACGAAAATGTCTTGCGAGTTCCTGCGGGGTTTTTTTCCTCCCCCCCCCTTTTTCCCAAGCCGCTAAGCCGCTTATCAGCTGATGGCTAAGCCGCTTAACAGCTGATCCGCTAAGCCGCTTAACAGCTGATCCGTTAAGCCACTAAGCTGCTTATCAGCTGATCCGCTAAACCGCTTATCAGCTGATCCGCTAAGCCCGCTAATCCGCTAATAGCGCTAATCCGCTAAACCGCTAATGGGCTTGCTTCGCAAGACGAAAAAACCGCAAGACGAAGAGACTCGCGGAACGGATTCTTTTCGTCTTGCGAGGCACCACTGTAGATATATTTAGGAGGCATCCTGTTCCTTTGATTTGCATTTGCTTCAAACCAATTTGCACGTTGCACTTTAAACCACTGCTTCTCCAACTACCTGATGTGGTGGATTGGCAAGCCCTGCTCCATTGCGCCAAGGGACCGCATTTGGTCCCTGAGCCATTCTACCCAACCTGGGCTGCGGTCAACCAACGGCTCATGGACTGGCACCCGTCCGCAGGCCAACACTTTTGAGTAGCTCTTTTTAAAATTGCCGGGACCTTATGGTGAAGACCAGGCAAGAAACTTGAGTAAAACAAGTACTCAAGTAGGTTAACCTTATTCCCATTTTACAGATTAGGGAAAATGAGCCTGAAAGTGATTGATTCCCCTAAGGCCACTTGGGGGCCAACCAGAGATATGACAAGAGTAAAAAAAGAAAAAGCGCAAGCTACTGGATAATAATTTATTACTTATACCCCGCCCAACTGGCTGGGTTTCCCCAGCCACTCCGGGCGGCTTCCAACAAGAGATTAAAAATACATTAAAACATCAGTCATTAAAAACTTCCCTAAACAGGGCTGCCTTCAGATGTCTTCTGAACATCAGATAGTTGTTTATCTCTTTGACATCTGATGGGAGGGCGTTCTACAGGGCAGGTGACACTACCGAGAAGGCCCTCTGCCTGGTTCCCTGTAACTACATCTCGCAGTGAGGGAACTGCCAGAAGGCTCTCAGAGCTGGATCTCAGTGTCTGGGCAGAACGATGGGGGTGGAGACACTTCTTCAGGTATACTGGGCTGAGGTCGTTTAGGGCTTTAAAGGTCAGCACCAACCCTTTGAATTGCGCTCAGAAACGTATTGGGAACCAATGTAGATCTTTCAAGACCGGTGTTATGTGGCCTCGACGGCCGCTCCCAGTCACCAGTCTAGCTGCCGCATTCTGGACTAGTAGTAGTTTCCGGGTCACCCTCAATGCTAGCCCCATGTAGAGCCCCTTGCAGTAGTCCAAGCAGGAGATAACTTCTGGACTTCTCTTTTCCTCGTCTCCCTTCTTTCCCTCCCCATTGTCAACATTCCAGATGTTTCCTCCAGCTGTCAGAGGCTCCCGATCTGGTTGCTGGCCCACAGAGCTCAGCAAAAGCTCCAGCACTCCCTATCTTTTGTCCTAAAGCAACCAAGATGGTGTTTTTGGCAAGAGGTGAGCCCATCTGTCTGGCGGATGCATTCCTCGCAGGCAGCATTGCGAACTTGGATGAAGGCTGGCGTCCAGCAGGTCCCTTCCTCCTCCCTCTCTCCTTCCCAGATATCCCTGTTCTTTTCCAGCATGACTTTTTAAAAAAGCAACAACATGCTGACATTTCCTTGGTTCTGTATTCTCCCAAATGGTTTCCTTCGTAACTAGGAGGACCCAGCCATAGGCCATTTATGGTAACAGCAGAGCTCAGAAGACCAGCTCCTAACCCTCCATTAAGTACTGTATTTTTTGCTCTATAAGACTCACTTTTTCCCTTCTAAAAAGTAAGGGGAAATGTGTGTGCGTCTTATGGAGTGAATGCAGGCTGCGCAGCTATCCCAGAAGCCAGAACAGCAAGAGGCATCGCTGCTTTCGCTGCGCAGCGATCCCTCTTGTTGTTCTGGCTTCTGAGATTCAGAATATTTCTTTTCTTGTTTTCCTCCTCCAAAAACTAGGTGCGTCTTATAGAGCGAAAATACGGTAGTTTCCTTTCTAAATCTGCATCCAGTTGTTGAATATATGAGCAGCAGTTCTCCGCTGGAGTAAGATGCTTTGGAAGTTGTGGAATCTCTTCCTTCAAAGAGCATCAAGAAACGATTGGAAGCTTCAACAGAAAAGTCTTTGCAAGGAAGAGAATTCTCTTGTTGCGCACATTTCGGCCTCCATCTTTCTTTCCTCCCTCCCTCTTATCATTATGGGTTGAGAAATGGTCCATAAAGGTGAAGCAGAAGAGTGTGCAAGGGAGAGAATCTTTCTCTGAACAAGAAGAGGGAGATGGTTCTCATTCTTGGGGTGCAGAATCAGCCCAGGGAAGCTGTTAGGATATCTGTCCTGAGATTGGGGATAGCTGATGTTGTGCCCTCTAGATGTTGTTGGACTACAACTCCCATTATCTCCGGCCATTGGCCATGCTGGCTGGGGATGATGGGAGCTGGAGTCTTTCCTGGGGATATCATAGCCTGTTGTTTTTCAGCTGTGGTACTCGTATCACCCGATGCGCTGGGAAGCATCGCTGGCTGAAAAATCCTTGGGGTTGGGTGATCCACTGCGTCAGGGAACTGCCGTCAGCTCAGAGGCGAGAGGTGGAAGGGCAGTTGTGTTACAGGGAGCCTCCGAAGATCTTGCGAAGCAGTTCCTCCTCCGGCGAGGAGGGAAGACCCGCCTCCAGTGGGGAAGGGGCACAGGGATCAGAAGATGCAAGGGAGAGCCTCAACAGCGAGCCTGTGCAAAGCGGAGGGGTGGCAAGTCCCCCTTTGCGCAGTAGGTTTGCGCGCAGAGAGGGGAGGAGAAGGGTGGGGGACACACGACTGTTATGCTGGGGAAGGTATAAGGACCGCCCACTCCCAGATTCTGCTAGCGACTGAGCATACATGGACTTGTGACGCTCTGCACTGTAAATGGTTTGTGCAGATTAATAAAGCCTGGAAAAGACAGGTCGGAGTCTTGCCTGTTTGCTCTCGAACAACCACACCAGCACCTGACACACTGGGTCCCTTGTGAGTGGATAGGTCTGTGCGTGGTCCAGATGTCTCCCTAGCTAAGGTGTCCTAACTGAGTTAAGTTGTGGGCGAACATATCCGACGACACAGCGATTCTTCCAAAGCAGCTCTTTATTTGTAAGCTGGAACAGAACTGAACTGAGGAGCTCAGTCAGCCTGCTTATATAGAGCTCCACTAAAATGCAACAGTAACCATTTTCTGTAACTAGCCAATCACTGAACGTCACTTTTGATCCTTCATTTGCATACAAACTATCTACAGTACAGTGGTACCTCGCAGGACGAATGCCTCGCAAGATGAAAAACTCGCAAGACGAAAGAGTTTTTCGTTTTTTGAGTTGCTTCGCAAGACGAATTTCCCTATGGGCTTGCTTCGCAAGACGAAAACGTCTTGCAAGTTTGTTTCCTTTTTCTTAAAACCGTTAATACCTGTTAAAACTGTGCTTCGCAAGACGAAAAATTCGCAAGACGAAAAAACTCGCAGAACGAATTAATTTCGTCTTGCGAGGCACCACTGTATCCCCCTGCTGGCCCAGGGTGAGAACTTCAGTACATAACAGCTCTCCTGTTTCTTTTCTTCTTGCCCTGGGTCTTCTTCCTTGCTCATTTGATCCCTTCTCCTTTTAGCCCTCCTCCTTCGCTCTTGTGGCCTGCTTGCTGCCTCCTTTCAAAGGCTTCTCCCACGTTGCATGTTGATAGTGGCGAGCCCTGTGGTTGCCTTCAAAAGGAGCTTTTTCAGACCTCTGAACGATTCCCCCTCCATCTGCCTGACCAATTTGAGCTGCCTATTGTGCTCCCAGCTTAGGAGAGGCTCCAACATCAACAAACCAGAGCTATGAAAGCACTCTGCGGTGGGGTTTGAACTTCTTCCCTTTTTCCTTTTTTCTCTTGCCGAAGGAAGAGAGTTCGCTTCCCCTTCTTAGACTCTTCTGGGCATTGGTAGCTTGGGTTAGGGTGTGGGGATTTCAAGCGGCTTTGATGTGTTTTCCTTCTTCCTTTCTAAACTCTGCAACGTCTTCTCCTTGTGCTGTGACCTTGAAAACTAAGCCAGAGCCAGCCTAGGTGGAGAGGGCAGAAACCAATAATGGAGACCCCACCACCCATGACCCACAGGCCAAGTCCACACAAGTAGTCCATAGCTGTCAAGCGTCCCTTATTTGGCGGGACAGTCCCTTATCCCAGCGCCATGTCCTGCTGCTGTCCCTTATTGATGATGTCCCTTAAATAAGCTAATGAAGGTAATGGGGACCTCTCTATGTCCAGCTGTGCTTTGTCAACAACAAATTGTTGCTGTTTTTTTGTGTTGAATATATGCTATATGGTAATTTATGGACCTAATAGGTATCTAAAGCCATTTGCACGCAGCAAAATATGTATTTTATCCAAGTAATTGTTGATCCCTTATTTTGGCTGCTGATCCCTTATTTTCGAGGCTGCTGGTCCCTTATTTTCAAATCTGTAAGCTGACAGCTATGCAAGTAGTCACTTCCTTTCTTTCCCGTAAAAAGGATGCTGCAGAAATTCAGAGGGTTGCATCCAGTGCTGATTCTGCTCCAAGAAGTCCCATTGAAGTTAAGGGACATGCCTAACTTGCACCCATTAAATTCAGTGCGTCTACTTTGGGTGGGATGGGAAGGGACTGTGAAGCCAGAGGGCCCATTTCTCAGAAAGTGCATCCTGCATGCCAGTCAGGGATGGGAGAGGAATTTGCTGTCTTGGTTGCCCTTCTTCCACATTTGTTTGTTTGTTTATAATAATAATAATTTATTACTTATACCCCGCCCATCTGGCTGGCTTTCCCCTGCCAGTCTGGGTGGCTTTCAACCAAATATTAAAAACACAATACAGCATTAAACATTAAAAAAACTTCCCTAAACAGGGCTGCCTTCATATTTCTTCTAAAAGTAAAATGGTTGCTTATTGCCTTGACATCTGTTGGGAGGGTGTTCCACAGGGCGGGTGCCACTACCAAGAAGGCCCTCCACCTGCTTCCCTGTAATCTCACTTCTCGCCGTGAGGGAATCGCCAGAAGGCCCTCAGGGCTGAACCTCAGTGTTTGTTTGTTTGTTTGTTTGCCACCCTTCATCAAAAGATCTCAGGGCGGTTCACAAAGATAAAAAACAAGTAAATAATTAAACCAAAACAACAAAAACGATAACCCCCACCTTCCCACAGAAACATTTAAAAGGCCGTAGACTATTAATCAGTCAAAGGCCTGGTTGAAAAATATAAAGTGAAGGCACCAGGCAAACCTCCCTGGGGGAAAGCATTGCACAAATGAGGAGCCACTACAGAAAAGGCCTGCTCTAGTTATTTTATTTATTTGCTAAATTTATATTCAGTGTTGAGGATTTTATTCTCTCTTGTGATGCCCTGGTGCTTAGTTTTAATCATGAACAGTTTCTTATTTCCACTATGTTGGGGTTCTTTGCTTTCATTGTTGGTTGTGCTTTTATTGCTGTAGTTTTTATCCTGCGTTGTAAGATGCTCCAGTTTCTGTTTTGAAAAGAGTGGGGTGTGTGTGTGTGTATTATTATTTTTTTACAGTAAGCGGTCAACGTGCTTAGGACTGCAGCCAAAGGTGCTTTTGATACACGGTGTGTCTATTTGATATTTTCTCTTGGGATGGTAAAATAAACAGTGATTTTAACAAATGCCTGCCCTCCTTAGTTGGGAGCTTAGGTTTGCATACTTGGTAGTTGTGGTCTCTTAATTAAACTGCGTTGAATTTCATCTCCACCACCACAAGCATGCAGCCACCATTAGCAATGTGCTGAGCTAAGCTTGAATGGATAATACTTCTTTCTCCTTTAAAAAGCAGTCATTGGGATGGGCTGCCAAAAGCTGCCCCACACTCAGCTTGCAGCAGCAGATGGCAAGTGGCTTGCCTTGCTAAGCCTTGATGGTGGGCTTAACAAAGTACTGTTTCGAACACGGGTTCAAATGATCATGTGGATGACTCAAAGCAACGAGGGAACAGAAATACAGTCTGAAATGTACTCGGAGTCGAGAGTGGATTCCATGCTCTTTATTCAGCTCATAGTGGTGAGGAGGAATGAAAGTTCCCCCCAAATATCTGCTTTATATATATTATTTACACAATGGGCTGCACGTGATTGGCTAATTCCGGTATTCTCCTGTAGGCCAATCAGGTTGTGGATTCACTTCCATCTGGAGCTGGATTGGGTGGCTCCTGCGGACCAATCATACTGCTGCATTGTTCTAGGACCAATCAGACTGCTGCATTCTGAATCCTATTGTTCTAGGACCAATCAGACTGCTGCATTTTGGATCCTATTCAACTCAGTACATAACACAGTCGTACCTTGGAAGTTGAACGGAGTCCATTCCAGAAGTCCGTTTGACTTCCAAAACGTTCGGAAAGCAAAGCACAGCTTCTGATTGGATGCAGGAAGCTCCTGCAGCCAATTGGAAGCCCCGTCGGATGTTCAGGTTCCAAAAAATGTTCGCAAAGCGGCAGTCACTTCTGGGTTTGCGGCGCTTGGGAACCAAAACGTTCACGAACTAAGCTGTTCAAAAACCAAGGTACGCCTGTACATAGAAAGTGTGTGACTCCTTTCCAATTTGCAATGTCGACTCATCATTCAGGGACAATGTTGGTTTGATAAGTTTGTTCAATGAAGCCATGTCATAAGTAAGGTGGGATGGAATGCCCAAATCATTCTCATTTTCACATATGATCTTTCATATTTTGGGTCTGTCCCAATTCTACATCAATCTGTGAGTTTACTTTTTTATATAGAAAAATCCATATGAAAATCATATTTAAATAAACTTTTTTTTTTAGCATTTATGCATTTCTAAACGTATTTTTAGGCCGCCCTATGAATTTTTCATCATATTTTTGGAATGGCTTTTGAGCTGAGAGCAACATAGCAAAATCTGGAGGTGTATGAAATATGAAGAGTAATTAAATTTTGATTTGCACATCAGTCTGGGAAGTAGGATCAGGCCAGGGTGTGTTGGAATTCGCAATACCTTGAAGACTCTCAACACTGCAGTCTTGACTTAATGGCAGCTTTCCCTTGGTGGAGATCAGGTTATCTTCAGAGGCGAACCATCAAGCAATTTGACATATGCGTCCTCCTGGAATAATGGATCATGTGAATGAACGAAGACTGGAAATACAATTAATCCGGCCGAGGACAGAATTCTCTCTAGTTTCATCTAAATTTGGGGGAAATATTGAATGACATTTGCTGCTGACTTTTCTTCTACAGCATCACCATTATACAGTGGTACCTCGGGTTAAGTACTTAATTCGTTCCGGAGGTCCGTACTTAACCTGAAACTGTTCTTAACCTGAAGCACCACTTTAGCTAATGGGGCCTCCTGCTGCTGCCGCACTGCCGGAGCACAATTTCTGTTCTCATCCTGAAGCAAAGTTCTTAACCCGAGGTACTATTTCTGGGTTAGCGGAGTCTGTAACCTGAAGCGTATGTAACCTGAGGTACCACTGTATACTAAAAATGTTCACAACAGCAAGAGAGTTTGTTATTTTATTTTCCAGAATGGGAGGATGGTAAGTTTTCTCTCTTTTTCGGCACTTAGCAGAGCACTGGGAAGGAGTGACAAAAAATGGAAACGCCCCGTAGGGTCCACAATGAAAGCTGTTGTGGGTGTTTTGAAGCGTATTGGCCACTGCCATTTTAACCCCGGCCTCCCTGATATTGCCTAATGTTGATTTCCCGGCCTGATAGTATTGTACAGCCTAAAGTCTCTTGTTGGATCAAGCTATAACCACCTAACAAAGCAAAGTAACACTTTGGTCAGATTAAAAGTAATAGAAATTGACTTACTCTTTGCAATTCTTTTTTTTATTTTATTTTTTATTATTATGCTTTTCAGATTTATACATTTCACTAATTTCACAGTCATTTAAACATTTCAGAACTTGACTTCCTTCCCCCTCTCTCTGCGGTTCCTTCAATTTATTTTTACTATCTTCTGCATATCCAAATTAACTTAATTTGCTCATTTATCCATCTACTTTAAATATATACTCTTATAAAACTGCAGGTTATTGCAGTAATCCTGACAATGTTCTTATCTGCTTACAATTTATCCGTAAATATTCAATAAACCATTTCCATTCTTTTATAAAAAGTTTGTTATCTTGATTTCTTATTCTCCCGATAAGTTTTGCGATTTCTGCATATTCCGTAAGTTTTTGTATCCATTCTTCCTTTGCTTGGATTTCTTCTGCTTCTTTCTATTTTGGGGCAAGTAACATTCTTGCCGCTGTAGTCGCATACATGAATAAGTTTCTATACAGTTTAGGTATTTCTGCCCCTATAATTCCCAAAAGAAAAGCTTCTGTTTTGTTGTTTTTTACAAAGATTATTTTAAACATCCTTTTCAATTCATTATATATCATTTCCCAGTAAGCTTTAACCTTACTACAACCATACGACAGAAAGAACCTTCTTTCTCTTTACATTTCCAACACTTATTTGATTTAGATTTATACATTTCGTTGACGTTTTTCTGTCACGTTTTTCCCAGGGTTGGAAATGGCAAACTCCATCTTGCTATTGGCTGGGAGACGACCATGTGACATACAGTGATGCTCGGAAGGTGTGCACAGATTATTCGTCTACTCTGGTCACCATCACCAACAGGTGTGTGTTCTGTTGTAAGCCACCCGGAGTTTTTATTCAACAAACGTCTTTTTTATTATTTAAAGAAATTAGATTATCATGGAATGGGTTTTCAGATATTGTGCTGCAAACACTTAGAGGGAAAGGCTAGGCCAGGCACTTGACCTCTTGGTTATTTTTGGAAGGCGCTATGCTGCCTGGCAAGGGACGCGGGTGGCGCTGTGGGTTAAACCACAGAGCCTAGGACTTGCTGATCAGAAGGTCAGCGGTTCAAATCCCGCGACGGGGTGAGCTCCTGTTGCTCGGTCCCAGCTCCTGCCAACCTAGCGGTTCGAAAGCACATCAAAGTGCAAGTAGATAAATAGGTACCGCTCTGGCGGGAAGGTAAACGGCGTTTCCGTGCGCTGCTCTGATTCGCCAGAAGCGGCTTAGTCATGCTGGCCACATGACCCGGAAGCTGTACGCCGGCTCCCTCGGCCAATAAAGCAAGATGAGCGCTGCAACCCCAGAGTCGTCCACGACTAGATCTAATGGTCAGGGGTCCCTTTACCTTTATGCTTCCTGGCTGCCACATGGCAAAAAGCAACAGGATGCTAGACTGGTGACTGGGAACGGCCACCAAGACTACATAACACTGGTCCTGAAAGACCTACACGGGCTCCCAGTACATTTCCAAGCACAATTCAAATTGTTGCTGCTGACCTTTAAAGCCCTAAACGGCCTTGGTCCAGTATACCTGAAGGGGCGTCTCCACCCCCATCGTTCAGCCCGGACACTGAGATCCAGCTCCAAGGGCTTTCTGGTGGTTCCCTCACTGCGAGAAGTGATGTTAGAGGGAACCAGGCAGAGGGCCTTCTCAGTAGTGGCACCCTCCCATCAGATGTCAAGGAAATAAACAACTATCTGACTTTTAGACAGTCAGAAGGCAACCCTGTATCAGGAAGTTTTTAATGTTTGATGTTTTATTCTGTTTTTAGTGTTCTGTTGGGAGCTGCCCAGAGTGGCTGGGGTATAAATAATAAATTATTACTATTACAGTGGTACCTCGGGTTAAGTACTTAATTCATTCCGGAGGTCCGTTCTTAACCTGAAACTGTTCTTTAGCTAATGGGGCCTCCTGCTGCCGCCGTGCCGCCGGAGCACGATTTCTGTTCTTATCCTGAAGCAAAGTTCTTAACCTGAAGCACTATTTCTGGGTTAGCGGAGTCTGTAACCTGAAGCGTATGTAACCCGAGGTACCACTGTACAGTGGTACCTCGGGTTACAGACACTTCAGGTTACATACACTTCAGGTTACAGACTCCGCTAAGAACTTTGCTTCAGGATGAGAATAGAAATCACTCTGCGGTGGCGCAGCGGCAGCAGGAGGCCCCATTAGCTAAAGTGGTACCTCAGGTTAAGAACAGTTTCAGGTTAAGAACGGACCTCCAGAACGAATTAAGTTCTTAACCCAAGGTACCACTGTATTATGATGATGATGATGATGATGATGATGATGATGATGATGATGATTTGACCATCAACCTCTGGAGGAAAGATCATGGATTGGTGGATGTGGTGAGGAAGCGACTGACTCATTCCTTTGTCTTCCTGGCCAAGGTTTGAACAGGCCTATGTGAGCAGCCTAATTTATGGCTGGGAGGACGAATATTTCTGGACAGCTCTACAGGACATAAATGAAACGGGCTCCTTTCGTTGGTTGAGCAGGGATGAAGTCACCTACACCCACTGGAATCGCAACCAGCCCGGTAATAGATCTCTCTCTCTCTCTCTCTCTGTGTGTGTGTGTGTGTTTGTGTACCTAGGGTTTGTTTACATCTTTCAAGTGACTTAGTATGTGTCTCTCTTCTGCAATCACAGTGGGTTATGCATTCCCCTTTTTAAAAAAAATTTGGCTTGACTGTCTGAATTGTCTGCGCTTTCTTTTTCATTTTTGAATAAATTTTATTAGGGTTTGTAGAGAAGAATACAAAACTTAATATCAAATATCTTTTCAATTTTTTTTGTTAAGACTTTGATCTAACAACAACAAAAGCATAAAGGGGGGGGAGAGAGAGAAAAGAATGAACAAAGAAAAAGAGAGAAATAAAGAAAAAGTAATAGAAAAGAAGTTAAAGAGAGAGAGAGAAACAATAAGAAGAAACCTTGGTTTGTTGCAGTTTGTTTGGAGCTAAACAAACCATAATCCCTGGTTCAGGTATAAAGTTAAATTAGAGATTGTGACAGGTTTCCTCCACCCATTCGTGGGGAGAAGCAAAGGAGGTGTGGTTTGTTCATGCACAGTAAACCATGGTTTATAGCTTACTATGATGAGCGCAGCCATTATCTAGTTTGGTGGTTATTGCCTGATTTTGCCAAGCCAGATGGAAACCGTTTCCTTTGGCTTAAATTTTTTCTCTGGCCTATTTCCCCCTTCCCATGAGGCTTTCAGGTTATAACAAAGGCGGCTGCGTTGCCTTGGCCACGGGGAGTGCCATGGGACTATGGGAAGTGAAGAACTGCACCAGTTTCAAGGCCAAATACATCTGCAGGCAGAATTTGGGGACTCCGGTGAACCCTGAGCTTCCTTCGCCTCATCCCACCCCGAGCCTCACGGGAACTTGTCCAGCGGGATGGGTCACCAGCCCCAAGTTGAGGCATTGCTACAAGGTACGTACAAAACGAGGGGAGGCAGCCAGCCAGTTCATGGTCCAAACTTTGCATTAAAAGTGAATTGTATTAGCTCAAATTGGTTTTGGATTTAACATTTGTCACAGCAGTTCGGGCTTGTAATACTCTCACCGACTGGGATCAGTTTGTGAAATGGCTCCCTCTTTTCTCTTCTTTTCTTTTCTTTTCTTTTTTCCCAAAAAAATATTGATTTTCTCTTATAGCACACAGAAACGAACATTACATTTAACACAACATGAAAGCTTAACAACAGTAAAAACACAAAAGATGAAAGAAGATTTTCCCCCCCTCTTATTCCCTGGTATATTTACATTGCTAGAAGACTTCCTCGACATCTGCCAATCTGAATTTCATCATAACACATATTTAGCAGTTCCCAATTTCATATTTATAGCATCAGTATCCTCTTTCATTACAAACTTCTTATCCTTCCTTCCAATTGTAATCCATAATAATCATTATTATTAATCTTTTTCTATCCTTTAGCCTATTCTGTTACTTCTAGGAATTTCTTAATTATCTTATATTGCAATATCTCACTAAATATTATTTAAATTTCTTCCATTCTTCTTGTGTTTCCTCCTCTTTCTGGTCGCGGATTCTTCCCAGTCAGGTCAGCCATTTCCGAAAAGTCCATCATCTTCATCTGCCATTCTTCTATTGTCGGCATTTCTTGCAATTTCCAATTTTTGGCTAATAAAAGTCTTGCTGCTGTAGTGGCATACAGAAACAGTCTAACATCCTTCTTTCCGGTCCTGTTATTCCAAGAAGAAAGGCTTCTGGTTTCTTAATAAATGTATTTTTCAACATTTTAAAAAATTCATTATAAATCTTTTCCCAGAAGTCTTTCACCTTAGGACACGTCCACCACATGAATCGTATTAGCTCAAATTGGTTTTGGATTTAACATTTGTCATGGCAGTTCGGGCTTGTAATTCTCAGAAGGGGCGGCTCTCACCGACCGGGTTCGGTTTGTGAAATGGCTCCCTTTTTTCTTGGGCAGGTGTTCACCTACGACAAACTTCAGGAGAAGAAAAACTGGATCATGGCCCATTTGTTCTGCAGCGATCGGAAAGCCCAACTCTTGAGCGTTGGCACTTATGAGGAGGAACATTTTATAGCCAACACGCTCAACAAGATATTTGGGTGAGGACTGAGTTACAAAAACAGGAGATGTATGTTGCTGGGCGACACCCTGGCAAATATATCCACGTGCACTCAGGCACACCTGAATGTTCCTTGGTATGTACAGTGGTACCTCGGGTTACATACGCTTCAGGTTACAGACTCCGCTAACCCAGAAATATTACCTCAGGTTAAGAACTTCAGGATGCGAACAGAAATCATGCTGCAGCAGCACGGCAGCAGCGGGAGGCCCCATTAGCTAAAGTGGTGCTTCAGGTTAAGAACAGTTTCAGGTTAAGTGCGCACCTCCGGAACGAATTAAGTACTTAACCCGAGGTACCACTGTAAGCGCATTTGCGAGTTTTGGTTTACGCGCCGACAGTGTGATTACGTTTTATATAGACAGATAGACAGCCGTCCTCCTCATCCCTTGCTTTGAGAGACGATACAGTTGAAACCCACATTTAAAACCCCACCTTTAAAAAAAAAATAGGAAGATAGAAGCCGAAACAAAAAGTTAAAGTTAAAAAGTTGAAGCTTGTGAAGAATCATAATGTTTTATCTGGTGGTTGTGAATGGGTGGGGATAGGGAAAGAGTGAGAGGTACTGTATTTTTCACTCTATAAGACGCACCGGACCACAAGACGCACCTAGTTTTTGGAGGAGGAAAACAAGAAAAAATAATATTCTAAATCTCATAAGCCAGAACAGCTGCGCAGTGAAAGCAGGAATCCCTCTTGCTGTTCTGGCTTCTGGGATAGCTGCACAGCCTGCATTCACTCCATAAGACGCACACACATTTCCCCTTACTTTTTAGGAGGCAAAAAGTGAGTCTTATAGAGCAAAAAATACGGTATCTGCTGAACTGAGAAGAAGCGTGGCTGTTTCCTAAAAGGGGGAAGTGGAAATGATGGGTTCAAGTTTTGCCAATAAAAAATAATGGTTAATCAGCAGTCCTTGATATTTTTTTCAGGGGGAGGCAAGCTGAACAGGGCCTAGATGGTGCTCTGTGCATTTTTATTCTGAAACCTCGGCAGCTACTTAGCTTGGCCCGTCACAACCGTGAGATGCTGCTCTTCTCCTGTCACCATGGCTACAAAATGGAGGGGGAAGTTGGCGCCTCCCAGCTGTTGCAGGACTACAACTCCCATCATCCAGGGCAACTGGCCATACTGCTTGGGCTGATGGGAGTTGGGAGTCCCAACAATATCAGGAGAGCCACACGCGTGCCCCAACCCTGCTATAAGCAGCTTGAATCAACTGAGCCAGATCACATACAGCAAAATCGGGTGGCGGCTGGGGGGACAAACCTTGGGAGCTTTAGTCGAGCATTAAGTCTTCGCACAGTTACATGGAAGAACTGACTAAATCCTTCGAAGACAGAGGTCCTATGGCTGGGTCGGGATGGCATGGGGATGAGGGACCAACTCCCTTCTCTTGCGGGGGCCCAATTAGTGCCATTGCCTTCCGTTAAGAGTTTGGGTGTAATCCTTGACGCCTTCCTTTCCATGGAGGCTCAAGTTACAGCAACAGCCAAGGCGACATTTTTCCACCTTCGCCGCATCAAGCAGTTGGTCCCTTACCTTTCCCGCCCCGACCTGGCCACAGCGATCCATGCAACGGTCATCTCCAGGCTTGACTACTGTAATTCGCTCTACGCGGGGCTGCCCTTGAAGCTGTCCCAGAAACTCCAGCGGGTGCAGAATGCTGCAGCAAGGCTCCTCACGGGGTCTCTGCCATGGGAGCATATTCACCCAGTGCTTTTCAAACTGCACTGGCTCCCAGTAGAGTACAGGGTCAGATTTAAGGTGCTGGTTTTGACCTTTAAAGCCCTTCACGGCCTAGGAGCCTCGTACCTACGGGACTGCCTCTCCTGGTATGCCCCACGGAGAGCCTCAAGGTCCATAAATAACAACACCCTAGTGGTCCCGGGCTGTAAGGAAGTTAGATTGGCTTCAACCAGAGCCAGGGCCTTTTCAACACTGGCTCCTGCCTGGTGGAACGCTCTGCCTCATGAGACCAGGGCCCTGCAGGATCTGATTTCTTTCCACAGAGCCTGTAAGACAGAGTTGTTCCGCCTGGCCTTTGGCTTGGAGCTAATTTGATTCCTTCCTTCCCTCCCTTTCTTTCTTTTTTCTTTTCCTTCTCCTGCGATGAGGCTACATTTTAATATTTTAATGTTTCAATATTTTAATGTTGTATTTTAATTTTGTTTTTAAGTTGTAATCATTCAACTTGTTTTTATTATTGCTTGTAAGTTCCTCTGAGCCCGGCCTTGGCTGGGGATGGCGGGGTATAAATTAAAAATTATTATTATTATTATTATTATTATTATTATTATTATTATCTTCTTTTTGGGTGCCTTCCAGGGCATCAGAACCTGAAATTCATGAGCAGCATTGGTTTTGGATCGGCTTGAATCGCCGGGACCCGGGACTTGAGAGGAGCTGGCGATGGAGTGATGGTCTTGGGGTGAGTGATGGTTTGCTCAACCTATTAAAAAAAAAGCACAAGAAAGGACTCAAATAAAGATGACAAATTCTAACAGAGATTACAAACTCTAACTCATAAATATATGTATAAATGGTATATACCGTATTTTTTGCTCTATAAGACTCACTTTTTCCCTCCTAAAAGGTAAGGTGAAATGTGTGTGTGTCTTATGGAGCAAATGCAGGCTGCACAGCTATCACAGAAGCCAGAACAGCAAGAGAGATTGCTGCTTTCACTGCGCAGCGATTCCTCTTGCTGTTCTGGCTTCTGAAATTCAGAATATTTTTTTTCTTGTTTTCCTCCTCCAAAAACTAGGTGCGTCTTGTGGTCTGATGCGTCTTATAGAGCGAAAAATACGGTAATACTGTTTTATAATTTAGGATTGTTTTATAATTTATGATAATTTAGAATCTAAACGTATTTTCATGTAATGTTTGATACTTCCAGCTGATGAATACATCGAAACAGGGCCTGTCCTGGCTTATAATCCATAATTGACTTTTGCCTTCTGCTCTGTGATTGAAACTGAGTCTCCATCTGCAAGCTGATAAGGATCAACATTATTGTTGAGTAAAAAAGAGAAAATCTTTGTAACGAATTATTGTGTTATACATACAGTGGTACCTCGGGTTAAGTAATTAATTCGTTCCGGAAGTTCGTACTTAACCTGAAACTGTTCTTAACCTGAAGCACCACTTTAGCTAACGGGGCCGCCGCGCCGCCGGAGCACGATTTCTGTTCTCATCCTGAAGCAAAGTTCTTAACCCGAGGTACTATTTCTGGGTTAGCGGAGTCTGTAACCTGAAGCGTATGTAACCTGAGGTACCACTGTATCTTTATGAGTTAGAGTTTGTAATCTCTGTTAGAATTTGTAATCTTTATTTGAGTTTGTAATTCTTGTCAGAATACAATACACACTTTTGAATGGATTAGTTTTTGTTACTATTGACTTGTGAGTAGGGACCACTCCCACTATTGAAACTTACACTGGCCAGAGTTCTTGGTGTGCTTTTTTTCTTGGTATATTTAATAACAAGAACTCCAGGCTATTCAAAAGGCACTGGGAACAGAGATTTGCTTGTTTGTGTGTGTGTGTGTTTTAACAAAGTACTCCTGTTGGGAGATCAGTAAGTAAAATAGAATGCCTCTGCTGTTATTTAGAGGGAAAAGAGGACCAGGAATTGTGTATTGGTGGAGAAACAGGAATCTGACAAAAAGTCCCAAGAGTTATTTTGTCAGATCAGTATCCGAATTGATGCCTATTCTTTGATATCTTAAAATTGTCACCTCTTCTTTATTTCAGAGATTCTTTTCTGTTTGCTCTGTCTTTGTTGATATTTTGTCAAATTTATTTATTTATGCAAATAAATAAATAAATAAATGCAAACTTCCAACATAAAAAACCCAAACCAGAGTTATTTTGTCAGGTAAAAGGTAAAGGGTAAAGGGACCCTTGACCATTAGGTCCAGTCGTGGCCGACTCCGGGGTTGCGGCGCTCATCTCGCTTTATTGGCCGAGGGAGCCGGCGTACAGCTTCCGGGTCATGTGGCCAGCATGACTAAGCCGCTTCTGGCGAACCAGAGCAGCGCACGGAAACACCGTTTACCTTCCCGCCGGAGCGGTACCTATTTATCTACTTGCACTGACGTGCTTTCGAACTGCTAGGTTGGCAGGAACAGGGACCGAGCAACGGGAGCTCACCCTGTCGTGGCTTGCTGGAAATCATGGCTCTTCTTTTACTAATGTATTAAGGCTTCTTCTGTTAAGGAGCCACCATAAGAAACCCAGACCTCTCTTGAAGCTTGTTTGTTGCTGATGTAGAGGAAAATGCATTTGAGATAATACAGAGCACAGTGTGGAGTGGGAATTCCTTCTGGTGGGGGGGAAGAGGAAAGTATTCATGTCACTGCGCTCAACTGAGTTGGATAAGCCAGTGACTTAAGGCATGGGTAGGTAAACTAAGGCCCAGGGGCCGAATCTGGTCCAATCGCCTTCTAAATCCAGCCCGCAGACAGTCCAGGAATCAGTGTGTTTTTACTTGAGTAGAATGTGCACTTTTATTTAAAATGCATCTCTGGGTTATTTGTGGGGCATAGGAATTTGTTCATTACCCCCCCAAAAAAATATAGTCCGGCCCCCCACAAGGTCTGAGGGACAGTGGACCGGCCCCCTGCTGAAAAAGTTTGCTGACCCCTGACCTAAGGCTTCAGTTGACTAAGCAGGACATTGAGGGAATAATAATAATAATAATAATAATAATAATAATAATAATAATTTATTATTTATACCCCGCCCGTCTGACTGGGCTTCCCCAGACACTCTGGGCGGCTTCCAGAAAAAATATTAAAATACTGTAATACATCAAACATTAACTTGCCCTCCCCCATCTTTCTTTTGCCTTCAGTTCTCCTACCATAACTTTGACCGCAGCAATCACGACGACGAGGACATCCGGAACTGTGCAGCGCTGGACTTGGCATCCTTGCAGTGGATGCCTCTTCAGTGCGACGCTCAACTGGACTGGATCTGCAAACTGCCCAAAGGTGACTGGGATGGCGACGGGTTGGCAGGGAGGGGAAGAGTTAGCCACAGTCAAGAACTTTGCAGTTGCCTCTTTCATGTCTACATATCTTCAAACGCGAGATTTTGAATGAGGATTCTTGAGGTAACGTTCAGCCAACTCAATAATGTCCATTAAGCGAAGGATTTAAGTACCTTGCCTGGGCTTCAGGAGGGTTTTGTTTACAGCTTAATATCTTCATCGGTCACTACAGTGTGCTATGAGTTACCGTATTTTTTGCTCTATAAGACTCACTTTTTCCCTCCCAAAAAGTAATGGGAAATGTGTGTGCGTCTTATGGAGCGAATGCAGGCTGCGCAGCTATCCCAGAAGCCAGAACAACAAGAGGGATCTCTGCTTTCACTGCGCAGCGATCCCTCTTGCTGTTCTGGCTTCTGAGATTCAGAATATTATTTTTTTCTTGTTTTCCTCCTCCAAAAACTTGGTGCGTCTTATGGTCTGGTGCGTCTTATAGAGCGAAAAATATGGTGATTTTAATAGCGTTTGGCCTGCCAGGTTGAGGATTCTTTTGTGGCTGACCTCTTTGGGGGTTTTTTATTGGGGTTTAGTGCTGCTTTCATTTTTACTGCTGTTTATTTTTGCTGCCGTTGATTGTATGACTAATGTTTCAGTCTATGTTACTGTTTTGAAAAAACGCTATAAGCTGCCCTGAGCATGGCAAATTTCTACGCGAGTGTGAGATGTATAAAGATTGTTGTATTAAGTGCATCTGTTTCTTGTCAGTTCCTCAAATAGGATTATCTTCCCAAGATAACTTGGTGTCCCTACTTAATGGGTATGTTAATATTTTTAGAATAACAAAGTTTCTCAGCTCCACTAGTTCATACTAAGATTACTGAAACTCCCAGGGACATTCTGTCTTCCTTCTGGTGTCTGTGCTTCCTCCCCACAATCTAACCCTTTCTGATTTTTAAAAAATTAATGTTTAATTATTTCTTTGATACATGGTTGAATGTGTATAAAGACAAGTAGCCACATTCCAATAAACAAAGGATGAGGCTTGCTCCTCCTTCATAACCAGCAGGGATTGCAGTACAGAAAGGATAGGGGGAATATCTTACTTTCCTGAAGGGGCATTTTTTCCTGAATCAGGAACTGAAATGAATTCTGGGCCAGGCCCAGCCCATCTCCCTTGCTCACTTGCTGATCGTGTGCTGTTGTTTAATAGGCACTGATGTGAAAGAGCCAGAGACAACCGTTCAAGGTGAGTGAATATTTCCGCCCCCCTCATCCCAGGTGGCAAAGCCTCTTTGTGCAGAGATCGCTCTGTCTCCACCCTCACCCCATACTCCTCGACTTGTGGTCGCAAAAAACGTGTGTGTTTTCTGGATGCATGCAAGCTAGAGGAAACACGGTGCCAACTTCCCGCCTCTGTTATACTGCGCTGTTGGCATTGTGCTTTTAGAGCGGTGTTTCTCAAACGTGGGTCCCCAGGTGGACTACAACTCCCATCATCCCTAGCTAGCAGGACCAGTGGTCAGGGATGATGGGAGTTGTAGTCCAACAACACCTGGGGACCCAAAAGTTTGAGAAAGGTTTGTTGGGAAACTGTGTACGTGCAGCTACTCACACAGAGTCAATTAAGGTTTGGCAGACAGCCAGAAAGCAATCTGAAGGAGTAAGTCTGCCTGGTGATAACAGAGGCATGGAGACCGCTCCCTGATTGGTCAAGCTCTCTCAAGGGAGTGATAATTAATGGCCTACTAACTGGAATGTGTTCAGAGTTCAGAGGTTCAGAGTTCTGTGTCAGTGTAGGAGTTGTGAGTTGTATCAGAGAGCGCTAGCAAAAGATCCGTGTTCTGTTCCTGTAAATAGTCCACTGTATATAATAAACACCTAACTACAAGTTCCTGGTTCCTGCTTCGTCTATCCTGTCTGCAGCAAAGTCACCAATTGCTTCCGTGGATTCTGCGTTTACTCTGCTAGGTCTGGCTAAGATCCTGCAACTAGTCAGAAAGTTGCGAAACATCAAATAGGTTTTGCCATTAAGGTCCAGCAAGGTGGTCTTGTCAAGGATTGGTAGAGTGCTGCTGGCAGTCTTATGTGGCACGGCCCCTTGCTCTCTCAGCTGAGGCGACGTGGGGTCTGCAGTTGGGAATGTGGACTATGTCCCTGGGAAAGGGAGTTATGTGTTATACCAAACTTATGTCAAAAGCAGGCAACAGAAATATCAGCTAACTGAATCGATAGAGTTGGATCCCTCTCAGCTATAGGTCTGCAGAGGTAAAGTATGAGTTTAAGAAGCCTGCACTCATGTACCTAGCTTCATCCAGGTCTAGCAATAGAATAGCTATGCTGGAGGCAGCATGGAAAACAGGGCAACTGGACCATCTTGACTTCTGATTATTTATCTTACTGAAGAAAAGAATGTTTTGGATGTAGGAAAAAGGCAACAGGGCTGTGTGTGTGTGTGTGTGTGTGTGTATTTGTTCATGCATAATGTGACAGAGGTTTACGAAACCATGAGTGATGTGGAGAAACTGAGATCCCATGAGGTCTGGCTAGCGCTAACTTTGGCTTTCTTTCAGTGCCAGGTTAAGACCTGGTTATTCTCTCAGGGTCCTTATGAATTGTTAATTCTGCAGCCTATGGTATTTGCAGCTCTGCATTTTAAGTCAGACGCAGTGATTTATACTTTTGCCTGCTCCCGCTATATTCTTGTAAACGCTTTGAATGAATTGTGTGCCCTGCTCAGAGATCAGTGTGATGAAGAGCAGGCTATAAATATTTTCAGAAACAAATAGTGGAGACATTCATCCCCCAGCCTCAACGCCTGAGGCACCTGTTCTTGAAACTGATACGAATAATAATAATAATATTTTTTTTATTTATACCCCGCCCATCTGGCTGGGTTTCCCCAGCCACTCTGGGCAGCTTCCAACAAAATACTAAAATACAATGAAACACCAAACATTACAATCTTCCCCAAACAGGTTTAAGAAAAAGAAGCAGTGCTTCTTTACACAACACATCATTAACCTGTGAAATTCATGACCCCAGGATGTTGAGGTGGCATTTAGCATTACAGTGGTACCTTGGTTCTCAAACTTAATCCACTCCGGAAGTCCGTTCCTAAACCAAAGCGTTCCAAAACCAAGGTGCGCTTTCCTATAGAAAGTAATGCAAAACGGATTAATCCGTTCCAGTCTTTTAAAAACAACCCCTAAAACAGCAATTTAACATGAATTTTACTATCTAACGAGACCACTGACCATAAAATGAAAGCAATAATCAATGTACTGTACTATAAACTAAATTAGACAGTATTGTAGATGATAAAGATTAAAATTGATTTTTTTTCTTACTTGCACTGTTTGATTTCCAAAATGTTCGAAAACCAAGGCGCAGCTTCTGATTGGTGCAGGCACCCCAGAAACAATAGCTGACAGCTGCATTGGATGTTCGGCTTCTGAGAAACGTTTGAAAACTGAAACACTTATTTCTGGGTTTTTGGCGTTTGGGAATCAAGGCGTTTGAGTTCCAAGGCATTTGAGAACCTCTGTCCCAGCTTCTGCCAACCTAGAAATTTGAAAGCACGCCAGTGCAAGTAGATAAATGGGTACCACTGTGGCAGGAAAGTAAACGGCGTTTCCGTGTGCTCTGGTTTCCGTCACGGTGTTCCGTTGCACCAGAAGCAGCTTAGTCCTGCTGGCCACATGACCCGGAAAGTTGTCTGAGGACAAACACCAGCTCCCTCGAGCTGAAAGCGAGATGAGCGCCGCAACCCCATAGTCGCCTTTGACTGGACTTAAATGTCCTGGGGTCCTTTACCTTTTACCTTTTTACCTAATGAATAAACATGGTACTGTCTTAGAATCTACACAGTTTGGTCAACCTGTCTGCATAAGCAAACATAGAATGTGCCTTCTGAGTCTATGCTGGAAGAGAATTAGGTTGACTAGATAGCTTCGTTGACACTTGGAAGAGTTGCAGCTCTTCTGATGTTGTTGTTGTTTAGTCGTTTAGTTGTGTCCGACTCTTCGTGACCCCATGGACCAGAGCACGCCAGGCACTCCTGTCTTCCACTGCCTCCTGCAGTTTGGTCAAACTCATGCTGGTAGCTTCAAGAACACTGTCCAACCATCTCATCCTCTGTCATCCCCTTCTCCTTGTGCCCTCCATCTTTCCCAACATCAGGGTCTTTTCCAGGGAGTTTTCTCTTCTGATGAGGTGGCCAAAGTATTGGAGTCTCAGCTTTAGGATCTGTCCTGAAGGACAGATCCCGAAGCTCTTCTAATAGGGGGCATCTAAGGGAAATATGAGGTTTTGGTGGTATTAGCTGCCTTAAGTAATCTCCACCTGGAAAGCACCAAGTTTCCCCAGGGTCTCTTAACACATCCCGTTTCTCCACAGCGAGCAACGAGTGGGTGAAATACCAAGAGGCTGAGTACAAGTTCTTTGACCATCATTCAACTTGGGTACAGGCTCAGAGGATCTGCACTTGGTTCCAAGCTGAGCTGGTGTCAATTCACAATCAAGCTGAGCTGGATTTCCTGGGTCAGAACTTGAAGAAGGTAGGGAGCCACCTGGAATGGCAATGGGTTCGGGCCAAAAGGAAACAATTTTAAAAATCCCATCCGGTTGTGGCAGGGACCTTCAGGCAGGAAGGGAACATTGATGGTTAGTGGAGACTAAATTGGGTCTTCCCAAAGATTTAAGGAAAATTTACCAGGTGAGAAATGCAAGATGGCCTCCAACTTGCAATAATCTTAATACATTTCCCCGACAGGCTAAGGAATGTGCTTTTGGTGTATAAATATGGGTATTGGGGTGTCAGGGAATCCATTCTAGAAGGAAAAATACGTTAAAATTACTATTGAGCAGTTGCCATCTTTCATTTTTTTCGCTTAGCAAATTCTCCTCAGAAGTTGTCTTGGAATCTTGGTACATTGTTTCTACTATTAATTTATAGAATCGAAGCCTTTCTGGCCCAGTTCCTTCAGATGCTTCTTATTTCCTTCCCAGACGAAAGTGAGAGCTGCATATAGAAAGCAATGAAGGGATTTAAAAGTTTGGCCTAGCTGCAGTTAGACAGCATCAAGCTCTCAACCTTTTATAGAGTGGAAGCTCACTGGGCTATTGCAAGGGTTTTAAAGAAATTTCTTTTAGTTTACGAATATATGTATATTGTTCTACACACAAGAGCAGCAGAACATAATTGACTAGACAAGTTAAAGGCCTGCCTAAATAATTTTTTTTCAAGATGGTAGCAAAAGCATAGTCAGCTGCTGCTTATGACCTTCTCCTCCCAGTTAGTGTTTCACACAGTAATATCCAATAATAATAATAAAAATAACAATAAACACAGCTTTATTGTTGTATTCCAAGTGCTCTTCATTTCTTTATTTGATATATAAAAATACTTGTCTGCTGCAATTTAATTAAAAGTTTCAAAGCTCTTGACAATTAAATACAGTAAGAACGGAAATAAAAATTAAAATGGATAATCAGCTATTATGGATACTTAATAGTCCCCGTAAGCTGGGCAGCAAAGAAAACTTCCCTGCAAACATTTGACAGTTAGCATAGAAGGTGCATGCTGATTCGGTTTGGGGTTGATAATCAGATGAGCCTCACCAACTCATGGGACAACTACAGATGAACTCAGTGATTGAGCTTGGAAATAATAATAATAATAATAATAATAATAATAATAATAATAATATTTCCCGCCCATCTCTGAGCACCTTCCAACAAAATATTAAAAATACAGCAAAACATCAGACATTAAAAACTTCCCTAAACAGGGCTGCCTTCAGATGTCTTCTAAAACTCAGATAGTTGTTCATTTCCTTGAGGGCATTACACAGGGCGGGTGCCACTACCGAGAAGGCCCCTCTGCCTGGTTCCCTGTAACCTCACTTCTCGCAGGAAGGGAACTGCCAGAAGGCCCTTGGAGCTGGACCTCAGTGTCTGGGCTGAACGATGGGGGTGGAGATGCTCCTTCAGGTATACAGGGCCGAGGCTGTTTAGGGCTTTAAATAATAATAACTTTAGAAGGTGTTCAGGTGACCCCTGCAGCACCCTGGACCTACGTTTTTCAGAGCTGTGTAAATCAAGACAAGTCTGGGACACGGATGGCACTGTGGGTTAAACCACAGAGCCTAGGACTTGCCGATCAGAAGGTCGGCGGTTCGAATCCCCGCGACGGGGTGAGCTCCCGTTGCTCGGTCCCTGCTCCTGCCAACCTAGCGGTTCGAAAGCACATCAAAGTGCAAGTAGATAAATAGGTACCACTCCAGCGGGAAGGTAAACGGTGTTTCCATACGCTGCTCTGGTTTTCCAGAAGCGGCTTAGTCATGCTGGCCACATGACCCGGAAGCTGTACGCCGGCTCCCTTGGCCAATAAAGCAAGATGAGCGCTGCAACCCCAGAGTCGGTCACGACTGGACCTAATGGTCAGGGGTCCCTTTACCTTTACCTTAAATCAATACAAGGACCTTGAACCTGTCATGTCACGTGTTCGCAGCTATGTGTTCCCATAGCCATTGCATTCTGCACCAGCTAGAGTTTCCAGACCAGGGCCAAGGGCAGCCCCACACAATGTGCATTGTAGTGATCCAGCCTTGCGGTCACTGGTGCATGGACAGCAGTGGTTAGGCAGCAATTCTGTAGGGTAGGCAGTGGGTGCCAGCACAAAATAACTGCTATGCGCAGGCAAAAACAAAAGGTGCTGGGACTCCATGCTGGTATCGTTACACAAAAAAAAGCCTGGTGGGAGGCACTCCGAAGATCAAGGTGGCTCAGACAGTCTTTTCGTTCTCCCCCTTGACATTATTGCATATAATTCCTCCTTTGGCCAGTTTTCAAGGGGACAGGAGCAGCACTGGTGGATTGGGCTGAGCACCTATGAGAATGATGGACGATTTCGGTGAGTCTCTTTCTCTATTAAGTGTCTTCTGTCCTAGAAGCTTTTTTGGTGTGTCTTAGATTCCTGCTTGTGTTCAAAATGCGGAAACCTCCCCAATGTGTTGTTTGCCATCTCCAGGTGGTCTGATTATTCTCTCTTGAACTTCGTCTCGTGGGCACCAGGAAAGCCTCGGCCTACCACCAAGGACAGGAAGTGTGTGTACATGACTGCTAGCCGAGGTGGGTAATGGGCATGCAGACATTGGCCTGATATTCCTAATCAATTTACAGATCAACATTCTTCCCTATGGCCCTTTGCAGTCTCTGGTCTGATCAGCTCAGACCAGCCTCCTGATAATTCCTAAAAAATATTCCATCCCTCCAGACACCCATCGAACCCTGAACTTCTGGCTGATGTCCCTGAAAACACACAGTGGTACCTCGGGTTACATACGCTTCAGGTTACATATGCTTCGGGTTACAGACTCTGCTAACCCAGAAATAGTGCTTCAGGTTAAGAACTTTGCTTCAGGATGAGAACAGAAATCGTGCTCCGGCGGCGCGGCAGTAGCGGGAGTCCCCATTAGCTAAAATGGTGCTTCAGGTTAAGAACAGTTTCAGGTTAAGAACAGACCTCCGGAACGAATTAAGTACTTAACCCGAGGTACTACTGTATAGGGTAGGCAGTGGAAATGTTAAGATCACTGGTGTCCTAACTTATTATTGTGATGTTGTTTTTAAGCAGTTGCCTAGTCTTTAGAGTTATAATACAGTGGTACCTTGGTTCCCAAATGGCTTGGCTCCTGAACAAATCGGCTCCCGAACGCCGCAAACCCGGAAGTGAGTGATCTGGTTTGGCAACATTTTTCGGAAGCTGAACGTCCGAGGTGGCTTCCGCGGCTTCTGATTGAGTGCAGGAAGCTCCTGAAGCCAATCGGAATCTGCGCCTTGGTTTTCGAACCGGTTCAGGAGTTGAACGGACTCCCGGAACGGATTTAGTTTGAGAACCAAGGTACCACTGTACATGACCACTCACCATTTAAAAAAATAACAACAACTATAGGACATCTGGATAAAAGAATGTTATGCCCCAAAAAGAAACCTGACCCAGGTTTGGGGTTTTTCTGTGTTGGAATTTTTTTACACAAAATGTTGGGACAGGCTGTGATGGCTGCTGTTTGTTACAGTGGTACCTCAGGTTAAGTACTTAATTTGTTCCGGAGGTCCGTTCTTTTTCTTTTTAGCTATTTTTAAAATTAATTTTCCAACATAGATTTGTACAGAATTAAACACCCAGTTCTCACCTAATCATTCTTTTAGACTTCCATCAGCATGTCTGACAATTCTCCGTGTTATCTCTTCATCTCACATTTCTCAATTTTATATTGCACTCTAACAATCTTAATCATATCATATTTTAAAGCAATATTTCTATCAATATTTTTCACAGTACTAATTGTTCATCACAAACATTTTTGATATACTCTGTAAATTTCTTCCAGTCCTCTGTGAATCTCTGGTCTCTTTGATTTCTAATTCTGCCCGTTAGTCTATCCATTTCTGCGTATTCCATCAATTTCATTCTCCATTCTTCTCTCGTGGGCATTTCTTCCCCGGAGATCCGTTCTTAACCTGAAACTGTTCTTAACCTGAAGCACCACTTTAGCTAATGGGGCCTCCTGCTGCCGCTGCACCGCCGGAGCACGATTTCTGTTCTCATGCTGAAGCAAAGTTCTTAACCCCAGGTACTATTTCTGGGTTAGCTATTTCTGGAGTCTGTAACCTGAAGCGTATGTAACCCAAGGTAGCACTGTACTTTGAGATGGCTGCTGTTTCTTACTTTGAGAGTGCCATTGTAACCAAGCAAAATACAGAATCTGCTCTCGTATCTTCTCCTTTCTCTCCTTCTGCAGAGGACTGGGGCGACCAGAAGTGTTTCACTGCTCTGCCTTACATCTGCAAGCGCACCAATATTACCACAGGCTCCTTGCCACCCCTGCCGGCACCTACTCCTGGCAGCTGTGCCCAGGGCTGGCATGCTGTTGGCAATAAGGTACTTGGAAGTGCTTTCCCTGGCCCCGGGCACCATCATTCTTGGTGGGGGGGGGGAGTCTTCCAGGAGTGTTTGTGTGCCAGGTCCCCCTTGAACTGGACAGGTGGTGGTGTGGAAATAACTCCTGCGGAGTATGTAGAAGGGCAGAAATTTGGCTGATGGACATTCCTGGTTCAGAAACCCCTTACCCACTTAATTTCCCCCTCCTGTTCGTGAACGTATGAGAGTGTGGAGGGTAGTAGATTGAGTGTCACATCTAGGACTGACGAGACATGGGTTCAAATCCCAGTCCGTCAGCCTAGCCGAGAGGAGTGAGATTTCAGATAGATAGCTGTTTCATATTGCAAGTCTGTCTGCGTAGTTTTGTGTAGTTCGATTTCCCCTTCTCTCAAATGCCTTGATATTTTTTACCTTCTTAACTCGTGGTATCAGAGAAGGGAAACCATCTTGAGCTTTTTGGGAGGAAAGGATGAGCTAAAGCTGAAAATAAAATAAATGTGAAAGTCCAGTGCTGAGGGCCTTCTGGCGGTTCCCTCATTGCGAGAAACCAAGTTACAGGGAACCTGGCAGAGGGCCTTCTTGGTAGTGGCGCCCTGTGGAACGCCCTTCCACCAGATGACAAAGAGAAAAACAACTACCAGACTTTTAGAAGACATCTGAAGGCAGCCCTGTTTAGGGAAGCTTTTGATGTTTAATAGAATATTTTATTTTAATATTTTGTTGGAAGCCGCCCAGAGTGGCTGGGGAAACCCAGCCAGATGGGCATGGTATAAATAATAAATTACTATTATATTATTATTATTATAAAGTCACAGGAGGGGAAATACCTTGCCTGAAATGTCTGCTGTTTCTAAATCTCCTTTTCTGTCAATTTTATAACCCAGTGCTTTAGGATTAACAGCGAAGAGCAGGTAACCTGGCAAGAGGCGAAGCGAAGGTGTGAGATTCAGGGGGGCGTGCTGGCAACCATCTCCAATTACGTTGAGCAAGGTAAGGGCCTTTTGTTCACAAGACAACTGTGTGTGTGTTCATGCATGCGTGCACACACACACACACACACACATTGCCTCACCTCGCCTCTGGGAACTGATCTGCTTTTGGCCCCAGGCAAGTGTCTTCATGAGCCGAAGAAAACCCAAGGATCATTCAGGCATTTGCCTGAACATATGAAAGGCTAATCTGTGGACTTATTGTCCTGAACACTGGACTGGACTGGACCCTTGGTTTGAGGGCCTTCTCGGCAGTGGCGCCCTCCCTGTGGAACGCCCTCCCTTCAGATGTCAAGGAGATAAAGAACTAAATAACTTTTGGAAGACATCTGAAGGCAGCCCTGTATCAGGAAGTTTTTAATGTTTGACGTTTTGTTACGTTTTTATATGTGCTGGAAGCCGCCCAGAGTGGCTGGAGCAACCCAGCCAGATGGGCGGGGTATAAATAAAACCATCACCGTATTATTGGAGTGATTGCAAGAAAATAAGAACAGTCCATCATAATATAGGAAGGAATAATAGAGAACAGAGTGCCTCTGAGAAAGGACAGAATGTATTTCCCTCACCCACTGAATAAGCGTTGTCTTTCCCTCGCCCACCTCGGAGGCAGTTAGAGGCCATGCGACGTCTTTTTTTTAGGGGAGGCACTTGATGGCAAAACTGAACTCTGGCTTTGTAGGCCTCTAGTCCCTATGAAAACAAAGCTTTGCACCTTCATCTGACTTCCTCCAGTAACGTGCCCTTCTTCCCACTTACAGCCTTTATAACCACTCTTCTTCCAAATGTGACATCTGACCTGTGGATCGGCCTCCAGGATTCAAAGAAGGAGTTCCAGTGGGTGGAAGCTGAGCCTGTCAGCTTTGTGAACTGGGGTCCTGGTGAGCCCTCTGGATGCGGGGCATCCACAGCTAGTGAGAACCCGGTGAGCCAAACCCTGGGGGACCCCCTCACCCCGTTTTGTAGCTATCTCTTTGGGGAGCCTCATCTTTTTGTAGGGATGCTGTGTGTTTCATAGAGGGGCATGGGTGGCGCTGGGGGTTAAACCACAAAGCCTAGGGCTTGCCGATCAGAAGGTCGGCGGTTCAAATCCCCACGACAGGGTGAGGTCCCGTTGCTCGGTCCCTGCTCCTGCCCACCTAGCAGTTTGAAAGCACGTCAAAGTGCAAGTAGATAAATAGGTACCGCTCCGGCGGGAAGGTAAACAGCGTTTCCGTGCGCTGCTCTGGTTCGCCAGAAGCGGCTTAGTCATGCTGGCCACATGACCTGGAAGCTGTACGCCGGCTCCCTCGGCCAGTAAAGCGAGATGAGCGCCGCAACCCCAGAGTCATCTGCGACTGGACCTCATGGTCAGGGGTCCCTTTACCTTTACCCTCAAGACTGGATGGAGACTTGCACGCTGCTCCAGCTGATGGCGTGCAGTGAACAGCCTTCCCACTGCGGGCACAGGTGAGTGACTGACGCTCCTGGTTCTGTCTCTCTCAGACCAACTGCGCTGTGGTTTGGCATGGCATCCCGCCCCAGTTCACTGGCCGCTGGGATGACAGGAATTGCCTGGAGGAGAAAAATGCCTTCATCTGCCAGAGGAGGAAAGGTAAGAGTGCAGGAAAGATGCAGGCGGGGACCGGGGGTGGGAAGGGTCAGGCAGGCTGCAGCTGTGCCTGGCAAAGGGAGGATTAATGTGCCTTGGCAATTATCCAAGGTGCCACTGTTTCTCAGACCTCCCCACAAAGAGCTGCGAGTGAGAAAGCAGCAAGAAATGGCTGGTGGTGGAAAGAGTGGGAAGGGAACACACCTGGCTCCCGGTGGAGTACAGGATCAGGTTTAAGGTGCTGGTTTTAACCTTTAAAGCCCTATACGGCCTAGGACCCTCGTACCTACGGGACCGCCTCTCCTGGTATGTCCCACAGAGGACCTTACGGTCTTCAAACAAAAACATCTTGGAGGTCCCAGGCCACAGAGAGGTTAGGCTGGCCTCAACCAGAGCCAGGGCTTTTTCGGCTGTGGCTCCGATCTGGTCGAACGCTCTGTCACAAGAGACTAGAGCCCTGCGGGACTTGACATCTTTCCGCAGGGCCTGCAAGTCAGAGCTGTTCCACCAGGCCTTTGGCCAAGGCAGAGTCTGACCCCCTCCTTTGGTAACCCTCATAGAACTCTAGCCCAATGGTTGCCATTAATTTGATTCTGAATTAATTTTAGAATGAATTGATTTTAGAATGCTGTGTTACTTTTATTGTTGTTAGCCGCTCTGAGCCCAGCTTCGGCTGGGGAGGGCAGGATATAAATAAACATTTATTATTATTATTATTATTATTATTATTATTATTAAGCACATTTGAGTGGTGTTCAAAAAGCTCCAGTATGCTTTTGAATTAAACCAATATTGTTGCTGTTTAGTCGTGTCTGACTCTTCGTGACCCCCTGGACCAGAGCACGCCAGGCACTCCTGTCTTCCACTGCCTCCGCAGTTTGGTCAAACTCATGTTCTTAGCTTCGAGAACACTGTCCAACCATCTCGTCCTCTGTCCTCCCCTTCTCCTTGTGCCCTCCATCTTTCCCAACATCAGGGTCTTTTCTCTTCTCATGAGGTGGCCAAAGTATTGGAGCCTCAGCTTCAGGATCTGTCCTTCCAGTGAGCACTCAGGGCTGATTTCCTTAAGAATGGATAGGTTTGATCTTCTTGCAGTCCATGGGACTCTCAAGAGTCTCCTCCAGCACCATAATTCAAAAGCATCAATTCTTCGGCGATCAAACCAATACTGCTACGTTAATGGCTCTGGGGCAGGGTGGGATGGAAGTGCAAGCTACGGTTATTCCAGTTCTAAGGAGCTCTGGTTCTCTTTCTTTCTCCCACCCCCAGATCCTGCCCTGAGCCCTTCCCCAGCAACCTTCCCGCCTGCTCCCAACTCCACCCTCTCGTACTTCAACAGCACTTACCGCATCTTGCAGAAGCCTCTCAGGTGGCAGGAAGCCATGCTCTTGTGCGAGAGCCTCAATACAAGCTTGGCGAGCATGACGGAGCCGTACACTCAGGCTTTCCTCACCCAGGCAGTGAGCAGCCTACGGACCCCGCTCTGGATTGGCTTGTCCAAAGAGGAGGTAAGACAGCCAGGGGGGCTGGCTAAGACAGAGCGGTGAGAGCAAGGGAAGCAGGGCTGGCCCTGCTGTTTGCCAGGGCAGTGCTCCTGCTTCAGACAGCGCCACTAGATGAAGGCAGGCATCAGTGTCCAAGTGGTATAGCAAGACCTTTTCGACATTGTTGGCCCTGGTAGGCTTTTGGGCTCTGCTTCAGGCGGCAAAGTGTCTTGGGCCAGTACTGGTGGACAGGTGGGGATCAGAGTTGAGAGTGGCACAGTCGCTAGAGCCAGTAGCCAGAGCTCCAGAAGTCAAATGACCTACAATACACACTCCTGGATGGGAGCTCAAGTGTCAGGGACTGGACTGAGGAGGAATGGTGGGGACCGCACCCTTCTTTCTCCTGAACCTTTCCGAGAACAGAAGGACACTACAGTCATACCTCGGGTTAAATACGCTTCGAGTTGAGCGCGTTCGAGTTGCGCTCCGCGGCAACCCGGAAGTAACGGAGCTCGTTACTTCCAGGTTTCGCCGCATGCACAGACGCTCAAAATGATGTCATGCGCAGAAGCGGCAAAAAGCGATGCGCGCAGACGTGCCGTTGCTAGTTACGTTTACCTCTAGATGCGAACGGGGCTCCGGAACGGATCCCGTTCGTATCTAGAGGTACCATTGTATAGATTTACAACAGTGGTTTGCAGAAGGTCACAGTTCAGAGGCTGCAGAGGGGAGAAGATGGGAAATATTGGGAGAGGAACAGCAGGACGAAGCAGCACCAGGGGAGAGACAGCTGACAGACTCCGTGTCTTTGGAAAACATTCCTGACCCCCCCTCTCCCAGGACCAGACGAGCATTGAGGGTAGTAGGACAAAAAGGCTCAGAGGCAGAAAGCTCAGATTAGCCGACGCAGGGGTGACGGAGAATAGGAGAGACGGAGGGGGTGGGACTCTACTTGGAGCAATGCCATTATCTAGGGGAGACCCCATTGCTTTGTCTCTCTCTGTGACTATTGAATAAACTACTTGGTAAGAACTTTTATTGTGTATCAGCTTCTTGGCTGCCATCGTGGGAGGGATAGGATTCTCCGAAGCCTGACACCAAGAGTGGCAAGGTGGGACCAAGTGTAAGCCACGAGTCACTGGAAAAGGGGTGCTTTCAGAGCTGGATCCTACTCCTGAAACATCTTAAGATGAACTACCCGTGCAGGACACGGTATCAAACAAATCCAGAATATTTCACAAGCCTTACAAGTGCACCCTCCTGACCACGTGGATTTTATCTGCATCCAGTCTCAGTTACAAGCTCCCCCCTCAGAAATCTTATTCTGTCTGGTCCAACTTGGCCGATCTTTTATTGGTTTACTGGGTTGCTTTTAGGGGAGGCGAAGCTACACGTGGTTCACAGAAGAGAGCCTTTCCTACACAAACTGGCGAGCTGGAGAACCGCAACAGCTTGTAGGGTGCGCATACATGGATGTAGATGGGACCTGGAGGACCGCCGGCTGCGACACCAAGCTTCAAGGGGCCATCTGCAAAATGAGCACAGGTGCTGTACCTGGGAGAGGGGATGCTCTAGTCAGCCCTGAGCCTGAATGGAGAAAAGGCCCAGACTTTCCTTCTAACCAGTTCTTCCCTTTCAGGGGCCCTTCCCCCCCACAAGTGGAGGTACAATGGGAGCTGCCCGAAATCTGTGGAGGATTCTTCCTGGATCCCCTTCCGGAATCACTGCTATGCCTTCCACATGGAAGTCGTGCTGGGCCAGAAAGAAGCTAAGAAGAGATGTGAGAAAGGTAAAGGGCTTCTAAGAAGCTCAGAGGGAACAACCATGCTCCACTTCTCATGCCCTAGAACATGGCTTCCGGCGCAAAGTCATGTTTTCTTTCGCTCTGGCTTTTCTCTTTCTGTTTGGTTTCTTCCCTCCTTCCTTGTGCCTAAAGCACACGCCAGCATTTGTCTTGGAAGTGGACTGCTGGAGATTTTATTCAGCGGCATCTACCTGCCTATTCCTCCACTTGGGACTGTGGAGCAGTTCTTGTAGGTGGGACAATAATTTTTAGAAAGCAAAGTCATTAATGTACTCATCTCTTTATATTTAGCACACACAAACAATTCCCGGACGACAACACACGACAACAATGGAACATCAGAGTAATAACCAAATACCAGAACTGAAGGAATCTGCTCACCCCTACTTTGTGCCTGTTTTAGTACAGAACGGTGTGCACACGCTGTTGGCGATGCGTTTCTGTAGAAATCCCAGTTGCTGCAGACATTCTCTTCTAAAGCCCTGGCACCTTTCTCCCTAGAAAGTCAGAGAACTGCTAACTCTTAAGAGTCTATAGACTGTCCTTTTCTTTCTCCTGCAGAGCCAGTGCTCGAGGGGAGAGCAAAGTGCCGTTGATTGGCAATAAGGCAATCAGCAGAGCTTTTCCTGGGGCAGGGATTATTCTGCCCATTTAAGGGTCCTCTTTGGTTAGAAGGTTTCGCTACAGGAGCTAGGTAGGGAAAACTTGTGCGGCCTTCAGGCACGTAACATGCAGGCACCTGTGATTCTGTCAACCAAACTCAGTACAGTGGTGCCTCGCAAGACGAAAAGAATCCGTTCCGCGAGTCTCTTCGTCTTGCGGTTTTTTCGTCTTGCGAAGCAAGCCCATTAGCGGTTTAGCGGATTAGCGCTACAGTATTAGCGGGCTTAGCGGATCAGCTGATTAGCGGCTTAGCAATCAGCTGTTAAGCGGCTTAGCAGCTTAGTGGATCAGCTGATAAGCGGCTTAGCGGCTTGGGAAAAAGGGGGGGGGAAGGAAAAAAACCCCGCAGGAACTCGCAAGACATTTTCGTCTTGCAAAGCAAGCCCATAGGAAATTCGTTTTGTGAAGCACCTCCAAAACGGAAAACCCTTTCGTCTAGCGGGTTTTCCGTCTTGCGAGGCATTCGTCTTGCGGGGCACCACTGTATCCTGAATATGAGTGTTTTTGGCAAGTTTTTCATGGGAAGTTTTTCCGCAATGTGTAAGAGATCAAGGAATGAATAAGGATTACCTGCGTCAAATCCCGCCTCGCGTTCTCATGACACACAGAAACAGCATCCTTTCTCCCTACACGAGGGAAAGTAATATTGGCTCACCTTACAGATCAAATGAATATATGAAAAGGGATGCTTAATTTACATATCTTTTTTTTATTCTGGTGACAAAATTGGAGCTTCCTTCATGTGGATGAGGGTGTCGTTCAGAAAATGCACAGTGCGAGAGCCTCTCGGCTGTACTCTTCTTGCCCAGTAAAACTTTCAGGCTTGTGCATCTGTTTCTTCTCCTGTTCCATCATCTCCCGCTTCCCCCACAGTTGGAGGTACGGTGCTGTCCATCCTAGACGAGATCGAGAACCTATTCGTGTGGGAGCATCTTCAGGCTTATGAGAGCCAATCCAAAGGAGCTTGGCTGGGGATGGCCTTTAACCCCAAAGGTAAGGCTGGCAATGTCTTGATTGATTGGCATGTAGTTAACAGCATGTTATCGTTATAGGAAATGAAGAGCAGTGAGGAGGAACAGTTTGGGGCAATAAATGAGGGTGGCGTTAATACATGAACTGAGACCAGGCGTAGGCAAACTCAGCCCTCCAGATGTTTCGAGACTACAATTCCCATCACCCCTGACCACTGGTCCTGTTAGCTAGGAATGATGGGAGTTGTAGTCCCAAAACATCTGGAGGGGCGAGTTTGCCTATGCCTGACTGAGGCTGAGGAGCAGTCCAGTTTGACCCCGCATATGGATCTTGGCCACTTTGATTCCTATGCATAAAAGTCTATAATTTAAAATCTATAATCTGCACCCAGGGGAAACAGCAGCAGGAGAGGGAAATGGAAACAGTGATAAATGGGGGAAATATGCAATCACATTTATTTAAAAGCATTTCTAAACATAGATAGGTGGCTTATAAAAAAAAGGTAAAGGACCCATGACAGTTAAGTCCAGTTGCGGACGACTCTGGGGTTGTGGCGCTCATCTCGCTTTACTGGCTGAGGGAGCCGGCGTTTGTCCGCAGACAGCTTCTGGGGTCATGTGGGCAGCATGACTAAGCCGCTCCTGGCGAACCAGAGCAGCGCACAGAAACATCGTTTACCTTCCCGCCGGAGCGGTACCTATTTATCTACTTGCATTTTGACATGCTTTCGAACTGCTAGGTTGGCAGGAGCAGGGACCAAGCAACGGGAGCTCACTCCGTCACGGGGATTCGAACCGCCGACCTTCTGATCGGCAAGCCCGAGAGGCTCGGTGGTTTAGACCACAGTGCCACCCGCGTCCCTTTAGGTGGCTTATCCCCAGCCATTTTTGCCCAGCAGACTACACTGTAATCCTTGCAATTTGTTTCCTCTTTCGGAAAAGGAATTTTTGATCCTTTTCTGCCATCCAGCAGAAGTGCTCCCTCCCTCTCCCTCTCCCTCTCCCCCTACCCTGCCACCCCACAGCATGTTTCTCCTTCCTCTGCAGGGGGCACACTTGTCTGGCATGACAACATGGCGGTGAACTATTCTAACTGGGGGCAGGATGACACGGGACCCAGCATGCTCAGCCAAAACAGCTGCTACTGGATCCAGAGCAGCAACGGGGTGTGGCACTTGGGCTCCTGCTCCAACGTCACCATGGGAGTCATTTGCAAGACAGCCCGAGGTAAGCGGGTGGTTTTGAAGGCCTCGGAGCTAAAATGTGGGGCGAGGCTTCTGATGGTCATGGGTCAGACTTCAGCATCGGGGAATGAGAGCAGGAGTTCCTTGGGGTTTATTCATGGGTCCTCATCACTACAGTCATACCTCTTGCTACGTTCGGTTCAGGTTACGTCTTTTCAGGTTGCATCCCGCGGCGATCTGGAAGTACTGGAAAGGGCTACCTCCGGGTTTTGCTGCTCGTGCGTGCGCAGACGCTCAAAATGACGTCACGTGCATGTGCAGAAACGACGAATCGCCAGACGCAGGTTGTGTTCTGCTTGTGTTGTGAACGGGGCTCCGGAACGGATCCCGTTTGCAACCAGAGGTACCACTGTACATTGTAAGGGCCAGTTGCACTAAATCACACATGATCAACAGCCAATGAGGTGGGTTTCGGTGGCTCAAAGAGACTGCAAGGGATTGACCTTACTTCTCTTTTGTTTAAGTATAGAATCCTGTATATATCTTCATGCATTGAGACTTTTTCTAGTCCACTATTGTGGTGGTGGTGATTTTTGGATAATGCTGATAATTTAAAGAGAAAGAGTCTTGACCAAAGACAGCCAGTGTGCTCTTTGGGAACCTGGCCCTCTTGGGCGCTGGGTGGTTTAAACAGAATATGTTAGACATGGATTGTCCTCTGCAGACGGCCTTTGGTTGTCCCAAAACTTGAGATAGAATGAAATCGTTTCTTGGGTCAGCTTAGGCCGCTGTGTGAATCTGCAGAGTTCTATGGGTTCGTGAAACTCTTCATCAGCTAGTGAAAAGTGAGGCAGCTTTCAAGTAGATAAGAGAGGGAGCTGGGCGACTTGTCTAATCTAATCTTTTCCATTCTGCCTAATGAAGAGTTCTGTGAAGGCTGAAAGGCGTGCATACTTTTAATCATTCCTAAATTGGTTCAGTAAAGGTATTACTCTGAATACGTTTGATTAATGTTACTTTATGGAGAAAAATGAAGGACAATAAGAGCTAGAAAGTAGGGTTGCTCTACCAGTGGACAAGGGGACAAGTGTGGTTGCAATTGAAAGAGAGGATATATTATTACTTTTATTGTTAGTGTTGAAAGGGAAACATAGCTAATGAAAGTCAAAGGAATGCAACAGCAAAGCATGGAGGGAGTTGCTTTGGAATGTTTTGAGCAGCTCTGAAGGGCTGTTTTCAAGCAACATATGAAACAGGACTAGCAACAGGCAAATTAATGACACCCTTTCTTTCTCTCTCTCTCTCTCTCTCTCCCGCCACTGGCTGGGTTCTCTTTCCATGGCAGCGGAAGAAAGCAGCCTCTCCAGATCAGGTACGTACCAAAATGGAAACTGGTTGCCGTGTCTCCTTGTAGGTGAGCTTGGCTTTGCCTCCTGACACTCCTTTGAACACCAGTCCTGAAACAGATGGGCTCCCAGTCTGGTTGTAAAACCGGAGTCTTGTGCCTTTTGCACTATAGAAGGGGGTGAGAATTTGAAGCAGGAAAGCCAGACCTGCTTCAGTTGCAATAACTGGGCACAAGTGAATTGGACAGGCCTAGGACCCTTGTACCTATGGGACCGCCTCTCCTGGTATGCCCTGCGGAGGACCTAAGGTCTATAAATACCAACACCCTAGAGGTCCCGGGCCCTAAGGAAGTTAGATTAGCCTCAACCAGAGCCAGGGCATTTTCAACACTGGCTCCGGCCTGGTGGAACACTCCGTCTCAGGATCTGATTTCTTTCCGCAGAGCCTGTAAGACAGAGTTGTTCCCCCGGCCTTTGGCATGGAATCAACCTGATCCCCTCCCCCTCTTTCCGTTTTCCTTTCTCCTTCTGTGATGGAACTCCTATTTGGGGACTTCCTTGGCTTTTTTCTGGCCCACGTAGGACCAGTCTGGATAGTTGGCCTTGGTGAAGATTTGACGTTTTCATCCCCCCAAAGTTTTTGATTTGAGTTTCTTCTGAAATGAGGCTGCATCTTAATGTTGCATTTTAATCTTGTTTTTAAGTTGTACTTTAATCAATTGTTTTTATACCTGGCGTTAGCCGCCCTGAGCCCAGTCTTGGCTGGGGAGGGCGGGGTATAAATAAAATTTATTATTATTATTATTATTATTATTATTATTATTATTATTATTACCTCAAACAGCCTCTCTCCTCATTTGTGCTTGGAGCACAACCTGTCCTCTGCTGCCTTTATCCCTTACCTGAAGCAGGAGGGGAAGCCCGTGGCGGAAGGGTCCCAATGGACCACCCCATGGCAACAATTCCCACCAGGAGTCCCCACCAGGGAAATTGGGGGGCCTGTAATGCAGCACCATAATTCATTGTCTGAAAAGGGCCTGTAGTGGGCTGTATGCTACTAAGGGACATTCTGCCAGGGCCCTCTGCTACCTCCTCTCCAAGGTAGGACTTGGCTCTGCCTTTTGTTTAAAAAACAAGGTGAACTGCTGTTATCTACTGAGTTGAATAGGATCCAAAATGCAGCAGTCTGATTGGTCCTAGAACAATAGGATTCAGAATGCAGCAGTCTGATTGGTCCTAGAACAATAGGCTCCAGAATGCAGCAGTCTGATTGGTCCCCAGGAGCCACCCAATCCAGCTCCAGGTGGAAGTGAATCCGCAACCTGATTGGCCTACAGGAGAATCCCGGAATTAGCCAATCACGGGCCCATTGTGTAAATAATATATATAAAGCAGACGTTTTGGGGGAACTTCCATTCCTCACTACTATGAGCTGAATAAAGAGCATGAAATCCACACTCGACTCCGAGTATATTTCAACTGCCCAGGGAGGAGCCAGCCCACCTTAGATTTGTAAGCATGCCCTTTGGGAAGTCATAACCGCTCTATAGACTCTGCAAATACCTGAACGGTATGTTCTCAAAACCTCAATGGTTTTGCATAGGCAATTGGTGGTCTTGCTCCATCCTAGGGGTTGGTCAGGTTGAAGCCTGCCAAGGATGCAGGCCCAAGGGGTGCAAAAACATGCCTCTCTCTGCCCTGGCTTGGAGTTATCAAGGGTGCAAGGGACAGGGAGGGGTGCAAAGGCAGCTCCTGGCCAAGGGCGCAAGGGAGCCTAGCTATGCCTCTAGGTGTGCTGAGTATCATAGAATCAGAGTTGGAAGGGACCCTGAGGATCATCTAGCAATGCAGGAATACGCAGCTGTCCCATACGGGGATCAAACCTGCAACTTTGGAATTATCAGCACCACGCTCTAACCAACTGAGCTATCCATGCTTTCTCATATTTATAGTACTTGTATCTTGAGCAGAATTCATCATGCCAAGGGACTCTGTTTACATTTAAACTGAACTGTTAGGTAACTGGAGACCTAGTTTATTTTATTCATTCGGTTTTTTTCCTCCCAAAAGCGTGCAGGGTGGCAAGCAACAATTTAGATGGAGGGATGAGCAGAGCTTCTAGTAGTGAGTGGGTGGCGCTGCAGGGCTCTGCAAACTTTCTCTTACTCCTCTCCCATGGTTAGAGAAGCTGAATACATTCCGCAAACCAAATTTAACACACCTGTTTATAATATTCACCCCGGAATTTGGTTCTTTGGCACACAAAGGGCTGTTTTTAGCACAAGACAGATCTGTGCAAAAGTTGCCTCTCTGGCATAGAGATAGTTATGGGTAGGTAGCCGTGTCGGTCTGCCGTAGTCGAAACAAAAATAATAATAATTAAAAAAAATTCCTTCCAGTAGCACCTTAGAGACCAACTAAGTTAGTTATTGGTATGAGCTTTCGTGTGCATGCACACTTCTTCAGATACACTGAAACAGAAGTCACCAGACCCTTATATATAGATGGCAGAGAGATGTTAGGTGGAGATTTAGCGAGATTTCCTTCTTTTGAAACCCAAATGGCAAGAGTTTCCCCATTTCGATGCGTCTGCTTAAAATTCCGCATCCCGCTAAGCAAACTGAAACTAATCCTGGCCAGTTCTGTGCACAAAGTCTCCCCCTTGCTCTTCCACAAAAATGGGTCTCCTTCCGTTTTGACCCTTTTCCCCTCTCCTTTGCAGCTTTCCTGGAGAACACAAAGGCCATCGCGGTGGTTATCCTCTCCTCCTTAGCACTGTGTGCCCTGATAGCAGTTGCTATCTATCTGTACAAGCGCCGGAGGACCTCAGAGCGAGGGGCGTTTGAGAGTGCCCGCTACAGCCGTACCAACTCCAACCCCAGTGAATCTGCAGAGAAGAACATTCTGGTGTCTGATATGGAAATGAATGAACAGCAAGACTAGTGGGGGAATTGGCGAGCCGGGGTGGGGGGAGGGAGGGACCTGAGTACCTGTCATAACATGCCATCTCAACAGCAAGCCCCCGAGGACAGCATAGGGCAACAGCAGGGTCAATAGATAGGACTGTGAACTGCTAAGGAGATGTGGAGAAATACTTTTTAAAAAAGTCCCATTTGTATGTGACACTAGAAGAAATTCAGCCCTGGCCTTGTACGTCTGCCCTTCTCAAAGAGGAGCCATGGGAGAAAAGGGAAAGTGGTTCATTTGTTGGAGACAGTGAGTTAGAAAACCTCATTTTGGATGCTCCAGTCTCTGCCGTGTCTTCTCCACATTTCCTTAGAGAATGAAAATGCAAGCATTACTTTTTCCTGGTTCTAATATTAAAACAGGGAAGGGCTTGCAGGATTTCCTCGTGTTCTTCTTGGTAAGAACACGCCTTTCTTATTTTGGATTACTTATTGAAGCCATGTGGATAATTAAAAGAGTGATGGGCCCTTGAATTCCTAATAACGGTGGTTCGATCTTCTATTTCTCTGATGCCGAGATACCCCGAGATAAATGCTTCCCCAACCGTGCCACTGCCATAGCAACCATTCTGCTGTTAAATTCTGTTGCCATATAGAGGACCTTTCTGCGAAAACAACTGAAAGTGGTGCCACAAACGTTTTCGCAGCTTCAGGATGGCCTCTTGGTGACAAATGAGTAACAGGTGTGTGCTTGGGGGTGGTGAAGAAGACAGGAACGTTGCTATTTGCCTCTGCCTCTTTTAACGATTCCGGCTAGATGTGCACTTCCTTGCAAAACTCATAAGCCATCAAAGAATTGAACATCATTATGAGCCCTTCTACAAACAAGTGGTAGTGGCGGGGAGTTCGCTAAATGGTCCTGGGGGTTGTGTCCTTTTCCCACTGATCACAAAACGAAACAATGCATCAAGTAGGTCAAGTGTGGGGCTTAGACATCTGCATTTCGAACAGGAACAATGAGCATGAGTTGTCCACTCAAGGCAAGGCCTGCTTTCCCCCCCAAGAACAAAATGTTGCGGTCTGAGCACTTAAAGGAAATGCATTGTATCTGCAACAGAAACACTGCCCTGAACTTAAAATGGGAAACAAATGCATATTTATTGCAGAAAACAGGGGTTTTTTTGCAGAAAGGTCCTCGGAACAACAGCATTTCTTGAGTGGAAAGCTAATATACTGGCACTTGTTTTTAATTTTAATTTTGTTGTTGCCTTGCTGGATAAGAGGTATAGACAACTTGTTTTCTGGTACTTCTCGTTTTATACTGTATCAAAGTGCATGTTTGACAATTATACCTTCTTTTGGGGGTATTTTGTGTCTCTGTGTAGATGTGATGGCCAAAGGTTCTACAATTCCCCCCTTTCCCACTTAATTTTCAATCATTCTAAGCAATGCAGCAGGACACTAAAGTTTTCTTGCTTCCAGAATAAGTATACAACTTGGTTTTGGATAGCATATGCTAGGAGCTAGTGAGAGACCTTGGGTGAAACAAATGTGGAATTAAGAAACAAAAAATAGAACAGGGCATGCTGTGGTTGTCGTTTTGTCCTTTGCTTCCAACTAAAAAACTTTTGAACAGTGGCTGTGCTAAATATGATAAGGGGAGAATAGTTCTTTTCTGCTACTCAAATAATTATGAGAATTGTTGTATGTATATAAAAAAAATCTGGTAATTTTCACTTAAGCTGGATATTAAGTGTTCATAAAAATGTTTACCTTTGTCTCTTTAATCTTTAGGTACCTGGAAGCTGCCATACCAGGCCATGGTATGGAGAGTTTCTGAGACAATCTTAGGTTTTCCAGTTCCTTTTCCCTTGATGACTGCTGCTTGTTTCCTGGGCATCTTTTTGGTTTAGATAAAGATGTTCATACATATTGATTTATGGCTAATGCTAAACAACTTCTCTGCTCAGGGGATCGTTTTTCAGGGCTGAATTGGAATGACTTTGCCCTGGACTCCACCATTAGATGTGTGAAGTAACAGTGCCTTCGGTAATATGTAGTGTGCCTTCATCTCTCTCATAAGTAGTCACAGGCAAGCCTTGTGTGTCTGGGCAATTAAGCTCCCAGGCAAAAGGCCAATTTCTGGGCTCGGGTGCTGGGAACCTCTCATTTTACAAATGAAGCACTAACCCTTTTGCAGCAATATTGAACAGAGGATTCCAATGCAGACGTGAAAATGGTGCAGGCATGAGAACTCAGTATCCATGTTCACTGAAATGGATATTCTCTGAAACCAAAGCTTCTGCCCCAAGAATGTTGATGTGCTGTATGAGCACTTCTTCAACATTTTGACAAAGGAATTGCATGGAAATGCCTTCTGCCAAGAAGGCAAGCCTGCTGGTCAATATATATTCAGGAATTAAGTGCAATAGCAGGCCAGAAAGGAGGGAAGCTTCTTCCCAGATGTGTATGCTGCTGCTATTCCCTCAGACTCTCCCTCAGTAATTATGACAGTACCATAGCCACCCCTTAACAACAGTCTTGACAATGTTATTTCCCTCTTTGCTTTCAAGGTGAATAAAACACAACCAGACAACTATCATTGCGTTCCGTACAAGGAGGGAAGAGGTATTATCCCAAAATAATGAGAAGTTTGCTTGTTTGTTTGTTTGTTTGTTTGTTTGCAATTACTGGAAAAATGCCTCAGATTAAATGCATTTCTTATCACCCTTCTGAATAATGTGAAAAGGTGCTGGAAAAGAAACTGGCAACTTTTAAAGTAATTACTTTTGCTTTTTTAAAAAAAAAGCCTTCTAGAATCTTGGAATAAAGCTTCATTTCCCCATCCGTTTCAGCAAAAGCAGACTCTTCATCTTCTTCCATGGTTTTCAGTAGTCGCAAGAAGCCAAAAACCTCTTTTGCCCCATTTCTTGCTTTCTCAGAATTTACCATTCACTGTGCAGTGCGTCATTTTAATTAAAGCTGTGAAAATTCAACTTTGACTGATCCCAAGATTGGTAATGGCAGAAATTCCTCTTCAGTGGCTATATTTGGACTTGAGATGAATTTCGAGAACGTCAGTCTTGCAGTCTTTTGAGATGAACGAAATGTGGGCTCAGCTCAATTGTTCAACTCAACTTCTCACAAACCTTTTAGCTTTCCCATCGCCTTCCTCACAAACTGCTCACATGGCCTTTAGGAGTGCAACCAGGGAAGCTCATTCTCAGCTAAGACAATCTGAATGCTAGTGGGCTCCACCCAATCTATCAGCCACTGAATTGTATCAACATGTGGAGAAACCTCTGGAATTCAACTCTTAAAAACTCTAATGCACATGTCTAGATAGAAGACGGGAGTGGTAACATCATCATTAAGGGAAGGAGCTTAAGCAATGCTCTCTTTTTGAAACAGAGGCAGGTGCTGTGAGAAGTTGTCTTTTGAGCTACAATTCAAGGCACTACACTGGACCAGTTAAGCCCTTCAGTGCTAAAACACAATGGACCAAGCAAACCCATTCTGAAACAGAGCACACATGCGTTTGTGAAAGGCATGACAGCTCTGGATGACACCCAATGAGGAATGCCATTCTATCGTAGGCTCCACCACTGGACCAGATGACTACATCCAAAGTGCCTCTCCATATGCAAATCAATTCACTCTAAAGCCTAATACCAGTGATACACATTTTCAAAAGCCTTCTTTTCACATTTGACAACGGCAATTGCAACACAACAGTAAGTGCAAGTTCTTCAAGTGCCGCCTGCTGCAATTGTGAAAACGGGAGAAATTTGCTCTAACCTTCAAATTTCATGGCCTCTTTCCAGTGTGGGCTCTTAGTATACGGTGGACCCTCTAGTTACATACCACTCTGGATACGTAACTTTTGGGTTGTGAACGCGGCAAACCCGGAAGTGTATACTTCCGGGTTTCACTGTGCACAGAAGCGCTAAATTGTGCCGTGTGCGCAGAAGTAGCGCCTCAGCCTACGGACTTTTCGGGTTGCGGACGGACTCCTGGAACGAATTTAATACATATCTGGAGGGTCCACTGTAATCTGTAGTCATTCAAGCTGCATTTGCTGCTATTACTATTTTAGCAGCAGTCCAGCATTGGCAGTGTTGCAGCTGCTGTACAGAACCCAGGAATTGGCAGTCTATGTTGGCTGCGTGATACAGCAGGGTTGGGTGGGAAGGAGAGAGAGGCACAGATTGCCTTAGAGCATCTCTCCTGAAAGTTCTGTCACAAGGGGAATGCCCTGGCTATCTGATATTCACCTGTGGGAATCTCCCTCCAAAACAACAACCTGTTCACTTACAACGTACTGATCAATTTTTTAAAAAGAACATGGGAGGGGGTGCCTGAGGAGTGAACAAAAGATTAAATATTTTTTATTAGGGCTTGCCATTCAAAAGGAAGGCAATAATGTTATAAGACTGATCATACAACAGTACATCAATACATTTACATTTGTGTGCCATGAAATGTCCTGTGAAAAGGCTGGGCGTACAACAACTCAGTTTTAACGTACAAAACATTGCTTTTATCTCCAGGGAACCCTGACCCCAAAGGCGCATGTCTGAAATGGTGCAGAGTGGATTCTAGTAGGGCAGGTGCTGCAAAAGTAGATACCTAGTTTGCCATCTCAGACGGTTTGCCAGAGGTCAGTCAAAGCACACACACAACACACGCATGAAACCCTAGCCAACGTTTTGAATTTTGATTGGAGTAGCTGGGGGCCAGGGAGTAGGAGAGATTAAAAAGTTTACACTCTGCAAGTTGCTGTTAATAACCCATGTTGTTTTAAAAAGATTGTCAGTCAATATTGCAACTTCAAAAACAAAAACAAAAGGGGAAAAACCCACAAGAATCAAACCACACAAACAGCCAAAACAACCCCAGACCCTTAAAAAGTCTTTTGATTTCAATGGGTGACACGGAATATGAATGGCGTACATACTTATTGTGGCCTGGTGTTAAGAAAGAGTGAAAGTTGAAGGATGTGAAGAAGGGCTCTCTGTCAGATTCCCAAAGAGGTCTCTTCCTTAGATCCTTGAGAGTTTTCTTACCCACTGTTGCCAGAATTGGCTGAATCTGCAAAGATGGAGGAAATAAATCACTTCTTAGAACGCTTTTCTGTATAATGTGGCAATTGCCTTAAATGCATTCAATACACTATTACTCAAAAGAGCAACGGAGGCTCAAATGTTCACCATAAATCCAAATTTAATTACTTATCTCCAGAGACTTGTTGTGACACATTTCATAAAACCGAGGAGCCAGAGAGCCCAAAAAGTAAGGCATCCAAGGTGCCAAATTTAGTTAACTCCTACTTGCCATATGCTGGGACTATCTGAAAGGAGGTGGATATATGTTATGTTAGGAAATGCGACTCAAATAAATGAAGGGCTGCTTTAAGGAGGCCTATACTGGTGTCAGTCCCCCATGACTGCCTGTAAACAATGCAAGAACCGTAGGTGTGCAGGCAATCTGGTCGTGGGGGAGAAAAGGTTGAATGATGACCAGTGAGACCCTTTCAAATTATATTTTCCTATGATTGTACGGAGGGAAAATGTGTCCTTCTAACAGTGCAATTCTAACAACCATGTCTACTCAGAAGTAAGTCATACTGAGTTAAGTGGAGCTTACTCCCAGGTAAGTTGGGTTACGATTGCAGTCCAAAGCAAATGTTTTATTTTCAATTCAACTTTTTCACAGCATAAGCTTGCGCAACCGTTATATAAAGAGAGCTGGAACTCAAGAAGTCAAGAGGATGTGGAGAGATAACTTGGAGCACAGCTTCAAATTCTACTGAGGCTGCAGCGCTCAGCTCCGAAATGTGATATTATAAAGGAAGGAAATGCCCTTAGTACATGCAGAGTGCGTTTCACCTCATTGCTCGTTAGCCACATTGGACACCATGAGTTGTGGCGTTACTGGGGCATAACTGACCATGCTAAATAGCTGTTTGCCACATTTCTGTAACTTAGCTAAATATAAGGGGCCTCTTGATTTGAATGTTATTCTTATCTAGGAACTTCAAAAGGGGTAGGAGCCATGTGGGTATGTTAATGGATAACCAACTTTCTTTGGACACCTTGAAGATGTGTGTGTGTTTGTGTGTACTCCCATACACACACACACACACACTGCTTTTTTCTGGGAGTACGCAGGTGTACGCATACCCCTAAACATTTTGTGAATCTAAGTTTGGCCTCATTGAGGGGCAGTATTTCAACATGAGTAGGAAAGTGAGAGTACCCCTAAACATTTTCTAAGAAAAAAAGCACTGTATATATTATAAGCAGTGGAACATCACAGTCCTTGTGTGATAGACTTGTCCTTGCTTTCAGACATACCCCTAATATAAAACAGACAAAAGTGGAGGAAGAAGACCCTGCCACTAACCTAGATGTGAATTCTATCCCCGTGTCTACTCAAACATTACTATTACAAATCCTAATAAAAGCCAACCCCATAGGGTTCACCCGCCTACTCAAGATGATACGCTATAGTCTGTTTGCAAAAGAATAAGCAAAATGCCCAGAAACCAATGGGGAGAAGCCTTCGGTTTCCCAAGGCACTTCAAATGGAGATTCCAGTGTGAAATTGCTATATTAGAATTTACACAAGGAAGTCTTCGCTTGAGCCAAGACAGGCCTCAATCAATTTCATACCCACTGTTGATGTTACTTAACAAAGGAAGGGTTATTGTTACCACCAGTTATTGCTGTAGTGATTAGTCGTCATTATAGTATCTGTTTGTTTAAGCCTTATATAGAACTACCAGTGTCGTCCTTGAATCTTACAGCTTTTTTGCACCACTGCATATCCACCTGAGTGCATATATATTATACACACATACAAATATACACAACTATACCTGCTGACTGAGGACTGTTCTTCCTGCTCTAGTCTGGAAAGCACAATAAACCTGGTAGGCTGTAATCTGAACTAGGAGGGGTTTTTTCTAAGCAAACGTGCATAGTATTTACCAACAATGAACAGGTCTAAATGGCACAATAGGGCGACACCTCTATTAGCATTCATTAAAATGTCACAATGTAGCAAGCAAGATGGGGAATTTCAAGTTTCCTGAAATGCACTGTCAAGCTTAAAAAAAACGGGAGAGAAAAAAGCTGTGCCTCAAAGCGAAGTTTTATGTTTGCCACAGTTTCAAGCTAATTTCCAGGAGGTAGTAAAAGGGCTTTTAAAGCTCAATCTTCTATAAGAACCCCTGTGAGATTTACTCCTAGGTAAGTAGAGGATTGCAGGCTTGTTAACACTATGCAGAATGCAAAACAGCTCAGATTGCACCAGGGGCTACTGGGACAAAACACCTTCCTCCCAATAATGACTATTCATCTATTTGCCTATTTCCAGTGCTTAACAAAACACACAGGCTCCCTGTAAGACAGAGGAAGGGATCTGTGCAGCTGGTTTTCCCCATTCATGTTCATTGTGGTAAGTTACAGGGAGAAGCTGCTACCAGCATCCTTGCTGGACAAGTGGATGAAGCTGCGCTTGGGCTTCAGTCCCTACTTGTTTATAATACAACCACTATAACTGTCTCCCCCTGCTTGTCAATTAATTTCTACCCTTTCAGATACCTTGAGCTCTCCTTTGTACAAAGCAAACAAGGGCTAGGAAACACTTCCCATTTTCATAAAGCCCCATGGAATATAATTCCCATTTTGACAAACCTTCAGTTTTTCTAAAATCACACAGCTTCCCTTTGTTATTTAGAGAAACCAGAGTATCTTCTGCAGTGCCTGTGGCTTAATGAGACACTTGCACCTCTGATTAGATGCACCGTAAGGGAATCTAGCATCTTGGTAGATCTAAGATTCCTTTATGAGGAATACTGCAAAAAGTTACTGAGAAATAGTAGGAGTTGCTGTAAGCCCTACATAAACCTACTTTGGTTTTCCTCTGTTCTGGGCTGTCTTGAGAGCTAGGGGGAAAGGAAAAAAGGATTAATACATGTTGTTCCTAATAAGAGTGACGAGACACATAGTATTTCAACAACAATGTTGTTGGCATGGCCTGCGGAAAAGGCACTTTAAAGGAGGACAAAGAAACATCTTAAAAATCCAAGATGAGTGGGTAAACGATCCCATTGCGGAAATGTAAGGTACAGTGAAAATAATGTTAAAAGAGACAATCAATAGGTAAATGTTTTGTTTGTCTATAAAATGATAAAGAAATTGCTTTCTTTGCCCACAGCCCTACGGCTGGATACCTTTCGGGAGTGCAGTCCTATATCGGGGGGAGGGGGAGTTCTGTAGTGTCTTCAAGCAGAAGACAGTGGGTTTTGGAAAGACACCTAGAATTTTGGCAGTTTAGTATACGATGTCACAAGTAAGGCATGCATTTCTGCTAAAGTACATACCAACACACCCGTAGGTTCCTTTTTTATATGTGTACCTTAAGGTAAAGGGACCCCTGACCATTAGGTCCAGTCGTGGCCGACTCTGGGGTTGTGGTACTCATCTCGCTCACTCCGTCGCGGGGATTTGAACCGCCGACCTTCTGATCGGCAAATCCTAAGCTCTGTGGTTTAACCCACAGCGCCACCCGTGTCCCTGATGTGTACCTTACATATGGTCATATTAAAGCTATTGGCCTGTTTAAGGCATCCTGGATATTTATGACATGTTAGACATTAACGAGGAATGTAATTTCGTAGCTAAGTCACTTTATTTATTTCTTTGCTCGCTTGTTTCTGATGTCATAAATGAGACGCATGAGGCAAAGGGAAGTGCACTTGTGTGGGGCAATGAAGGGGGTGAAAGATATGATCGTGTCTGAGAGCCAGCCCCCTGCAACGCTGTAAGTAGCAAAAAGGGGTCATAAATGTGTAACTGATTTAGCAGTTATCTGACAGGACCTAATTACTAAATGGCCAAAGATGCTGACAGATACAGAATTCATGTTGCTACAAGTGCAGACTGAAGACAGCCCTTGGAAACAATCACATTGCAGCACAGAGTTTTTTTATGGCAGTGCTTACGGTCCTTTACTGACATCAGATTAGCCAAGAGGCAGAATAGAATGCCCTGCGATAAAAGATGAAGAACTGGCATTAACTAGTTTTAGGCTGCAATCCTAAACATGCACCCCAGTGCCCATTGGGCAGAGTAGGACTTACTTCTAAGAACACATGTAGGATTGCCCTGTCTAACAACCAGCATAAAGGTAAAGGGACCCCTGACCATTAGGTCCAGTCGCGGACGACTCTGGGGTTGCGGCGCTCATCTTGCTTTATTGGCCAAGGGAGCCGGCCTACAGCTTCCGGGTCATGTGGCCAGCATGACTAAGCCACTTCTGGCGAACCAGAGCAGCACACGGAAACGCTGTTTACCTTCCCGCCGGAGCGGTACCTATTTATCTACTTGCACTTTGACGTGCTTTCAAACTGCTAGGTTGGCAGGAGCAGGGACCGAGCAACGGGAGCTCACCCCATCACAGGGATTCGAACCGCCAACCTTCTGATCGGCAAGTCCTAGGCTTTGTGGTTTAACCCACAGCGCCACCCGCATCCCCACCCACAACCAGCATAGTAGGGCAGTTTAGTCTAATGGCATGATGCGATTCATCTCACAGCTGCTTCACCCTTTACCAGTTTAGGTACCCTAGTATTTTCAGCAGAAAATATTAAAGCAGCAAAGGGAAGATGCAATAAACATGCCACAGGGGACAGAGGCCAATTTCTGCTCCTTGGAACATGGCCCTAAGAGTTTGGGTCACTTTTACATCAAACACTGCATACATAACTTATCACAGCAAATGGGAGGCTCACTGATGGGAAGCTAGTGAACCTAGGTTGCTGTGTATAAACAATGAAACGGAATTAGGTATCTTTCTCCTCTTACCCGATCTCTGGAGGCTTGGTTGTAGTTTAATCTCATGAGTTCTGCAAACCTTTGCTCATACAGGTGAAGCAACAGAACAAGATAAAGGCCTGAGTTCATCAGTTCATCCTGGGCCTGTATGTAGGGAGAGAAAGGCTTTTGAGTTTCTGCCACAACTGGATGAGCAACTCCACATGACCCCGGTTGCCTTCCATGAGCTTCTGAAGCACGGGGGCCTTTTCTATTCATGGAGGCTCCCTGCAGATTTCAGAACTTTTTGCATTGCTACCTGCAGGGATGGGGAACATTTTTCTGCCTCACACAGAACTCTGTGGGTTCTGCATGGCGTTGCTGGGTGGAGCAACGTCACATCCCAGCCACAAAAACCCAGAAGTTTCCTTCTATGCGTGTGTGTACACACACATACCATTCTCCATCCAAGCTATTGGGCATGGCTGCAGTTCAAGGACATATTTCAGCCAGGCAGAAACCCTTGAGAGGACACAGATAAGAGGCAGTGAAGGGTCTGAGGAGGACAATTTGAAGAGGGTGCATGGTTTGGGGAGAGTCCTGAATGGCTGCATTTGCCCCCTAGGTCTGAGGCTTTTCAAGCGTGCCTTGTTGTCTGCTTGCGTGCCCATTTGGTTTCTTACCCGAGACTGCTGATGATTCCTGTAATAGTCATTCACGTTAAAATCATCCAGATCTACAGTAAGGCTCTGCTTACAGAGTTCACATGTTTTCACTGCGCCAAGTTCAGCACCTGAAGAACAAAAATTCTTTGCTTTATCTTATATGCAGCACATACTTGCTGTAGGTTGAAAAATCCCACATTCCACTGAATACTGCTCCAGAAATCTGCTCTGTTCAAGGCTCTGTGTATACCTTGTGATACAATATTTGGCACCAGAGGTACCAGCAGGATTTTCTGACCTCAGTACACTGTATTTGGATTGGGTACTCCACCCTACTTGCAAATGAGGACAGAGAGTAGCATATACCGTATTGGCCCAAATATAAGCCACACTTTTCCCCCCACCCCAAATTCCAACTGTGAAAAGTTAAAGTGTGGCTTATACTTGGAACTGAGCACTGCGTGTCCGCCTCCCGACACTACTGCCCTGAACGGGGGATGGGGGTGATCGGTGCCAGCTTGGGGAGGTGATGCCAGGAGTGCCGGGAGGCGGGCAAGCAGCACGCTTGAAACTGAGTGCCAGTGGCAGCTTGGGGAGTGGGGCACCGAGCGCCGGCCAACCCCCGTTCAGGGCGGTAGTGCCAGGAGGCGAGTGCGCAGCACACTCGAAACCGAGCACCGGCTCTGTGGGCCAGATCGCGTCTGCACAGATGCAATTTTCGGTGCCGCAGAAGCAAGTCCCCACTCTGCCGGTTTAGCGCAGCGTGTGGGGACTCGCCAAGCGGGTGGCTTGGTTCGGGGCCATTTAAATGACCCCAGTGGGTCGCTTGTGGCCCATGGGCCACAGGTTGCTGACCCCTGATCTAATCATATGTCTGAGAAAAAGATCTCTTGAACTACTTTTGTTTTGGAAATTTTCACAGGGCAACGTTCATCTTTTGTGAGACGTTCATTTGATCTAAAGCTTGGGAGGCTGCTAAGCCTCTTATTGGGGTTTGCCCAAGACATTTTGCTGCCTAAGGCAAAAGACAAGATGGCACCTCCCACCCCAATTCCATGTCTCAAAACTGACCAGACTGGAGCTGAAACTTACTTCAGCACAATGGGACCATGCTTAGCTCAGTTGGTAGAGCACAAGACTCTTAATCTCAAGGTTGTGGGTTCGATCCCTGTACAGTGATACCTCGGGTTAAGAACTTAATTCGTTCTGGAGGTCCGTTCTTAACCTGAAACTGTTCTTAACCTGAAGCACCACTTCAGCTAATGGGGCCTCCCGCTGCCACTGCGCCACCGCCACACAATCTCTGTTCTCTTCCTGAAGCAAAGTTCTTAACCCGAGGTACTATTTCTGGGTTAGCGGAGTCTGTAACCTGAAGCGTCTGTAACCTGAAGCGTCTGTAACCCGAGGTACCACTGTATTGGGTGAAAGATTCCTGCGTTGCAGGGGGTTGGATGAGATGACCCTGAGGTCCCTTCCAACTCTACAATTCTATGATTCTATGTTCTCTGTCACACTTGAGGGCAACAGGCAAGGCTGCTGAGCAGACAAGGCACACCTTGGAGCAGCAGCAGCAGCAGCAGCGGCAGCTTGGCTTTAAGTTAAAGGAGAGAAGACAAGAACCAGAATCCCTCCCCCCCCCAAGCCCAAAAAGTGCTGCAACTTTTGCCTGTCCCCACAAAACCTGCTGATATTTCTCTCCCCGCCCCCCCACCTTTGTGGGGAACAAATGGTCCTGCAGAGGTGCAGTGGGGGAATTCTAACCAGCCACAAATAAAGTCACAAGCTTAAATTTGTTAGATTTGTTTCCAAGCACCTGGGCAGCACCGTCCCTATTTGTTTGCTGGGTGATACACTGGAGAACCAATGAACTCCTGCTTAGCCCTGTTCATTTCTGTGCATGATGCCTCTGTTGAAACCCAAACAAGGTGTGAACATTGCAAGATCTCTTTTCCTAGTCATCTGCTGCTGATGCTCTTCATCAGTAGACGTTCAGTGACAAGATCAACTAGCCCAACTGTCAGGTGCTGGTGTGGTTGCTCGAGAGCAAACAGGCAAGACTCCGACCTGTCTTCTCCAGGCTTTATTATCTGTACAAACTATTTACAGTGCAGAGCGTCGCAAGTCCATGTCTGCTCAGTCGCTAGCAGAATCTGGGAGTGGGCGGTCCTTATACCTTCCCCAGCATAACAGTCGTGTGTCCCCCACCCTTCTCCTCCCCTCTCTGCGCGCAAACCTACTGCGCAAAGGGGGACTTGCCTCCCCTCCGCTTTGCACAGGCTCGCTGTTGAGGCTCTCCCTTGCATCTTCTGATCCCTGCGCCCCTTCCCCACTGGAGGCGGGTCTTCCCTCCTCGCCGGAGGAGGAACTGCTTCGCAAGATCTTCGGAGGCTCCCTGTAACACAACTGCCCTTCCACCTCTCGCCTCTGAGCTGATGGCAGTTCCCTGACACCAGCCATAAACCATTAAGCTGTGGTACCTGGTTGGAACACAAGGATGCTTGCTTTCATTATATTTATTTTAAGTGTGCATGTACTGTTTGGGTGTACAATTTACAAAATTTGGAAGCATTTTCTCAGAGAAAGCACATACGCATCACAGCCTGTTGTTTTCTTGGTTTTGATATCCTTTTTGATGTGCTGAAGCTAAAGAAAGTCATTCCTAGTTACTTTTTCTTTGCCTGTTCTATCATGCTTTTCCATTCCAGTAAGGTATTACATGACTCATTCTCCCTGCTTTTGCCTGATGTAACCTTGTTATACCATTTAACCCCAGCATAGACCAGACTAGCAAGGATGATATCATTGAAGAATAATAAGTGTAGTTATTTCCACTGTTACATCATATACACAAGTATCTTTGGGGGAGGGGAAGCATTTTCAAAAGCTGTTTTACTTTAAATTGTTCCACTTTCATGGGGCCATTTCTCACGAGTTTTATGCAGAAACAAAGGTAATGAAATTACGGGTTTGGTAGTTACGAAGGGCTGGTTTTTTGTCCAGTCTCCAAAGCCAATACATACTCTGAGTAGGCAGAGAATACGGGAGGATATTCCTTTGGCAGAACTACATGTAAAAGTCCCTCCTTGCTGAGACTCTTTTACTAAAGCATGTTAGTAAACCATCTTGCAACACATAAAACACTCTGATAACTTTTCTGCTGTTGAAAAACACTATATATTTTAACCAAATACAGTGGTACCTCAGGATGCAAACAGGATCCGTTCCGGAGCCCCGTTCGCATCCTGAATGGAATGTAAGACACAACGGCGCATCGGTGCGTGCGCAGGTTGCGTTTTGCCGCTTCCGCACATGTGCGTGACGTTATTTTGAGCGTCAGCGCATGCGCGAGCGGCGAAACCCAGAAGTAACGCGCTCCATTACTTCCGGGATGCCGCGGAGCGCAACCCGAAAGCGCTCAACCTGAAGCACATTCAACCCGAGGTATGACTGTAGTTTTAAGTGAATTGAACCTATAGAAGTCCAGTTATATGCATTTTTCTCTCATATAAAACATTCCACAATTGTGGCCTTTCTCCAACTGATTTTGGTGGAGTTTAGGCATGCTTATTGAGACATCTTTCTGACAGCTCAAACCTAGACATGTCTACTAAGAAGTAAAGTCTTACTGAGTTTAATGGAGCTTACTCCCAAGTAAGTGGGTATCAGATTGCAACCTCAGTATGAATAAAAGCACATAACATTTTTGCTGAGGTATTCTCAGCCCTCTCTTAGTGGGAGTTATAAGAAGGTTTCCCCAGACATGTACATAGCACCTGATGAGCAGCCTAGTTCAAGACTGAGCAAGTCATATTTCTGTCAGTTTTGGTTGTTGCCAGAGTAGAAAGGGAACAGTCAAGAATTTCTAAATCTAGTTTTGCTTTGATGTCGGTACATACAGTGTGTCTGGGCCATGATGGAATTTTAAACTAAATTACATGCTAATGTTCTTTCTTTGCTTAAACTTGCAAACTCACCTGATTTGATCTTAGCCTTTAACCAGGTCTTTAGACATTCCTGATGGACAAATCGAAGAGTCCCGCCACACCCGCACGGTTCCAGCAGTGGGTTGGTTATGGATCCCCCAGCAATCTGACATATCCGACACTGATCTCCCTCCTCTTCAGAGTCTTCTGCTAGGAGACTGGAGATACAGCAGAGGTTCCATAAATCAAAAACAGTGGTCTGGAGGAATGACCTTCAATAGAGCATGCTTGTAATGTATTTGAAAAGTAAAATTTATGGACTGGGGTGGGAGGGAAGAAAGCAAAAGGATTCCTTCTAAATTCCCCTCTCACATGGTGGGTGAGATGGTCCTACTAGACCAGGCTTCCTCAACCTCGCCCCTCCAGATGTTTTGAGACTACAATTCCCATCATCCCTGACCACTGGTCCTGCTAGCTAGGGATCATGGGAGTTGTAGGCCAAAAACTCACTTTTTCCCTCCTAAAAAGTAAGGGGAAATGTGTGTGCGTCTTATGGAGCGAATGCAGGCTGCGCAGCTATCCCTGAAGCCAGAACAGCAAGAGGGATTGCTGCTTTCACTGCGCAGCGATCCCTCTTGCTGTTCTGGCTTCTGAGATTCAGAATATTTTTTTTCTTGTTTTCCTCCTCCAAAAACTAGGTGCGTCTTGTGGTCTGGTGCGTCTTATAGAGCGAAAAATACGGTATACTCAGTTCAATGGATATGCATAACTGAGGCAAGGGAGGGTGTTCCCCTACTGCTAGACCAATTAAGGAATATCACAGCAACACTTCCAAGGCCGTCTCTAACGTGAGTTTCTTCCTATCACTGCCTTGCCCCACCTCTGATCTGCCACGCAGGTAGCTCTTTCTGTTTGTGATCTATTTCAATTTAGATTGAAATGTAACTTGCTAGAAAAGCTTAGTATAATACTGTAGGAGTAATATACCTGCCAACAAGCAATTCTATGATTCTATGTAGGCCGGAAGATTACAAACATCCCCATATTTTTTTCTTCTTACCTATGTGAGACCACTGAGAGACATGCATAATCAGATGATTTGGAGCGAGGTGTCACTGATGACACTCTAATCTGTATCAGGAAAGGCAGTTCAGATGCTGGACTGTGATTCGCAGCGCCTGCTGTGGCTGAAGAGGCCCGTAACTTGTAACTGCTATCTCCCGCGTTGTTTGTGCTGCGCTGGCGGCACCAAAGTGACCTCACCAGGGGGGAAGCTTGGGCAGTGTGTATGAAGGTTCTGGGCTAACCAGATGACAAGACTGATGTGGTCCAAAAGAAAGCTAGTAATTGGCACCAGCTTAGCTGGTGATTCTCTAACGGTTCGAAATCAACCCTGGAGGCCTACTCCATTCAGTGCTGAATGATAAAGTCCCACAGAACCTGGGTCCCAAATGTCTAAAAGAGCTCCTGTATCAATCAGCTCAGTTATTATGACCAGCAAGAGAGGCTTTTCTTACAATTCCACCACAAAGTGAGGTATGGGCAACAGTGGCCTATGAGAGTGACTGCTTGGGAGTGGCCCCCGGCTGTAGGTATAAGAGGTGCATCTTGTTCTGACACTATAGTCCTTTAATCAGCAACTAAAGATGGACCTCTTAATTGAGCATTTGCAGAAGAATAGGGCTGCAGGGGCTGTGCTGTTGGAAGCTTGTCTGCTCCTGTTAAATGTGTTTAATCACGATTTTTAACGTTTTATACTTTGATGTTATATTGTTTTATCTATGTAGGTGCCGTGCCCTTGGGCTACTGGTGAATGGCATTTTATAAATGCCGAAAATAAATAAATAGAAATAGACATTATCCCATTCCAAGGTTTCCTGAGTTGAACTCTAGCACTAAGTACAGGTTTTTAACTGCCTCAAAATGGCTTCAGACCAGGCAAAGGACTTCAGTGGCAAATTCCGCTCCTAATGACGTATCTTGAGACTGAAAAAGTACATTTGTCATAACTGCCCCTCCAATTATAGACTGCTTACCTCTCTTGCAACTTCTTTAGTTTCTCAGGATCTGTCTCGGGCTTACTAATCTCCTTCATATTTGGTGAACTGCAAGTGGTTGTACTGCTCACAAAACTGCTCTGATTTCGCAAATCAGATACCGTCAAGAAAATTGGTACTTGATCGGGGAGAGGGCCAGCCATGTGAAGATGTGCTGTGAAGTTTGCCCGGAAAAGAGATGGATGGGAAGAATCTGTGGATGAGGAGGAGCTGTGGGAATTCAGAAAATTGTCTTCATCATGAGAAGTGGTGCTTGGGGAAAGGCTGCTTAGACCATTGCTTATACTATCTTCCAGCAGGCTACTGTCCTCAAAGGTGCTGATGGTAGGTGATGAAGACTGACAACTTTCAGTAGCTGAAAAGGACTCCCTGATTCTTATAGGAGATAGCTGTCTACGAACAGTGAACCTGGGGCTTCCACTCAGCTCTGTGGTTTGCATAGAAGCTGCAGCAGCATCCACATTGCTTGTTGTTTCAGTTCTGTTTATAGGTTGTGCTAAGGATCCTGGGATATTAAATGCGGAACGCATAGGAGGCCTCTGAACTGCTGGCCTAGCTGAACTAATGAGTCCAGTGTAACATCTTTGATTGGTCTCAAAACCTTGTCTTTCTCTACCACAGCCGTTGTTCCCTGACCAGTCTTCTGTAGAACTTAAATTGCCAATGGTCTCATTGGCTGCTGCGCTTCTGGGTCTGCTTTCAGCATGTGGGCTTTTGGAATTCTCACCTTCGTTTTTGTGGGCCTCTTCCGAAAGGTTGTTTTCTTCAAGAACATGAGGGTTCCTTTGGTCTCTGGTCTTCCTTTGGCCCGCTGAAGGTTGTTCAGCTGCTGCCTCCACTGCTCCACTGTGTTGCCGTGGCAATCTGTGGGAAAGCTCAGCCCGCCTAATGTCACCCCCAACTCCCATATCACAGTTTGGCTGCTCGGCCTGTGTGACGGGCATCCCACTGACTCTGTTGTTCTGATCAGGAGGAGGAGACTTACTGATATCATAGGAAAGAAACTCTTCTTCTATCTCGTTAACGTCTTCAGCGTCATCATTCTCTTCGGTAGAACCTTCCACATTTGCACACAACAATGCATAAAAATCGTCTTCTCTGGGCCTTATGGGAGTATTTTTAATGGGGGGAAGGTTGGAGTTGCTGGGCTCACTTGATAACGAAGGACCATTAGCAACCTGAACAGTAGAATCCATTACAGTAGTTGGGGGCTGCTGAGCTGCTGTTAGAACACTTCCTTTTTTGAGATCCCTGTCTAGGCTTTTGCTGTCTATGTTTAGTTTGGAGGTCTGGATTAAGGTCCTCTTTTCTGGAGCTTTCTTCTTAGTCTTGAGAACAGGGCCACTTCTTTGTCCTGCGACATCTTGCGAGTCTGCATTGAGAGCAAGAGTTGCTTTCAGAATTTCTTTGCCAAAGCACTTTATTCAGTTTTAGTCATGTCCGCAAACTGATCACACAAGAACCACCAGTGGCAATTATATTCCCCAGATCCACATGGGGATTGCACGGCTCCTCCCCTTAAGCCCCCCACCCCAAACAATTTCTTTAAAAATGGCTATACTGCCCCTTAAATTTATAGATGTGGTACAGTGGTGCCCCGCAAGACGAATGCCTCGCAAGACGGAAAAACCGCTAGACGAAAGGGTTTTCCGTTTTGAAGTTGCTTCGCAGGACGAATTCCCCTATGGGCTTGCTTCGCAAGACGAAAATACCTTGCGAGTCTTGAGCATTTGTTCGCTTTTCCCCTTTATCTAATCTGCTAAGCCTTTAATAGCCTTTAATAGCCTTTTAGCAGCTAATCCCCTAAGCCTTTAAGCCTTTAATAGCCGCTAAACCGCTAATAGCGCTAATAGCGCTAATCCGTCAATGGGCTTGCTTCGCAAGACAAAAAAACCGCTAGACGAAGACTCTCGCGGAACGGATTAATTTCGTCTTGCGAGGCACCACTGTATCTGGAAATGGAGTGAGGCTTCCTTTTAGCCTTTTGGCAAATTGGGGCTTCCTGCAAAATGGGAGAGAGACCTATCTTTTCTTTGAATCTCCCTAATGAAAGAAGTGGAGTGCTCTTCGGAAAAGACTTTTCCAATGATTTATCCAAACCCTGTAAGGCTCATTGGAAAAAGACATCTGTATGGTTTGTTGTTGTTTTTAGATTCAGCATAGTCCAATGAACTATGCTTGAAAAGACACAACTTCAGTTCCCTTCTTCACCATGAACTCACTGTATTGCCTTAAAATAAACCTTTCTGTTTGCCTCTTGCAAAAACATCTGTGTACAGTGTCTCTCTATGGGGCACTGCATGTAAGTGGCCTCTTTGGCTATTTCTATCGGCCCATATGGGACCAGCACAACTGGTGAAATTTTAATTCCTTACCCCTAGGGTTATGATTCGTGGGTTCCCACTTAATTTTATTTTGATTTTAAATGTGTTTCGAATTGTATTTTAAACTAATCGTTTGATTTTGTGTTTTCAATGTATTTTACATATTTGGTGTTAGCCGCCCTGAGCCTGGTCTCGGTCGGGGAGGGCAGGGTATAAATTATTATTATTATTATTATTATTATTATTATTATTAATACAAAACAATGATGCCTTATTTTTATTAGCTCTTATAATGGTATGGGGTTGCTCGTGCGTAAGTTGCCGCCTCTCTCCCTGCTATGTTGCCTTGTTAAACCTTTCTGTCTGGACAGCCCTTCAATTCGTGGCTGCCTCAGTCGCTAGCAGAATCCGTCAGTGGGCGTTTCTTAAATCTTTTCCAACATAAAAGTTGCTTGACACCCAGTCTCCTCCTACTCTCTCTGCGCGGAAGTCTTCTGCGCAGGGTGGGCGTGGGTAGCGGAGGACCCGTGCTCTCCCCGCTGGTGTCCGGTGAAGAGTCTTGGAGCCCTCTCGCCGATTCCCCATCAGCCCCTCTCTTTCCCTGGTGTTGCGCTGATTAGCTTCCCCCTCTGCGGAGCTGCCTCTCTCCCTGCTGGGCCCTTCTCCAGCATCATTTGAGAGCCTTCCCTCCGCCTCAAGCTCCGATGTCAGTTCCCTGACAGCTCTAATCCAGAATCAGTATTTTGGGAACTGTACAAAAGGGGGCCAACAAAGGGGGGTGGTAGAAGCCTGCTTCACTTGTTTTAGCAGCTTCTAATAGCAGCTGCTTGCCCATTAATCATTTTAAGTATCTGCATGTGTGTGTTTGTGTATACAGACACACACACACGCACACACATGGCAGTGAGAACAAGCTAAGCCCCATTTCTTGTTCTCCTCTCTACATACATGGTAGATCCCCACTGCATGCACGGAGCCTTTCCCTGTCCACAGACGAGGCCTTTGTATTGCTGGCGCTCCATGCACACTTTTCGACCAGCTGAGCTGTGATCTCTCAAACCACTTCAACAAAAGGCCAACATCAAGGTGCAGCAGCTTTGATGTTCAAACCAAACCCTCCTTTGAATTCAATCTAAACAACTTCAGCTTCAATCAGGTGAGAACTCACTCACATAATAGTTCCACATATGCCGTGAAACAAAGATGGAGCTCTGGACCAGGGATGACTTCTATAAACAGGAGGTATAAACTTAATGCAATGTGGAAAAAGAGTTCCTCACCAGCACTCTTGGTAGTCTTTGCTATTCCGTGTAGCACTGGTGTTTTCCTCCCTCTTCCTTCCACTCTTTTCATATTCTCAGTGTCTGTGTTTTCCAGAAAACTTCTCTGGTTCAATCGTTGTCTTCTTGATAAAATTGGCTTCTGGAAAGCTGATAAACATTGTTTTATGCAAATATTTTTTTAAGGAACCTCTGGCTTATGAATCGTGGGTCCATGGAGACTAAGTTGTAAGAGAGCACAATATATGAGACTGCATAACATTTGCACACGGGACACGGCACAGGGAGTACATGTCTTAGCTTGCACTTTCTATGTGTAAAACTTCACTTTCTATGAGTGAATTTGTAAGGACTTGAAACTGTTCTCTTAAACCAACTGTGCTTTCTAAACCCTGGGTTTTTATTTCCTCCCTGCATGGTAATGCTAAAACAGAGGGGCAAGGTGAGTGGGGGCATGTAGAAGAATAGGGTATGTTTCATAGCTATTCTTTTTTGTTACCTCTTCCCCAAGGTGAGATAATCTTTCTCTAAGGTAAGGGGGTGGAAGGCAGCAAAATGTAAGGCAGGGGCCGTGTGTGAGCACAGTTGAAAAAAGCTTGTTTGAGACAGGCTGTCCACCTCAATTGTTCTAGTTACAGGTAGGTAGCCATGTTGGTCTGCCGTAGTCAAAACAAAATAAAAAAAAATCCTTCCAGTAGCATCTTAAGAGACCAACTAAGTTTGTTATTGGTATGAGCTTTCATGTGCATGCTCACTTCTTCAGATATCTGTATGCTCTAAGGACAGATCGTGCTCTAAGGACAGATCGTGAAGCTGAGGCTCCAATACTTTGGCCACCTCATGAGAAGAGAAGACTCCCTGGAAAAGACCCTGATGTTGGGAAAGATGGAGGGCACAAGGAGAGGGGACGACAGAGGACGAGATGGTTGGACAGTGTTCTCGAAGCTACCAGCATGAGTTTGACCAAACTGCGGGAGGCAGTGGAAGACAGGAGTGCCTGGTGTGCTCTGGTCCATGGGGTCACGAAGAGTCGGACATGACTAAACGACTAAACAACAACAACAACAAAGGTGCTACTGGAAGGAACACAGTCAAGTTCCACTGCTTCAAATTACCATCCCATCCCTAATGACAAATACACAGTGAAATGAAACACTAATGTCAAACAGCACAGCAGTAAAAATCAATACTATTCCAGCCTTAAAACAAACAAACTGATCAATCTAAAAGACCTGGGTGGATTTAAAGACACTAAAAATAAATAAGGCTTGACACCAGGCAATCCTCCCTTGTGAGGGAGTTCTAAAAATCGGACACGGAAATTAAAAGGTCCCATCTCTAGTGATCACCTACCTAACTTCTGGTAGTGATGATGTGGGAGCAGAGAAGAATCCCTGGGGATGAGCATAATACTTAGGCAAGTTCATGTGGCAGAAGGCCATCCTAAAGGGGACTCAAACGGTTTTGGGGCAGAAGTTGAAACCAAACTTTGATTTGCGCTTGGAAATCCACTGGGAGGTGGCATACATAAATTTACCACTCCTGGTTCCCAGTTAGCAATCCAATCACCATGTTTTGAAGTATTTGTTGTTCTGAACATTTGTCAGAAGCAACGCCCTGCGTAATGTACTCCAGCAGTCCTTATCAAGCGTCCCCAGGGGATGGTTAGCTGTGCCCCAGTTATCTCTGTGCAGGAGAGGTTGCCACTGGCGCAGTAGCCTCAGATGATGAAAGGGGCTTTGCATTTAAGGTTCCGCCAAGGAATCCAAAGACAGATCTAACAGCATCTCCAGACTGCAAACCTCCTCCTTCAGAGGGAGCTTAACCCTGCCTACAGCATGTTGAACAAAATCTTCCAGGTCAGATGCATCTGTCAGCAAGAGCACCTCTGTAACATCTGTACTGAGCTGGGTTTGGCTGCCTTATTGGATTTAACTCTTTTGACTCCAATCCTTGCCTGCTCACCTAGGTAAAGGTAAAGGTAAAGGTAAAGGGACCCCGACCATTAGGTCCAGTCATGGCCAACTCTGGGGTTACGGTGCTCATCTCGCTTTATTGGCCAAGGGAGCCGGCATACAGCTTCCGGGTCATGTGGCCAGCATGACTAAGCCGCTTCTGGCGAACCAGAGCAGTGCACGGAAACGCCGTGTACCTTCCCGCCAGAGGTGCTTTCAAACTGCTAGGTTGGCAGGAGCAGGGACCGAGCAATGGAAGCTCACCCCGCCGCGGGGATTCGAACCGCCGACCTTCTGATCGGCAAGTCCTAGGCTCTGTGGTTTAACCCACAGCGCCACCCGCGTCCCCTGCTTGCTCACCTAGAAGCCTTCAAATATCGTATGTCCTCTCTAGGACCCCTTGAGCTTGTGAACATCACTGGCTCCAGCTCCACACATCCGTTTCTTTCAATGAATAGCTGAGAACTTTCTCCATACGCACCTGAAAAATCTTTTTTGGTGCCAGGTCCACTTTTTTCTGTTTTTTTGGCGCATGTGCTTGATTTCTGCTTCTGCTTAACAGATGTTTTGTCAATGGCAGGAAATTTAGCTTCTCCTTTGTTCCCAAGAGGCTTAATAGCAGATTTCAGTTCACATCCAGAAGATTCTTCGGAGGAGGTCTGCCAAGGTGAAAATTAGTTAATTTATTAACAGAATCTTCTTTACCAATGCAAAAGCTACATCCCAGTAGAAGAAGCCTCTTATTTAGCCTTCAATGTTTAGAAGCTTATTGTGGCTACTTAGTAGTGAGTAGTACTCTGTACTAGAGATGCCTGAAGAATTTATTTTTTGTGAATTCCAGTAAGATCTGACCAGATCCACATCATCTGCACTAAATAAATTTTATCTCAAAACACACTTTTAAATGTGTATTTTGCTATCCTTTAGAGCTGAGAACTGTACCAGATCATTAAGAAAGTGCAAATGCCAATGGATAACATTATTATTATTATTATTATTATTATTATTATTTAAAAATCTATACTGTCGTTCATCTGAGGTTATCAGTTTAAGGCTTTATAGGTCAAAACCAGCACTCTGAATTGGGCCTGGTAGCTAATTGGCAGCCAATGCAGTCGGTCCAGGATCGGTGTAATATGTTCAAACCATCTTGCCCTGGTGAGCAACCTGGCTGCCAAATTCTGCTCCAGCTGAAGTTTCTGAACCATTTTCAGAGGCAGACCTACACACAAAGCTTTGCAGTAATCTAACCTGGAGGTTACTTAGAGTATAGGCAACAGTAATTAGGCTATCCCTGTCCAGATGGAGGCGCAGAAGATCCACCACCTAAGCCTCAAGGCCACCTAAGCCTCAAGCAACAGCAAAGAATCCAGGAGTGCTTGCAAGCTACATACCCGCTCCTTCAGAGGGAGTGTAACCCTATCAAGAGGAGGCAACCTCAAATCGATCTAGCCCAGGGAACCAGCCACTAACAGTGTCTCAGTCTTAACTGGATTGATTGAAATGGATTGAAATGGATCTAAAATATCAGTTTCCTCCAAGAGCACCTGGATCTAGTCCACAACCACCTGCTCAAGAACCTTGCCCCAAAAGGGAGATAAGCAACTCACCAGTAGTTACGTAGATTGCCTGAGTCCAGGGATGGTTTCCTGAGGAGTTGTTGGACCACACCCTCTGGCAAGGAGGTATCAATCACCGCCCTGGTCCAGTCAGCTGTCCCCTCCCTGCTAGTTTTTATCAGCCAAGATGGGCAAGGGTTCAGAGCGCAAGTAGTCACCCTGACCAATCCAAGCACCTTGTCCATTTCTTCCAGCTTTACTAACTGAAACTCACCCAACACAACAGGACTAGACAGTGCTCTGGACAACCTTTGAGATTCATCTGCTATAACAGCAGAGTCAAGATCCCAGTGGATGCAAGTGATTTTGTCCTCAAAATGATTTGCAAACAAGTCACAGTGAGCTACCATTGGTTCCACCACCTCCTTTGGGCCAGACTGTAAGGGGCTTCACACTACAGTGGAACCTCGGGTTGCGGACGTAATCCATGACAGAGGCACGTCCACAACCCACAGCGTTCATAACCTGCAGCACTGCATCTGCGCACGCACGTGATGCGATTTGGTGCTTCTGCGCATGCGCGAAGCGTGATTTAGAGCTTCTGTGCATGCGCGAGCGGCGAAATCTGAAAGTAACCCTTTATGGTACTTCCGGGTTTCCCGCGGTCCACAACCTGAAAACGTGTAACCCAAAGCATTTGTAACCCGAGGTACCACTGTACCCGGAAAAGCTCTACTGGATGGCATAGTGAGGATGCAATGAAGCAGCAAAGTATGCCTTCTTTGCTGCCTTCACTGCCACTAGGTGGGCTCGATGATGAACCCTCACCAGTGTTCAATTGAATTCGATCAGATCTTTCCTCCACTCGAATTCAAGCCGAGATAGGCTTGTTTAAGGTTTCATGGTGTGAACAGATTAACTTTTACTCTGCTATCAGAAGAGGGATACTGTCTTAAATTAGGCAAATGTGTAAAATTAGCCTATTTCATTTTCAAAACTGTACAATGAATGCATTGAAAAATAATGAATGCAGATGTTGAGGAAATAACAAAGGCTTTGCAAAGAGCAGATAAAACAGTAGATAGTTATGTACATTTGCAGGCTGGCATATTGGTTCAGAAGGCAAAGAAAAGCTAATTAAGTATATACTAGAGTATTTCTCCAGAAAGAAAACGCTTGATGAAAGCATATGAATAATCACCCAGTCCCCAGGATAAATATAAATGTTATACAGTGCATCTTATTTGTCACAGGTACTTACATGGGGAAAACATTAGATAACAAATTCCTAGCAGCCATATTTTTTTTTCTATTGAGCTCCTTTTCCTGATATGTTCTTTGTTTAACAACCAGATGGGTTGAGGCAGTCCTGAACGCTGGAGTGGCTAGGGGGCATTATCAGATTACTCTTCTCTTGCACTTGATTTTTATCTCTGAAATTAACAAATAGCTACCTGTCTATTAGTGGGGACTCTGGAAATCCATGGCCTTTCATAAGTACGCACAGCAGAGATGGACGATATATTTGTCTGTCTCAGTTCTTGTCTGGCGTGTTGTTCTCGTTTCTTCTCAGACTGCTCTTTAGTCTGTTCTTGTTTTCTCAGGCAAGCCTAAGAAACAAGCACAACTTTGTCTGAAAAGAGGTTTATGTGAGGGACTTAAAACAGTGCCGGATTTACGTATAAGCTAAACAAGCTATAGCTTAGGGCCCCACTCTCTTGGGGCCCCCCAAAAAATTAAAGGGGAAAAAACCTGGATGTACATTTACAAAATATGAGATAAAAAATAAATAAAATAAAACCTACATACAGCAACAGTGTATTGTGTTGTGTAGGCTCCTATGATGTAAGCAATGGGCCCTGCCTGCTAGCCTGCTCCCTAAAATATCACTAATTTGCTCTTTTCTATATACAGTGGTATGGGACGTGGGTGGCACAGTGGGTTAAACCACAGAGCCTAGGACTTGCCAATCAGAAGGTTGGCAGTTCGAATCCCCGCGACAGGGTGAGCTCCTTGCTAGGTCCCTGCTCCTGCCAACCTAGCAGTTCAAAAGCACGTCAAAGTGCAAGTAGATAAATAGGTACCACTCCGGCGGGAAGGTAAACGGCGTTTCCATGTGCTGCTCTGGTTCGCCAGAAGTGGCTTCGTCATGCTGGCCACATGACCCGGAAGCTGTACGCCGGCTCCCTCAGCCAATAAAGCGAGATGAGTGCCGCAACCCCAGAGTCGGCAACGACTGCACCTAATGGTCAGGGGTCCCTTTACCTTTACCTTTATATACAGTGGTACCTTGGTTCTCAAACGTAATCTGTTCCAAAGTCTGTTCCAAAACCAAAGGATAGCTGGACATATAAAGGGCCCCATTACTTTCAGGAGCTAAGGGCCTCATCAAACCTAAATCCGGCCCTGGACTTAAATGATGGTGCACCTGATGAAGTTAGCCTCATCCCTCGTAGCTTTGTGTTTACGTTCTTCATGGAAATGGCAACACGGTGGATAAACGGCCCTACCTGGTACTCTGAATCCATCTTGTGCTGCATCTCTCTCAAGTACTGAGCATCACTGATAAACTTCTGTCTTTCTTTTGCTTCGTACATGGCAGTACTTCAGGAAAACCTACAGATAAAACAGACTGTCACAAAGCAGGTGTTGATCTTAGGGCATTCTCTCCCCTTCATAGTCAACATCTGATTACGATGGGATGCAAAAGCAGCTCCCAAACCAGTAGGCTGATGTTATCCTTTAAACTTTTGGAAGCTAGCCACCAGATTCCTATTTAAACCAGAAAGGAAGCCCAACCTAAAATATAGCAATATTGCTAGGGTGCTTAGTGGTATTTTAAGGCTTAGAGATGGAGCGCAAATCAAAACCCGTTTAAAAGAAAAATATGAGCTTGCAGTCTTTCACAGATGCATACACACACTAAAGCACAAAGCAGGGAAAGCACAAGCACATTACTGCCTTATCTGAAAATAGTAATCTTGTTTTTGAAAGAAGTTACAAGGTGCATAATTACAGGATTCAGGTCAGTTCCAGGAATCAGCTCTGGCCTGTAAATCCACAAGTTGCAACTTGAGGCCAAAAGACTCAGTAGACACAACCTACGGCATATATATATATATGGTGACCTTAAAAAAACATATGTGATTTCCTGAGCCACTATTCAGCTGGTTCCCAATGGGCAGTAAAATCAATTAACTCTAGATCTAAACCTTCTTTAATATGTTGATATCAGGTTAGCAAAGGGCCAAACTTAATTTCCTAAATAAGATTGCAAGTCTAATGGCTGTCTGGGCTAACACTTTAAGGAACGGGGTGAACTATCAAGATTAGAGGAGAGGAACCTTTTTTCTCTTGAGGGCCACATTCCCATGGGGAGAATCTATCCCTAGCATTCAGGCTGGTGGTGGGTGGGGCTGGAGCCAAAAATGAGCGAGATAGCCCTTTGCTCTCTGTTTCTGCTACCCCTCCAGCCCCTTTGTCTCTGCCACTCCCCTTCCCCTTCTTTGATGCCAACATGAAATGAGGCCTGCTGCTTGGGAGAAAAGCAATGACAAACCTAGACAGCATCTCAAAAAGCAGGGACATCACCTTGCCAACAAAGGTCTGTATAGGTAAAGCTATGGTTTTCCCAGTAGTGATGTATGGAAGTGAGAGCTGGACCATAAAGAAGGCTGATCGCCGAAGAATTTATGCTTTTGAATTAGGGTGCTGGAGGAGACTCTTGAGAGTCCCATGGACTGCAAGAAGATCAAACCTCTCCATTCTGAAGGAAATCAACCCTGAGTGCTCACTGGAAGGACAGATCCTGAAGCTGAGGCTCCAAGACTTTGGCCACCTCATGAGAAGAGAAGACTCCCTGGAAAAGACCCTGATGTTGGGAAAGATGGAGGGCACAAGGAGAAGGGGACGACAGAGGACGAGATGGTTGGACAGTGTTCTCGAAGCTACCAGCATGCGTTTGACCAAACTGTGGGAGGCAGTGGAAGACAGGAGTGCCTGGTGTGCTCTGGTCCATGGGGTCACAAAGAGTCGGACACAACTAAACGACTAAACAACAACAAACTCTAGATGCCCACCAGCGATCAAGATAAAGTGTTTTTAATGTGGCATTTTAAATTATTGTAATTTGCATTGCGACCTTAGGGTGAACAGCTGGTAATAAATTAAATTAATAATGATGATCGTGATGATAAATAATAATAATTAATAAATCAATTTTGCAAGATAAAATACATTTAGCAAATACTTATCAAAGATCACCCAGAGTGATATCCCAGACAACAGAAGGCAGGTAATCTGACTGACTCCATATTCTCTAGGGCATCATTTTGAAAACAGGTAAGGTCGAAAAGGATGCTGCTGTTTGGCTCCAAGCAGAACAAACCTTATTTCTTACAATTAGAGTTTGTTTGTTTTTAATATGAAGAAAAATAAATTATTATCTATACTGTGACATGGGTAGATGCATAAATTATACTATTTAATGCAGTGCTTTCCCCCCCTATAAAAATGTTTAGGGGTACTCCCATTTTCCTACTCACATTGAAATACTGCCCCTCAATAGGGCCAAACTTAGATTCACAAAATGTTTAGGGGTGTGCGTACCCCGCCCCCCCAGAAAAAAAGCACTGATTTAATGTATCTATCTATGTCAGAGCGTAGAAGTATTAAGAGTAACACAGTAAATATAAAACTACTTCTATTCAATTCTGCCAAATAATTTATACATCTTGTAATTTATCCTCACAGCAAATGCAATGCAGGCAGAGAGAAAGCAGTTCTGATTTTTTATTTATTAAAACAATGTAGACTGCCTCCCATTCAAGGAACCCTGAAGCAGTTCACCCAATAAAATTCCAACACTAAAATGTTAAAGACATATAAAAATCAAATAAAGATTAAAATACACAATCTAGCTAAATAAAATCAGCATCAAACCATAAGCAATGTCAAGGACATGCACAATATGTGGGAAGAGGATATTCCAAAGAGAAGGGCTGTATCTGTTGCATCTGTGTCACTGCTTACAGAGAAGGCCTGTTTCTAAGTCAGGCTAATATACCATTTATAAGAGAGTGAACATAAAAAGTCATTTCGTCCTAGGGACTTGCCATTTACTTGCCAATGACCATGGCTGTGATATCCCTCGAATGGTATCAGCAACTATAACACCACCAACATTGTTCATTACACAACTGTTATGCTGCAATTTTTAGCGATGCCTTTAAGTCTCAATAATACCGCATGAGAACAACATCCAGACACTGGCACCAAGCTAGAGCAAGAATGCTCTCAACTGAATCATCTGTTTACTTAGGAACTTTTTCACAATCTCACAAGCCTTGAATTCCTGGCTTTGGGTAATCTGTGGTGTTTGCAGGGATTCCTGTGGTTCATTGCTAGTCTTAGACTTGTTCAGCTTCAGCTCATTTCTACTGCTTCCTGCCAGCTTTTCCAAGCTGGACACTCTTCATTACCTAGATTATCAAATTATCGTTTTGTTGGGTTCCTGGACGCATTGGGGTTAAAGGTGGTGAATGAGTTGCCCAGGCTGCCTGGATGGCAATTTATCTTGCCACCAAGCGGGTGGCGCTGTGGGTTAAACCATAGAGCCTAGGACTTGCCAATCAGAAAGTCGGCGGTTTGAATCCCCACGACGGGGTGAGCTCCCATTGCTCGGTCCCTGCTCCTGCCAACCTAGCAGTTCAAAAGCACGTCAAAGCACAAGTAGATAAATAGGTACCGCTCCGGTGGGAAGGTAAACGGCGTTTCCGTGCGCAGCTCTGGTTCGCCAGAAGCGGCTTAGTCATGCTGGCCACATGACCCGGAAGCTGTACGCCGGCTCCCTTGGCCAATAAAGCGAGATGAGCACCGCAACCCCAGAGTCGGTCACGACTGGACCTAATGGTCAGGGGTCCCTCTACCTTTACCTTTACCTACCAAGCATATAGGGATCATGTTGAGCAATTTTTACCAAAATTTTCAAATCTAAACTGATGGCATAGTGGTAAATCTGTGGGAATGCCAGAACGAACATAAATTGTGTTCTTAAAGCAATATTTGGATCATGGCCACAGAGGGCACTTGTCCTAGTTCAGCTACTCATTTGACATGCAATCCATATTCACCAGCAACTGAAGGGGCAAGCCTTACCAGAATGTAAAGTTCAGCCAACTTTTCTGCAGTCCCAGTTCCCTGATACTTGTCCCTAACAGGGCTTTTTATGTGGTAGCCCCAGATTGTGGCACTCCCAAGTTTTGTTCACCAGGCACCTGCATTATTATTTTTTAAGGCGCCTTGCAAAATCTACCCTCTTCTCTCTAGCATGGATTGGCAACCAAGAAGTCTCAGGATCAAAACTGGGTCTGAAACCATTCTGAAACGGATCCACATTATTAGTTTCATTTAAAAGTGTATTCGGTTCATCAGCCACCATCAATTTGAATACTATGCCCATCCCCAGGCATATTTGAAACTGTCATATGATTAACTAGGTCAGTAGGGTTTACTAAAATGTGTTTGCCTCTGTCAAAGAAGGGGAAAGACCTCCTCTGACAAAGATGCTCTTTCTACCATGCTAATAAGGTTAGCCAATGTCCAATGACTTACTATACGTTAGCCAACAAGGGCAAGAGTCAAGAGGGCGTATTATGGCTCAGACTTCTTCAAGCACTTGTCTGCCTAAGAAGATAAAAAGCAGACCTTCCTGTATGTTTCATAATCCCTGCCTTAAGTTTGAACTGACATTTACATAGCTCAGGCTAAGTGACTGGAAGTGCTGAAAATACAGCCATACTCTGACAAGGCCTTTGAGACCAAAGAACAAATATCAAATTGCATCCCCCAGGTTCCATAAATGACAGCTGATGAATGCTAAGGTAAATCCATGTCTGATATAATTAACTCTTTATTTTGTTGGTAAAAAGGGTGGCTATTTAGTAAATAACAGAATGTAATATAATGTGCTGAAGGCATTATTTCCTAGCTTTTACTTAACTTTCATTAACATTAATACATATTTGTAAGGTCTTTGCTTATTTAAAATGAAACACAGTGAAAAATGAAAAATAAAACCCTGTCTGGCATTATTTTGAAATGAAACATTAGCTCGTTGGCAAGAAATATTCAGATTGACATAGAGTTCAGAACTAAAATAACTGCCATGTCCGAGACTCCTGTTTAAGTAAAGTGATCTTAAGATATTCCTTTATTAACTAAAACTAAAACGATTAGGTGTTATAAAATGTACTTTTGTGTACATGACCCAGTAAACAAAAATACATGTGAAAGCAGGTTTCCCCACATAGAACTGGAGCAAAAACTTAATAACACATGTACAATCCTATGACTTTACTCCTTGAGTTACCCATGTAGTATTCCATGGGATTACCATATGGTAACCTATGAACAATTGCAGGGCAGTCCTATATATGCTACTCATATGTAAGTTCCAGAGTTCAATGATGCTCATTCCCAGGAAAGTAGGTATAGTATTGCAGCAGTTAGTCACTGTTTCTCGGTGGTGTACAACCTTCTGCTGATCTCATGCTTCTCTAAGTCAGAGCCACAATGCTGTGATACTAAGATAACTTAGAAATGTAAAATGTTTAACCAAAAATATTTCATCCACTTCAAGCAACTCTGGAAAAGCAAACCATCGATCCATTCTCCTGCACCTTATTTCAGTTCCACGCAATAAGGGTCATAGTTTGTTAATGGGTGCTGGAACCTCTGCAACTCATTAATTGTTCCAGTTTGCTTTTCTGTGCTCCTTAATCCAGTGGTTTTCAACCAGTGCGCCGTGACACCCTGTGGTGCCTTGAATGAGGGTCAGGGGTGCCGAGGGCAACACTGGCCTCTGTCCCTCTTTCCTTCCTTCTATCCTCTGATGCCCTCTCACATCTCTGCCTCCCAAAGGCTTGCACAGCTGTTTGTTGCAGCAGCCCTAGCTACAAGCTTCCCAGGCGCATGGTGCCTCAGGGGCTGGCCAGGGGTTGCTTCCCAGGCCCCTGTGGGGCAGAGTAAGGAGGCATCTTTATTTGGGGCAGGGGGTGCAGCTCAAAGACCAGGGACGGCAGCTGTGGCTGCCCAGAGGACTCCCAAGGAGAAGGGAGAAGAGAGGAGGTTGAGGGAACACTCTACAAGGGAGGGTTCGAAAAGGGGTGAGGGGCTGCCGGCTCTGCAGGCAAGGGGTGACATAACTGGGCTCCTGAACCCCACAGGGTTGCCAGAAAAAGAATTTAGTTGGTCAAGGGAGCCGTGGACCCAAAATGGTTGAAAACCTCTGCCTTACTCTAAAGCACTCACGCTCAGGATCACTGCAGCTGCTGTTGCCCTCTCATTGCGGCGCTCTACTGTGCAGAATTGGTTCTCTGGAAGCAGGTTTGCCACACTATGTACAACAAAAGGAAAGGGAGGAGGGAGAAGGAAAGGGAAACAGAGAGGGGAGGAAAGGGCATGGGAAAAAATGAAAGACGGATATATAAGAGAGAAGGCAGATAGGGCGTTTAAGTCAACCAGGTACTATGGTTCTCTGAAGTCTAAACATTCTGTTTCCCTTGGCTCTTCCAGTGACTTAACAATATTCCGAGAACTATGACATGTCACAGGTGGAAACAACTCCCCTAACAGATATTTCTGTCCAGGGTTACTAAACTGAGCAGGATGCTCAGTAAACACTGCTATAAGTTGGCCCTAGAGATTACGGCAATGAATAATGCCGTGAGAAAAAGACATACATTTTGCAATCATAAAAATGTGGCTATAACATGCAGGATAAGCACACCAAGAACTAGATAAAATTCAAGTTTATAAAGTTTGGAAATTGAGAATATTTGGATAGCGTATCTTGAGCCCAAGGAATTTAATTATCATGGGTGCTATCCATTTGGTAAGTCAATGCCGGCTCAATTAATACAAGTTTGTAGATACAGAACAGTTCACCCCTGGTTGCTGTACTGAAAGGTAATTGCCAGAGTTGTCACTAAATTAGTTGCAAAACCACTTTCAATGAGATAGAAATAACTCAGAAAATGAGATTTTAACAAGAACTTTACTAGTACAGAAAGACATTCTGGCAGCCATGGGTAGCAGGATTTATGGTACAGTGGAGAGGATTTGGGGTCACCAAGTTTGCCAAAGAAGCAGGAGGTGCAAGTCTCTTCTTAACCCTGGATACAAGGGGTGGGGGGGGGAGAGAGAGGGCTCTCGGATAGACTGAGGGATGCTTCTAGGGATGCGCTTATTGTGGAACCAGCACTGTTCATGAACACCTAACCCCCTCTCCCCTTTAACCAAGTTTCACCTTTCCCAAGGAAAACCTGGTTTGTTAAAAAGCTGTTGCGAGCTACCCTTTTGCAACATCTCCGGGACCCGTTTGTGATATGAAACATCCTCAGTGGGAACACCTAGGCATATTAGGAGGAGAACCGCTGATTGTGCTCATATTTTACAGAACAGAGTTGGGGGGAGAGCCTGGGGTAGGGAGGAAAAGGGTGCCCAAGCTTCTTAGAAGATGGGAAGGCGAGTCCGTCCTGTCACCCCCCTCAAATTGGGAAGGGGATCGGGTCTCCCTCACATATATAAAAATAGCTGCGTAAAAAACATCTTATATAATATAGGGGAAATGTGTAATTTGGACCAGAGGCTGCTCCCCAGCAGGGTGTATCGTGTGTGTGTGTGTGTGTGTGTGCGCGCGCGCGTGCACACCTGTGTCTTTCTCTCTGTGTGTGTGCCTGTGCGTCTGTCTGTGTGCATGTCTGTGAGTGTGTGTCTGTGTCCGTCTGTGTCTTTATATGTGTGTGCGTCTGTGTCTGTGTGTCTGTGTGTGTCTGTGTCCATCTGTGTCTTTGTGTGTGCGTCTGTGCCTGTGTGCCTGTGTCTGTCTGTGTCTTTATGTGTGTGTGTGTGTGTGTGTGTGTGTGTGCCTGTCTGTGTCTGTTTCTGTATGTGTGTGGTGTGTGTGCGCGCGCTTTTGTGTGTGTCTGTGTTTTAGTGTGTAATGTAAAATGTTTCACCAAAAATATTTCCTCCACTTCAAGCAACTCTGGAAAAGCAAACCATCAATCCAGTCTCCTGTGCCTTATTTCAGTTCCACACAATAAGGGTCATAGTTTGTTAATGTCTCTGTGGTGCACCTGCTTGTGCCCACCTGTGCCTGGGTCTTCTTCCCTCTGCAAAAAGGGGGAGCCACCACCAACATGGCCATGGGGAGAAGAGACCTTCCCCCTCAGCCGCCTCCCCAGAGGGGGAAGAGGTCGGGTTAAACCCGGGCGCCCCGCCCCCTTCTCCCCGCGTGGGGGGGGGGAGAGCCCTTCACTTCAGGTAGGCGGGGGGGGGGGGAGGCACAGTCAGTGTCTCCAATAGACGGGAATGGGGACGAAGGTTTCCCGCGTTCGCCCCGCAAAGGGGCTGACGAAGGGGCGCTTGGAATTAATGTGGGGGTGCCGGTCAACCCCCCCCCCGCCCCACCCCCAAGGGAGCCCCTCCTTCCTTCCCTCCCTGCCCCCCTCACCTTTCCTTTCCCCCGCTGCCTCCCTCACGCGCGCTCGCGCTCTCCTCCCTCCCAAAGCGCCGGCGGGCAGCGTCTCTCCCGTTTCCCTAGCAACCTCCACGGTCACGGTTCCGGTTGGGAGGGGGCGGGGAGGAGTACGCGCGCACGCGCGGGAGGGCGAGCGAGCAGGCGCGCTCCCTCCCGGCGTCAATACGTGAAAGCAGTACATAGAGCTAGGAAAACAAGAGAGCGGCGAGTCTGTCTGATAGGACTGCCGAGTTCACGTGGAATAAACATTATTCTTATTTTTATTCAGGCCTCCCATGTGAAAACTGCCCTAACTATAATGCTGTTACCATTATGACACGTACCTGGGAAGAAATCCCCGCTGAACTCTGTGGGACGATATTTCTAGACGCGTTTAGGGATACTCTGTAATAAACCAGTGGAATAATATACGTTTTTGGTTTGGGTGTGATGGGGCAGCGGTGTGTCTGTCTGAAAACAATGTTTATTATTTGTTGGTCTGTGGTAAATTCATATACCGCCCTTCATCTGTGCACCATAAAGGTAAAGGGACCCCTGACCATTAGGTCCAGTTGTGACCGACTCGGGGGTTGCGGCGCTTATCTCGCTTTATTGGCCAAAGGAGCCGGCGTACAGCTTCCGGATCATGTGGCCAGCAGGACTGAGCCGCATCTGGCAGACCAGAGCAGCACATGGAAACGCCGTTTACCTTCCCGCCGGAGCGGTACCTATTTATCTACTTGCACTTTGACATGCTTTCAAACTGCTAGGTGAGCAGGAGCAGGGACTGAATAACGGGAGCTCACCCCATCGCAGGGATCCAAACCGCCGACCTTCTGATTGGCAAGCCCAAGACTCAGTGGTTTAGACCACAGCGCCACTCACATCATAAAAGGCCATAGATTGTGTAATTAGCCAAAGGCCTTGGGAGAAGAGGGATGTTTTTGCCCAGCACCTAAAGATATGTAATCAAGGCACCAGGTGAGCATTCCTGGGGAGAACACCCCACAAGCAGGGAGCCACCGCAGAAAAGGCCCCGTTCTTTGTGTTGCCACCCACTGACTCTCTCCCGGAGGGGGCACGTGTCTCAGTGTCTTCATTATGTAAACTACTAATCTGTCAACATAATATTATACAGTGGTACCTCAGGTTAAGTACTTAATTCGTTCTGGAGGTCCGTACTTAACCTGAAACTGTTCTTAAGCTGAAGCACCACTTTAGCTAATGGGGCCTCCTGCTGCTGCCATGCCGCTGAAGCACGATTTCTGTTCTCATCCTGAAGCAAAGTTCTTAACCCGAGGTAATATTTCCAGCTTAGCGGGGTCTGTAACCTGAAGCGTATGTAACCTGAGGTACCACTGTATTATACCTTGTAATTGTCGTTCACATCTGTCGGTCTTGAGAGACAGTGGAAGGGAGTGCGCCATGGGGGGGAGGGTGAAGTCAAACCATTGGAGCGTTACAGCGCCTGCTGCAGCTGCAGAAACCAACACAGAAGAGATATGTTTTATTGCAGCTGCAGCAGATGTAACCATCCGGTTGCGCTGATGCAGGTGTAATGTGGCGTTTCTCTCTCGGTGTTCCTCCCAGTTGTCATGTCTCCTCAGTTCACTTCTGTGGGTACACAACCTGATTGTTTCCAGGCAATGTGGTGGTCATCTGCAAAGGATTCCCACACAGCAGGGTTGATGTTGCCAGTCTTCATGTCACATTTATAGAAAACTTTGTAATGCAGTGTCCATATATTATATATACACTGTTGGCATTGTTGCAGGACTGACATAATCCCCGGCATCCTGGCAGATGGGTGCTAGATGAATAGTCATCACCTGTTGATAGCGGACCATTCAAAATTAGATAGCAGTCCTATCCTAGACAAAGAAGTGTGATTGCTTGGCCAAGAGCACCAGGAACTTGTAAATATTACTACAGTATTGTCTTACTTGATGGGTGTAAAGTGGAGCTCAGGGAAGGGTAGGGGGCAAGCCCTGGTACTCAGGTTACTGCCACATATCCCTCCCCTTGTGTGATGTAACTATGATGTAGTTGTGATGTCGGTTTATGGGTGTTACTGGTAATTTTGGAAACTGGTAAAAGTTTGAACCCTCCTTTGTTCTGGACTTCTCCCTGCTTCTCCCATGTGGTGGCTGGAAGTGCTGTTGTTGAATAAAGATCAAGCCTACTGGCTGCTGTTTTGCTCCTATATTCTTGGCTAGCGTCTTTGTTTGGTAATCCAAAGTGAGCCCAAGGATTTTCCTACAACAGCATCCCTCTGTTTCAAGAGACAATGGAGTGCACCTCCAGGGGTGAAATCAAACCATTGTGTTAGCAGCACCAAAGTAACCTCCTTGGGCGCCAGCCTGGGCAGTGCGTCTGGAGGTCCTGGGCTGCCCAGGCGACAAGACCCCTCTCTCAGCCTCACCAATGTGGTTCAAAGGACAGCAGAGGAATACATTTGTCACCAGCTTGGCTGAAGGAGTTGACAGAAGGTGAAATATACCCGGAGTTGAGAGTGGATTTCATGCTCTTTATTCAGCTCATAGTGGTGAGAAGGAATGAATGTTCCCCCAAAGTATCTGCTTTATATACATTATTTACACAATGGGCTGCACGTGATTGGCTAATTCCGGGATTCTCCTGTAGGCCAATCAGGTTGTGGATTCACTTCCATCTGGAGCTGGATTGGGTGGCTCCTGCGGACCAATCATACTGCTGCATTGTTCTAGGCCCAATCAGACTGCTGCATTCTGAATCCTATTGTTCTATGACCAATCAGATTGCTGCATTTTGGATCCTATTGTTCTATGACCAATCACACTGCTGCATTTTGGATCCTATTCAACTCAGTACATAACAGAAGGAGACGTACAAGGCGCCATCCAAGTGTCTTAGAGACTCCACTCTGGATTTGTGTAGCGTTTGCTTTTTAGCCTTTCTTTTCCTGACAAAGATATCCCTCCAAGGCAGTGGAGGTTTAGGATAAGAGTTTTTGGTGTTAGGTTAGGTGTAGCACCTCTGAAGGGGAAAACATCATGCTCCTTTTGCAGTACTTTGTCCACCTTTGGTCTCTACTACCCTGCACTCAGCTCTCACCTGTCAGCATATAGGGTTGCCATATTTCAAAAAGTAAAAACCAGGACACCTTGAAAGTTATTGAGTTTTTTTGAAGGAATGCCGAAAACCCTGGTTTTTCAATTGACTTCCCTAAGATCCAGGACAAAGCACCGCCTTTCAGAAATTTCCCCCGGAATTCAATTCCGCCTTTGAAATCCTGGTAATGTATGGCAGCCCTAGCATACAACAGTGGCCAAACCCCCGAGAAGGGCTTTGACAAATGACTAATAAGTTGATAAATGACTTTCAAATGACAAATAAGAATAAATAAAATAAATAAGTATTTAACAGTATTGTGCGTGTGTGTGTATATATATATATATATTTGCTGCAAGTTGCATGAAGACCTTCAGGTGACAAGTAACTAATAAGCTTAATAAGTAAATAAAATAAATAAAAAGTTGGTGGTATTTTATGTGTGCGTGTGTTTGTGTGTGTTTGCTGCAAGTCGCACAGAGACTTTGAGAAGATGAGCAACCAAAAAGTTTAATAAATAAGTAACTAAAACAAAATATTTGATCCTGCTTCTGTTTTCATCCTGGGCGCTCGCGGTGCTCCCCAAAACCCCGTGTTTCTCCATTGCTTTCTATGGGCCCCCAAGCGCGGCGGGGTGGGATAGCCTGCTGAATATTGCCTCTTTTTTTTTTTTACTCTCCGTTTCGTGTTACTCTACATTTTTTCTATCTCTGTGGCACGATGCGCTGGGGGGCGGGGCTTACTCCGGAGGGCGGGGCCTCAGCAGCTGCGCGCGGTGCGTCAGGCAGGAGCGATGAGCCAATCAGAGAGCTGGGCGGAGACAGCGCCGCAGGGGCGGGGGGAAGAGGAGCGAGCGAGCTGGGAGTGAAGAGGAGAATCTTGGACGGGAAGCATCGCATTTTGATTACTGCTGGAAGGCTTGCAGCGCGCACGTTTGCGCAAGTCAGCAGTCGTCGTCATCTCTACGCAGCCAGGGACCGATGTGCAACTCAAGTGCAGAAATACAGAATGCAGAACGAATTCATATATCTCTCCTGGGATTATTAGGTGGGAAGGATGGGATGAGAAACCAAACTTCCGGAGAACCCCTTTTCTGCTACGCATAGCCAACCCCCCGCTGAGTAACACTTTAAAATAAATTTGCAAATGTTTGCTAAAATCAAAGAAGACAGCAAAATACATAAATATTTATTTCCTCAGGGTGCCCACTGATCAACAACCCAAGCAATTCATTCCAAAAGGTATTAGATAGACATTTAGGTAAAGGTACTCCTGACCATTAGATCCAGTCATGACCGACTCTGGGGTTGCGGTGCTCATCTCACCTTACTGGCCGAGGGAGCCGGCGTACAGCTTCCGGGTCATGTGGCCAGCATGACTAAGCTGCTTCTGGCAAACCAAAGCAGCGCACAGAAACGCCGTTTACCTTCCCACCGGAGTGGTACCTATTTATCTATTTGCACTTTGACATGCTTTCAAACTGCTAGGTTGGCAGGAGCAGGGACCAGGAGCTCACCCCGTCGTGGGGATTCGAACTGCCGACCTTCTGATCAGCAAGCCCTAGGCTCTGTGGTTAAACAACCTTAAAATATCAATGACTTCCCTTCTTCTCTTTCCGTGGTTCATTTTGCATATCATAAATCCCTGCATATTTTACATAAGCTAAACCAGTTTTCCATAATTACATCCATCAAAACTTACACTGTTGAATTTATCTTGGTTTTTTTTTGCTAGTAGCATTCGTATTTGTATTTTTTAAAAATATTTTTTTATTAAACAATTTCAGCATACCAAATAATCAATCCATATAATCACATACATTATTTTCCCCCTTCCCTCCAACCCTCCCTCCTCCCTCACCAAGGACTTCCCTCAGCTCCTCTCTCTGATTTCTCTGCACATATTATTCTCTGCATGTTATAAAATTGTACTTATCCTTACATTATCCATCATATTATCAACCACTGTTGAATTTATCTTAATGCTGTCAACACTTTCAAGTGTACGTAATTCCCCCCCCCCATTCAATGAACATTTCCCAATCTTCTCTAAACGTATGTTCTTCTTGTTCTCTTATTCTATATTCCATCTTTTTAAACCAAAGCATTCTTAAACCAAGGCGTGCTTTCCCAT